CTATAGAGGCTCTTTCCTAGGCTATAAGTGTATTTTATAATCCTATAGTTAGTGTTTAGGTAAGGCTGCCTTGCCTCTCTCCTCTTTAAAGAGTCGCTTCTACTTACTATACTCTTTAGGAATATCTAGGTCCGAGATTCTAGTTTCATTCTTCGATAGCGTATAACTTCTATCCTTCCCGTAATCATTATTGTGACCCTCCTAACCTAACGGTAGTGTCGATCCGGGTTGAATACGGTTCTCCGTAATTCCTATCGACGTAAACGTCTTACGAATCGCCCTACGTTTATTAATCTTATCTACCTGCGAACGCTGCCGCTATATAGGTTGAATGCCGATTATACAGTCGTATTCCTTAAATGTAAGTACTCCTTTTCTCTAGTCTACGACTAGGTTATACTTTCTCAACTAAGGTATACCTAATATAATATTATAACTAGCTATGTTAGTAACATCTAAGACAATCTCCTTATAGTGCTATTAGATAGCTAGTAGTAACGGTATCGTTTCTCGTTCTATACTAGGTAGCGGTAACCTATCTACTGCTATAAGTTTATACGCTCCTTCTCTTCTGCTTCGGGTTACGATCCCTCGGCTTTTAACGAATAATTCGGAGGCAAAGTTCCCGCTCGCTCCGGAATCTATTAATGCACTCGTCGGGTGCCCGTTAACGATAACTTTCGTGCGGAAGACTACTATTAATGCTTAAGCGCTTTCGGTATTAAGGAACTCTCTTAGAACGCTCTAATCTAGAGAGTTAGTCCGTTTCCCGACTAATTAGTAGCCTAACGTTGTTCTAACCAGTTACGGATCCGTAGTCCTACCGTTCGTGCTTCTTCGGTATATAATTTTTCCTCGAGGGTATCGTTGTATATATCCCGTCCCTACGCTGCTATAGCCTTTCGGTATTGCTAATTTAATCGCTAGACCGTCTAACGTATATCTTGAGTAATAATCGTCCTTTCGTCGGGTAGGACGTATCCGTAGGGCGTAATTATACTTCCTATCGGTACTCGCTCCGTAATGAAGTTATAGTACGCGTAGTCTATAGGTATCCGGGGGTGATTCTAGAATTTTGCCCGTAAGCTTATCTAGAAATAATCAAATTAGATAGGATCGACCTTCCGTTATCCGTTAACCTTTAGAAACATTTCCTTGTATTTGCGTACTAGATGCAAGGCGATTGTTCGCGCTACTATAGGTATATCTATTATAAACGTAAGGATCGTATCGTCGTTAATCCCGAATTCGTCTTTACTTTCTTTATTCGTAGTTTCTTCCTCGGTATCTAGACTTCCTTCTAAATCTTCTTGCTATTCCTCCTCTTGCTAAGGGGACTCCGGTACTTCTAGAATAGCTCCTAACTCCTCCCCGGGAGGGAATGAAGCTTCCGGATCTCGGTTTTCTTTATCGTCGGTATCTAAGCAAGATTCATTAATCGTTTCTTCTTTTAACTAGGATTTCGTATCTTCTCGTACGAGTCGCTTAATCTAAGGGAAGAATCCTGCTTCTACTTTAGCAGAATAATGAATTTAGTATTAGTCGTCGTAATAGAATCTCTAGTAAAGGGCTCTATATACGGGTTCTTGTCGTCGTGCTATTATATAGATTTGTCGTAGCTCTTCCTTTACGACCTCTGCGTAGGTCCTCGGCGCGTTATTAATAGAGTATAGCTCTACTACTATTCGGTAGCCTTCTCTACCCGAGTCCTTTCGTTATATTATATTAAACTGTTCGCGTCGCACTATATTCTTGCCGCGGCAGTTCCGTGCTATATAACCTTCCTTGCTATACGTATAGTAAGTCAATCTTCCTGCTTTCTTAAGCGAACTCTTGCCTTTTCTTCCTTTAATTGCTCGACCCTTCTAGGTAGCGTCTAGCTCTATTGGTTGCGTACCGTAGTAGTTGTTCCCCTTTGGTTTATCGTAGGTACTGTAGTTTCGTCTATTATCGTATCTAGGAGTATAACTAGCTTTTCTAGAAGTCTTAGAATCGTAACGTCGTTCTAAAGCTCGTTCGTAGAGCCTATCGTCGAGATCGATCGTAACCTTAACTAATGTTCCTATATCATCTATTTTTCTACCGTCGCGTATAAGCTCGTCTTTAACGTTATCTTTAAGACCTCGCCGATATATTATTATAAGAGCTTTATCGTCCTAATCCGTAAGTTAGGCGTATTCCTAAAATTTAGCGGCGTAATCGGCATATAACCCCTTCTAAGTCAAATGTTAGATAACCCTAACTGCGGTAGCAACTTCGTTAGAAGATCTAAAGACCTTCTTTATCGCACGCTTAAGATTTTCGTAGCTTGCGAAGATTCTATCCGAATTGTCGGTCCCGTTGCTATCTAGATAGGTCCTAAGAAATGGTTTAACCCAATACTAAGCCCTGCCTCGCATAAACGTCGTTACGAAGACTAGCTTTAAGTTATCTTGAACCTAGTTGAATATAAAATATATATCTATCTAGCTAACCTAGGTATCGAACTTGTCTCGGTCGCCGTAATAAAAGTCTAGCTTTCCGATCTTAAGAGAATCGTTTCCGGTATAGGTTCCGAATACATTGCTAGCACTAGAGGTAGTACGTCGAGTACTGCCTATCTCGCTAGGGGCGGGAGTTCCCCTTCCGACTTATAATAAGGCACTTATCCTAAGGGCGTTTAAAGTGTTACGGTTACTCGCGACAGATCGTTAGGTGACTTCTTATTACGTGCAAGCCGAGGCTTCTTTAAAGAGGCTAATATAAGCGGGAGGTAGAGACAGAATAATTGGTACAAAGGTAATTCCAATTAGTAAGTAGGTAACATAAGTTGAACGCCTCGAGCTATAAGGGCATTCCGGCGTTCCTAAATATAAAGGAGACATCTTATCTATAGTCGTAAGCGACGTAAGCGACGCTATCGCTCTCGACCGCTCTTATCGCTCCTAGTAAGATAGAGCGACAGCTCAGCCTACTAGTCTTAGCGTCGCTCTAAGATTATGTAAGGACTCTAACCAATCAGATCCGTAACAATTATTAAGCTTATTATGCTTAAACCTACGGTAATAGAAGATTGCCCCTCTAATAATATTAGTATAGAAATTAGGGACATAGAGGCACTCTTTTAGCTTAATAGTTAGGGGTTTACCTACTACTAACTTAATAGTAAAGGATGCCCTTCTAATAGCGATAACTTTGTTATATCTAGTTCCTATTGCAATAGTAGCTCGCGGAGGAATAAACATTACCTAAAAGTTAAAGCGACTAGGGTAGTTAACAATATTACAGTTAGACCTACTATCGTATATTAGGCTAACAAAGGGATTCTATTTCTTGCCCCTTGTAGCTATTAACAGATAGGTAGTTAGTGCAAGGGTAACTAAAGCGAAGGCTAATAGGTCTAGAGTGTTAGGTTTAAAGAAGCAGGCTAGCGAGACTTTGTCTAATCCATTTCCTATTCTAGCATCGTCTCTATCTTTAGCCGAAAGTCTATAGTGTTACTAGGCAATCTTAATAGCTAGTAGGTCTTTGAAGAACTTAGCCTGTCTTAAGTAGAAGCCCTTGTTCTTACGTAGGTAGGATTCAAAGTACTTTAGCTTTCCTTTCTACTTATTGTCCTTATCCTTCTCTTTAACCTGTTCTCGAAGTCGATAGTTTACTATAGTGCATTTGCCCCGGTTCTTATATGCCTTCTTCTCTTCTATACTAGTAAGTTTAGTATAGGTCTTTAGTGTACGGTTGCTACTATTACTACGGCCCTTGTTCTTATTAGGTTTATCGTTATCGTCTGTAGCTTATAGAGCGGCGTTAGCACTAGCTTTACCTTCTTCGTAGATAATGCTAAAAGATGAACCCTTCTTCGTAGAAGTACCTAGCATATTGCGGGCATATTCTCGTACTATACTAATAAGTTAATAGAAGTTATTAATCGATAGCCCTACCTAGTGCATTATATAGAGCCCTTTGCTATAGGTCTTATCTATATTTGTAACTGCAGTATATAGGTAGGTTACTAAGTTGTTAAATTCCGGGTATTGTATACGTTTTATTGTCTTATAAAGATCAAGCTATTCCTTATACTAGTACTCGGGGTCCTTTACCTACTTAGAATTTATAAGGCGGTAAAGCTTCTTACTAAGGGCAGTCCTTTACTATTAAGTATTAGGTACAAGCTTGTTCTTCAATCGAGTTAGAATAAGCCGTATAGTTAGTGCTACGTTGTCTATATTAGGATTAGTAATCTCTAAATAATAGCGAATGTCTATAGTTGTAGCTAGATATTTAATTGTTTTATTGCGAGCTGTCCTAAAGCGTTTAAACTCCGCCTTCCTTATATTAAAGTGTTCCTTAGTAAGCTTTGCCCTAGCCTAATATAGGGGGTTGCTTATAAGTTGTTCTATATCGAATTCCGGGAGAAAGGGTTGTACTAGTTTAGTTAGCTTAGTCGAATATAGGTCAGTAAGGACCTAGGTCTTATATCTAGTTAGATATGTCTTAGTTTGCTTAAACTATCGATCCTAATTATTAGGTCTACGAAGGATAATAAGCTTGCTACTACCGAGGCGACTAGCTAATAAGAGGGCTATTAAGGATATACTAAATTCGAAACGATTATAGAGGCTTATAGAAGCTTAAATAGTTGTTTTCTTATAGTGCTATTAAGACTGTCGATTATTAAAGGTCTCGTAGAATAGAAAATTCTTTCCTACTATAGAAGTCTCTAACACCGCGGATTAAATCCGGGCTTATAACTATTACGTATAGCGTAGTAGATTACTTATATAATACTATATTGCCGGCGGTTGAATTAGCTTCGTTAATTGCCTATGTTCTATCTCCTCTATAGTCTAAAATACAGTGTAGAAAATTCTTCAAGCTAAGAAGTCACGTGCCTGTCATGTGACTGAGCTGACGCGTCACACACGCGACTCTCATCTGAGAGCTTCCGTCAGCTCCGCAGCCCGAGAGGGTCCGGTGAGCGCTACGCACACGCGCATGCTACGCTACCACAAGGGCAAAGCATGGCTTCTCAATATCCAGTGCCGAACACTCCTCGCGTAATCTCTCCTTCGCCCACGCCGTCCGAGACCAGCGGCAAGGAGGGCTACTTTCCACCCACAACGCGAGCGAAGAGCCAGCGCATGAGTTCTGTGGAACCTATTCAAGAGCAAGCAAATCATAATGAGCTTGGAGTTCACGAGGAGACAGATCCAGATCTTATGCGAGCGCGTAGTAGGAGTAGGAGCCCACAGATCGACCGAAGAGCGACGCCTATCATGACGGCCAATGGAGGAATCACGACCAGCGCAAAGATTGGAATGCCCTCGGCGGCAGCTGGTGGGAGAATACGAAAGAAGCCGGACGAGAAAATCGTGCCGAATGGAGCTCCCAAGCAGATGGGCTTCCTTTCACCAACGAGCGCGTATCCTTCGGGATTTGGATCAGCATATTGGAGGAATCTGAGCAGAAGTCCTAGTCCGCTTGGCCTGATCCCTATACATCGAGAATGGAGAGACTTTATACACAAGCATGAAGTGCCGAGGAAGGTTCTGCATGTCAGCATTGGATTTGTTACACTTTGGCTATACTATGAAGGAGCGCAAACAAGTCAAATACACCCGGTCTTGCTTGGACTTCTTGTGCCAATCTTCAGCGTGGATCTGATCCGATTTAAGTGGCCTGCGTTCAACAGACTCTACATTCGATGTCTCGGAGCTTTCATGCGAGAGAGTGAAGCACACGACCGATTTAATGGTGTGATCAGCTATCTGGCCGGACTTTGGGCGGCGATGTACTTTTGCAGGAAAGATGTGGCAGTAATGAGTGTGCTGCTGCTATCATGGTGTGATACTGCAGCGAGCACTTTTGGCAGGGCATTCGGAAAGTATACGCCTCGAATTCGGAAGGGAAAGAGCTTGGCAGGCTCGATTGCGGCTTTCACATTCGGTGTTGGAGCGGCGGTGCTCTTCTGGGGCTTGATCGAGCCAAGAACTCCTGACGAGTATAACGTGGGAGTCAACAGCTTCGCATACCAGGGCACATTGACTTTGCCGTTGGAGGCCAGAAAATACCTAGGATGGACCAAGTCACAGGCGACGATAGGAGGAACGACAGCATTAGGAGTGCTCAGTGTTGTCTCGGGCTTGGTAGCTAGCGTCAGCGAGGCGATTGACCTGTGGAATCTTGACGACAACCTAACGATACCCATACTGTGCGGCGCGGGCTTGGGAGCATTCCTGTGGGCATTTGGTGGAAGCGCATGACAGATAGCGATGCCTTGCAATTCAAACAATCACGACTCCTTGTAGCCTTGTGTGTCTATACTTTCGACCGAATCTCGCAATTGGCGGGCATCACCAAATTTAGTTCGATGCCTCGCAGTTCCGTGTTCGCTGGGGAGAAGTCCCAGCACCAATGCGAAAAGTCTGGCCAAAACGTGAGCCGATCCAAGCCGAGCGCCAAACCCCAAGTCAAGCCCGAGGTACGGGCGAATGAAGTCGTTCACCTAACGCATCTGTCATTACGAGAAGAGTACTGGAAGACATTCTCTTTACTTCTCAGTGCCGGTATCACCTCAGATTGTCTCGAATTCCTCTTTCGATCGCAATGGCCTCTTTCGTACGATCACTCAGGCCGCTGGCAAGGGCTGCGGCGCCACTACACTCACGAACAGCCATTCCACGACCACAATTCACACGCTCAATACCACAGTAAGCACAACAGCCTCTTCCAATCCCCGAACTAGAAATTGACTGTGACAAAGATCACGATGCCTATCTGCTACTGCGAGACGGACGCAAGAACACGAGATCGACCTCGAATCCCTCGAGCCGACACCCATCTTCCACCTTAACGAAGTAGAGCACGCGATGAAGGAGTCAGTGGCACAGTTTGCGAACGGCGTGATCCTTCCAAAGGTGCGAGACATGGACGAGGCAGAGAGTATGGACCCCGCGATCGTCGAGCAGCTATTCGAGCAAGGTCTCATGGGTATCGAGATTCCGGAGAAGTATGGTGGTGCGGGCATGAACTTCACAGCTGCAATCGTCGGCATTGAAGAGCTTGCAAGAGTAGACCCGAGCGTCAGTGTCTTGTGCGACGTCCATAACACCTTGGTCAATACTGCCATGCTCAAGTACGGCTCTGAGGAGAGCAAGAAGAAATGGCTGCCACGGCTAGCAACGGAGACTGTTGGCTCTTTCTGTCTCTCCGAGCCTGCATCTGGATCTGATGCATTCGCTATGAAGACCAAAGCCGAGAAGACATCCGACGGCTACGTGATCAATGGCAGCAAGATGTGGATCACCAATTCCATGGAAGCCGGTTTCTTCATCGTTTTCGCAAACCTGAACCCCGAAAAGGGCTACAAAGGCATCACTGCATTCATTGTTGACAAGGAGAACCCAGGTCTGACTATAGCTAAGAAGGAGAAGAAGCTCGGCATCAAAGCCTCGTCAACGTGCGTGCTGAACTTCGATGATTGTCAAGTACCCGCAGGAAATCTTCTGGGCAAGGAGGGCGATGGCTATAAGTACGCAATTGGTCTGCTAAACGAGGGCCGCATTGGAATTGCAGCGCAAATGACCGGCCTTGCCATCGGTGCCTTCGAGAACGCAGCCAAGTATGTGTGGAACGACCGCAAACAGTTCGGCGCCTTGGTGGGAGAATTCCAGGGTATGCAACATCAGATTGCTCAAGCTTGGACCGAGATCACCGCTGCACGAGCACTAGTGTACAATGCTGCACGTAAGAAAGAGGCTGGCCAAGACTTCGTCATGGACGCTGCCATGGCCAAGCTCTTCGCGTCAAATGTTGCTGGTAAGGTATCTGGCCAAGCAATCGAGTGGATGGGTGGAATGGGCTTTGTCCGTGAAGGCCTTGCTGAAAAGTACTGGCGTGACAGCAAGATCGGTCAAATCTACGAAGGAACAAGCAACATCCAATTAACGACCATCGCGAAGCTGCTGCAAAAACAGTACACGCAGTAAAGAGGTCGCGATTCGCATGTGATTATTCAGCCTCGATGTACTTCTATTTACGATCGACAAAGGATATCGCATCTCGCCGCGAAAGAGCAGAGTTTCAGCCTCCCATCCCTTTCTCCGCGGCACACATCTTTGTTCCGAGAAAGGCCCGCCATGCCGCAGCCTTGTGGTAGTGCGGCTGCATCAGAACAGCAGTTTTGCAACAGTTTCGTCTACGATGCGATAAAATGTTCTCAAAGGGCCGAATCGTTCGCTCTCCGAAGTATCGGTAGCCCAATCAGCCTTCCTCCGGATACACCACGAAAGCCAGCACTAACATGCAGGAACAGGAGCGTACTCGGATGTGACATCAAGAAGCATTAATGGCATGAGGTACGGGGTCTCGATGATCTTATGATTCTAGGTGTTGAGAAAGTACCACCGTCATGAGCTCGGAGCACTTTACTTGTCAAGCTACACAAGCTATAAGCGAAGTATGCTCCGCTTCGCTTGTCTTCGCATTGCGGAGAGCAATAGCAAATGGCAGTATAGCACATGCACTTCTCAAGAAATGTCATCCGAACAGAAATGGATGAGTGGATCTCCGAGAATCGTTCACAAAATCTTCAGACGCTTGCCACCTACTTGGCCTGGTTCTAGGGACTGCAATCGAAGTGGAACGTCAGTAAGACCTAAATGAGGCAGCCCAAGGCACGAAAACCGGCATCACTCGTTAATCTCGCTCTGCCATCTCCGAAAAGCGTCAATGACCATCAGCATATGCTTGCGAGGCGCGTGGCTTGGTCCAGCACTACGGTCTGAGCGGGACACGAATGGTTCTAGGCGAGGTGAAGATAGGCGAAAATGTGTACATCACTCGTTTGACAAATGAGCCATGTTTAGCAAATAGCTCGAGCACACCAACAACATATCTTCACACGCTTGCGAGCTGCGTGGCTTGGCAGCAAGAACTACTGATGAAGTGGAACAGGAGTGAGACTAGGCAAGGCGGCTCGAGGTAGGCACATTGGCATCACTGGTCTATGTTGCAATGGGCTTGCGCTGCCAAGAGAAGGAGAGGGCCGAGCAACAGTCAGGCAGGCTATAGGTAAGCTGTATAAAGTAGGAACACTAGTGGGCTGAGAGAGTTTGTGCGAGAACACTATCTTTTCACCTTCTCAGAACTTCGACAAAATCTCACCTGGCCAACACAATGGCTCACCTCGTGCTCGTTCTCCTCTCTTCGCTTCTGCTACGGAGCGCTGGCCACGCTCTCCCAGCAAACCCCCGAGCCAGATCCAATGGCACCATTTCCGGAATCACCACCTCCTCCTCTGGCCTTGCAAATGCTACATTTGACTACATTGTTTGCGGTATATTCAGCCCCGCTTCTTTCTATAGCTATCCATCTGACTTCTCCCAGGCGGCGGTTTAACTGGGCTCACCATTGCGAATCGCCTGTCTGAGGACCCATCTGTCTCTGTCCTGGTTATTGAAGCTGGATATGACAATCATACCAGTCCTCTCATAAGCGATGTCCGCACCTATGGCCTCGCTTTCGATACCGAGCTTGATCATCGCATATACAGCACGCCCGTGAAATGGCAGCACGGCGAACGACTCCTTCTTGTGGCAGGCAAGACTCTTGGCGGTAGTGGCTCCCTCAATGGAGCGAGCTGGACAAAGGGCGCCAAGTCGCAGTACAACCTTCTTCCTCTGCTTTCCGGCGACGAGTCATGGGGCTGGGCCTCATTCAATCAGTACATGTTGAAGGCCGAAAACTTCCATCGACCGACTGACAGCCAGCGTGACATCAAAGGCGCTCACTATGAGTCCGGCCTTCATGGCTATGGTGGCCCAGTGCAAGTCAGTTTCGGCTCAGGGATGTATGGCGGCACTCAGTTACCAGCGCTGGAAGCCTCAGAAAATGCTCTTGTCAACTTCAGTCGCAACTTCGACGCCGCATCTGGTCAAACCAGTGGCGGCACCATCATTCCCAATATGGTCGTACCAGAAGAGAACCAGAATCGCTCTAGCCCTTTCACTGCTCATGCTCACTCCCAAGTTCAAGAGAGAAACAACTTGATCATTCTGACTGGACACCGAGTGACCAAGATTGTCTGGCGAGACACCAAAAAAGGCGCGCCTCTTGTCGCAGCCGGCGTACACTTTCAGTCATCGCAGAACTCCCCAATCGAATTCGTCAAGACAAACCGTGAAGTTCTCCTTGCTGCTGGCTCTCTCCAAAGCCCTCAAATCCTCGAACTTTCCGGCGTGGGAGATGCACATGTCTTGGAAGCAGCTGGTGTCGAACTGAAGCATGAGCTGAACGGCGTTGGCGCACACATGCAAGAACAGACCAAGAACACACTTACCTACCAAGCCCGACCAGGAATCAACTACAACGGCACCGGCCCCCCATCCTCAATCGCATTCCCAAACGCCGCTCAACTTCTCGGCGACAACGCCACAACCTGGTACCGCACCGTGAAATCCAGTCTCAAGGCATACGCAAACTCCCTCAAAGCCCGCTCCCTCGTCGCCAATGCCGAAGCAACCCATTACATCCTCCAAACCCAACTCGAAAACCTCTTCACCGCACCCGACGTCGCAGCTTCCGAGATCTTCTTCACAATCAACTCCACCGCAAACCTCATCGGTACCGACAATTGGAACCTCATCGTCCTCTCCCGCGGAACTGCACACATTCGCTCCAACTCTTCCTGGAACCCTCCCATCGTCAACCCTTCCTACTTCGACCACCCCCTCGACCAAACCTTCCAACTCGCCACGCAGAAAATCTCCCGCAAGATTTTTAACGCGGAACCACTCTCCTCGTACGTAGTAGAAGAACTTGAACCCGGTCTCCCGCGCGTTCCAATCAATGCTAGTGATGGGGTTTGGGAGGCGTGGATGAAAGAGGAGTTTACGAGCGTGTGGCATTATCTTGGGACTTGTGCTATGATGAAGGAGGAATTCGGGGGCGTGGTGGATTCGAGATTAAAAGTTTATGGGGTGCGGAATGTGAGGGTTGTGGATGCTAGTGTGGTGCCGATTCAGTTGAGTGCGCATCTTAGTAGTTCGTTGTATGGGATTGCGGAGAAGGGGGCGGATATGATTCAAGAGGATTGGGAGTAGGATTGCAAGAGAAGCGAAGGGTGGGTATTGTGATGGTGTTCATGGTGTGATGGAGTCGAGGGTTTTGAGGGTTTATTTGGTATTAGTATGTGGGTCGTGTGGGATTTAAGTGAGTAGTAGATTGTGACAGGCGAGCACTCCATAATGACTCGACGTCAGATCAAAGTCTCCCATGCCAAGTTGTCAAGTCTCGTCTCGCTTGGAGTTCACTCAGCCAAGCAGCATGCTCAGCATTTCGTTTGGCGCAGGTCGCACAATCTACCGTGCAGATGCTGTCTCGGTCAAGCTGTATCTCGCCCTTGAGCGGACCCTTCATACTACGGGGATCGTAATGCTGCAATGGGTCTTTCTTGTTGAGGTGGCGTGCCTTCCGGTCATCCGTATGCATTCGGACGATGTTGAATGCGTCCTGAGACGCTCTTTGATGCTGAGGCTTGTCCTTCTCGCCTTTTCGCTTCTTTCCAGCCCATGGAGGTCTGTCGATGCAGACGTATTCATAAGATCCATGGAAGCTGCGTTGGGCGAGGGTGACGCGAATGTCAGTCCTTGGTTTTCTGGGCTTCGTCGCGATGCGTCTCTCGCACGCAAATCCAATGTTCGGATCTCGCATCCCTAGAATGCGCTTGCCATTGCCGTATACCAGACGCTCGTCGTCGTCTGAATCGTCTGGTACTGGGACGCCTTTTCTGAGGATGCATTCCCCGTTGATGAAAACGCTGCCATCCGGCCATGTTGTGACTACAAAGGGCATTTTGACGATGTGGAAGTAGGAAACGACGACTGCGATTGACGCGAAAGCAAAACCTCTTGCTGCGATGTGGCTGCAGACGTCTGCTATCACTCCTGTCACCTGTGCGATGTAAACAAATACACTAGAGTTTCGTGCACAGACGGGAGCATCGCAGGCCAGCTTGAAAGCATGTTGCATGGTCCAGCTCCAAAGTGCGAATGGCTTCTTCACTTGTCTGGCCTGCGTCCCGGAAATGGCCCGGCTGACTTTGCGCGCATCTTGCGCGAGTGTTTCGCTGCATACAAAGGGAATCTTGAATATGTACATGTCTGCTTCCCCCTTGATATCGTCTATGCAATTGTTCGGTCAAGAGGTCCGACATCGCCTTCTTCTTGGTTTCGTGCACGTCGCGCACGTGGTCCTCCTAGTTCAGTCTCCAGTCCATCTTCAAAAGTCCGTGACACAGCGGGCTGGAGATCGTTAGCTCAATCCGCCGAAGACTCCAAGGGCCGATATAGCTGACCTTGTCTGGGTAATATCGGTACACAACCGCGCAGAGCACACCAACAGCACCAATGAAAGAGCCCACCAACACGGCACCCCACCCTGATGAGAAATGCGTGTAGTCTTCTGGTGAGAAAATACCAAGGATGTCGTTATCTTCGTGGACTGGCTCGCCATAGTTTCTTCGTTCTTGCACGTCCCACCAGTCGCCGTATGGATCACGATGTTGTCTCTTGATTGGCAGTGCTGATGTGAGGCTTGGGTCCGGATAGTTGCCGTTCTGCAATCCCATAAGTCAGTATAATTCTCCGTACAGAGTCTCTAACATATCGTGGTGCTTCGCATGTCTCCGCTCTCCTCATCTGCACCTGCTTCTCCCAGATCCAACGTACCATATTGGGATCGTCACCCATTCCAGCAAGGTCTTCCGAGCCCTGCTCAGCTTCGGCAGCACTCTTTGCGTCGGTCGCTGGTCGTGAGACTACGCTGGCATATCTTCGAGCGACAATGGGTGTTCGGGAGACGGGAGATAGACGGACGAATTGCGCTCGCGGCGCCAGGCGAAGCGCGGATCTGATGCTCGCCATTGTGTGGAGGCGAACTCGAGGGTCGTTAAGATGGTCGTGAGGTATGGCTGAGGCTTCCCGACGCCTCAATTGCTGTTCGTCGCCAATGGGTAATGATCAATCGCCAAAGCGAGAGGTGCGAGGTTCGACGCGGATACAGCCGCCGCCGCCGTGCGTCAGACGCGGCGCAAGGAATTTAAGGCAAGCGCGAAGTGGCCCCGAGTCGTGAACTCTCTTGCGTGCAAGGAGTGCGCACCACCGAGATCTGCCACTGTTTCTTTCCCTCACGATTCGCGACACTCTTTGACTTTGGCTTGTTGGCGTGATTTTGACTTGTGTTTCAGGTGTGCTATAGATCTCTAGAGACTTTGCATGGTGTTTTTATGATGATGCCGATGGGACGAGGCGCGTACGATTGGGATGACCTCGCGAGCCTCTCCTCCGGCGGACACGCGCAAGCCTGCTGCCGATACCGAAACAGAGATTGGAACAGCGAACCACGGCCACGATGCAGATAATCACGACACCACCCGTCCACGCGCCAGTTCCAGTGAGTTGGACACGCCGCCCAGCGAGCGCGAGGGCCCCGCAAACCCAAAATCCGCGACCACGACTATCAAATCCGAGCATGGCGACCAGCAGCACGATGAAACACAGGTGGAAAGCGGAAGCGGCGGCGGAGACGGAGACGGAGACGAGAACGCGACTGTTGCAGAGGCAAACGGGGAGACTGCAACTCTCCGCCCAGCACCACTGCCAAGCAAGAAGCGAAGAGAGTCAGAAGCCGCGCTGCACACCCCCGACGCGGACGAGAAAGCACACGAACTCCAACCGTTCAAGAAACGTAAGCGAGGCGCCAGTCCACCGTGGCAGTTTCCTACGGTGCAGACGTCAACGCTGAGGAATGCGGAAGGGCGTCGTGTGTCTGCCAGAGTCAACGTGGGCACGCCCGGTCTCAGCGAATCTGAGGATCAGCGTGCTCGCAGCACCAGTGTCAGCACTTCGCAGCCTCTGACTGCGACTCGCTCTCGCCCGCCCAGTCCGCCGTGGAAGAAGGTTCAAGCGGAAGGTCCCACTAGTATCATCGTCGACGGTCAGCGCAAGAGTGGTCGTGTGAACAAGGAACTGGCGCATGGTCCCAGGCGTGTAAGCCCGCGCACGAAGAAGCAGGTCGATAAGTTGGCTGGAGACAAGCATGCCGAAACGAAGCAGTCGACAGCTGCAAGCAAGAGCATGGGAGGCATCGAGAGAAAGAGTGATGCAGAGGCGACGAAGCAGGTCAACGGCCTGGACAGGCCATCAAGCTCGTCCGACAGTGCTGCAAGAATCGCAGAGCTGAAAGCCCAGATTGCTGCATTGCAGCCCACACGTTCCTTCGATACGCCGACGACCGATGCTGATCATATGCCCAAGTCTGCCAAGGCAAAGTCGCGCCGCCATGTCGTCAAACGGGAAAGAACGCAATCACCTCCTGTGCAGCGAAAGTCGCACCGACCGAGCGAAGTGCAACATTCGCCTGAACGCGCAAAGCCTTCACCACGCATCAAGCTGAAGCTGAATGCTACCAGACGAGTCATTGAAGCACCACATCCTCTTGCTAGGCCACCTTCTCCTCTCCATCCACCGCGATCTCTAGAATCAGTGTTAGAAGAGTACGAATTAGCAGAATTGCAACAGCCTTATACCGAAAATGATCGAGGTCCTCCTGATGCTGAGTTCTTTGTGCAAAGGGCGATCAAGCAGGCTGAGGAAGAAGGAGCATTACGGAAGAGACTCTTGAAGGAGGCCGAGCCAGGTGGAGCGTTGAGCAAAGAGAATTTGAGCTTATTCCGAGATGAACGACAAGCCGAACCTCCCCAACAATACGATCATCACGATCATCTGGTCGCCCATGCGCTGTTCCTTCGGCAACTGCAGATACGAGAAAAGACACAACATCGTCTGCTCGCGAAGAAGCTTGCTCACGAAGCGTTGGAGAAATGGAAGGCGAGACACGGACCAACCGAAGAAGATTTGATCGCCGAACGAAACAGGATCATTGACAATATCAGGAAACAGGTTGTCGCTGACATGAAAGCCAAATGGGAAATGGTCGAGGCCCATGTGCAAGAGCTGAAGAAGCGCGCATGGGAGAGAGAACAGGAGCGCATTCGATCAGAGAGACTCCAGAAGAAGCTGGAAGGCGCAAAGGACTTGCTTGCCAAGCAGCGAGGATACGCGGACAGTGAAGATGTCGACATGGACGAGGATAGTACCGGTGACGTGCATGATTCGAATGACAGCGAAGAAGACTCTGAGGAGAACATGAGCGACTCTCAAAGCGAATCGGGAGAAGATGAGCCAGAGGAAGAAGGTGAAATGGACAAAGACGCCTTAGCAGCATATCTTGCGCAAAGAGAGGCCGAACCTCCCGATCCAGGGAGCGATGCCGATGATGATGACGATGATGAAAATCACGATGACCATGAGGGATCTGACGATGAATCAATGGCTGGAGTTGAAGAAGAACCAAAACATGATAGTCTGGCACAATCAAGCAACGTCAATGAAGGCGTGCAGGCAGAGCAGCCTAACGATGTGGCCGAAGCTCAAAAATCCTCCGATATGGATATGGACCAGCCACCAGCCTCGACAAGGACCCGTGACCGAACGTCCCGTTCTCCACCACCTGACCAAGCCCAAGCGGACGTGGAAGCTCATCTATCGTCTGACGAGTCAACGGATATGGATTCTGAAGACTACGATTCTGATGAAGACATGAGTAGTACGGGAGACGAAGCAGATAATGATGACGATAACGATGGCGCAAGTGATTCTTCTGACAAGCCTGACAATGCCAGGACTTCACTCTTGGGTTTCTACAGCAAAGCCGAACTCAAGCAGGACCGCAATGGTGGCCTCCCCACTCCGAACACTAGTGTTGAGAACGATGGCGATGACCACCCGCGACCTCAGTCTGAGCCTAGATCTGAAGGCCAGGCCGACGCTGGAGCGTCGGAAAAGGTCGACTCACAGGATAACAGCGCTGCTATCGATGCAGATCAGACCACAGAAGTCCAATCCAGAGCGGAAGAGGATGAGGCAATGGAGCTGGATAACGCTGAAGCTGAATCAACTGACGAGCGCGAAGAGCATTCCGTCACTAAGAGCATGGTCCCTCAGCCTACTCTTCTTCGAGGCACCCTTCGCTCTTATCAACAAGCTGGTCTTGATTGGCTTGCTTCACTGTATCGGAATGGAACCAACGGCATATTGGCAGACGAAATGGGTCTGGGCAAGACAATTCAGACCATTTCTTTACTCGCTCATTTGGCGGAGGTACATGAAGTCTGGGAAGCACACCTTGTTATTGTGCCTACGTCAGTCATTCTGAACTGGGTCACGGAGTTCCAGAAATTTTTACCTGGTTTCCGCGTCTTGGGATACTATGGCACCGCCGAAGAGCGCGCATTCAAGCGCAAAGGCTGGACAAACGATGCTCATCATGACGATAAGACCAAGCGTGGTTACAACGTTGTGATCACCAGTTACAATGTGGCGATGCAGGATATCAATGCAATCAGAAACGTCCAGTGGCACTATCTCATCCTGGATGAGGCTCACAACATCCGCAATTTCAACAGCCAACGTTGGCAGGTTCTCATCCGTCTTCGCACAAGGGCAAGGCTCCTTCTGACTGGAACACCTCTTCAAAATGATCTTGCTGAAGTCTGGTCCCTGCTTACGTTCCTGACTGCCGGTAATGATGACCAATCTCAAGGCGAGCTTGAAGAGTTTCTGGCACATTGGAAAGATCCAGTCAAAGAGATCTTCGATCAGGGTGTCGAAAAGATCTCAGAAAATGCGCAAAAGGTTGTCGAGCAATTGCATATATCCCTACGGCCGTTCTTGTTGAGGCGTAAGAAGATTGAGGTAGAGAAGGACCTGCCGAAGAAGACTGAGAGTGTCGTTGTGTGCAAGCTCAGCAAGCGCCAGCGGCAGCTATATCAAGACTACATGGGCCTGGCAGAGACGAAAGCTACTTTAGCCAAGGGCAGTGGAGTGCAAGCTGGTGCCGTGCTACTGAGCCTGAGGCGGGTTTGTAACCATCCAGACCTTTTCGACCCTCGACCAATTCAGACCAGTTTTGCCATGGAGTACAGTCCGCTTGAGGCATACGACATCCGAGACCAATTAATCAGGCGCATGCTGGGTACGCAGCACCAGATACCGGACTGCTTGATAATTGCAGCACGCGAGGACCGAAATCGATCGAAATTGCGAAGAGGGAAGCAATTGTCTGGCACAGGCCATCTTCGGCGGCAACTGGATGAGCTGACCGCCGTACAAATCGATGCCAAGCCAGATCCTGCCACCGTGGCTGGCTCAATTACTCTACAGCGGCTGCATCGACGAGAGCGGAAGCTGGCCCAGCTTCGTGCATGCATCCAGGTAACTGAAAGTGCACTGGAAAGTCAACCTGTGTATGGCTCGGATTTGAAGGAACTTGTGACAATACACAAGGACCAGCCTTATCAATTCAACAGACGTCGCGTCCCAGCATACAAAGCTCTGCATGCATGGCTGCCGACCAGCCGCCGCCCGCTGCTGCTTGAGCATCCGAGTGACTGGCACATCCTCAAGAGCACTCGACTTCAGGAAGACATCGCCACGCTTGGTAGCTATGCCGACCGGCTGCAGGATACTCTTCAGAGATTTGCTTTTGTGCCACCTGCCGCCACTGTTCCCATATTGGACTTCGCTATTCCAAGACCAGTGCAAGAAACAATTCGGTCCTCGCCACTCTATCCCGCAGAGGAAGATTATGCTCATGAGGCTCGTGTCCGCACGTCAATCGCCTTTCCCGACAAGCGACTTCTCATCTACGACTCTGGCAAATTGCAGAGACTTACTTACTTGCTCCGCGAACTTCAGTCTAAGGGCTCGAGAAGTTTAATCTTCACACAGATGACTGGCACTCTAAACGTCCTGGAGCAGTTCCTCAGTCTAATGAATCTACCATACTTGCGCTTAGACGGCAGTACACCTGTTGAGCGAAGACAGCTCTACTCCGCCGAGTTCAATCGTCCCGACTCAAAGTATCAGTGCATGATACTTTCTTCTCGTGCCGGAGGTGTAGGCTTGAACTTGACTGGTGCCTCTTCTGTCATTTTCTACGATCTTGACTGGAATCCACAGATGGACAGGCAATGCATGGACCGAGCCCACAGAATCGGTCAGGTACGAGACGTCGAGGTGTACAAGATGGTTAGCGAGAAGACTGTCGAAGAGAACATCCTTCGCCGAGCCAACCAGAAAAGTCTTCTCGATCAGACTGTCATCCAAGAAGGTCACTTCACGACCGAATACCAGCACAAGGAAGACAAAGAAGACGATGTCGCCCAGGCAATTGATCGTTTCCTTGGCGGAGAGGAGAAAACAACGCAGGCACTCGCTTCCGTGGAAGATAAGGAGGACACTCAAGCTGCTCAGCAGGCAGCGAAGGAAGATCGGCAAGACGACGTCGATTTTGCAGATCGGTCATCGAAGGGCCCTTCGAAGGCTAACACGCCTGGACCAGGTGCGACCGAAGTCGATGAAGTCGCGGAGGAACGGAAAGGTCATGTTGATCTGTACATGGTCAAGCACATGCAACTGCTGATGAAAGACTGGGTATATGTGCCAGCGCCTGTGAGGAAGCTGGACAAACATGGGCGAGACCCAAGCCACCGGCCGAAGAAGAGACGGTAACAGCCATGCATGATTGTATGATATCGGCGCTCCACGGATTTCGTGAGGCGTGGTTGAATTGTTTTGAGCAGCCGCACCGAATGTTCAGCATAGCGTAGGAGTTCTGCTAGCCTGCGCGAGGTACAAGCAACGCGCGGTACTCATACAAGCGTATCAGACTCTGTAGTATAGCGAAAAGAAACTCAGGAAAACTTGAAAAGACGCGAAACCGAACCGATATCCTGATCAAGGTTAATGCTTCACGTGGGTGATTAGTCATCTCGCAGTAGGAACGCGTAAGGCAACACCACTTGAACTTCGTTTCTTTTCACCTCCCTCCTTCATCGTCAGTAAGCTTCCGACGTCCTGCTCTACTGGCTTATCATCTCACTTCGCAACAGGCAGAAGGCCATCGCACTTTGTACTGCTCTGATTCGAGCACCACCGGCATTGAGCGGCTCTTGCAATCCTGGCCTTGTTATTCAGAAGTGAGACTTAGTGAGATAGGCTCATTCAGAACCCCGGTGCACGAACTCAATGCCACCATGGAGTACCCACGATCCCGTTTACCGGCCTCTGCTGACCTGGACCAACACCGGCAGTTCCATGATTCATGGGAGCCTCGCATTGACATGAGCTTCGACTGAAGCTTTTCCACGACTGTCCAAAAAAAGCACCTTGCCAGATACACCAAAATAGTCCAAGCTGCCTGGTCTAATAACGAATTCGCCATGGATTCTCCAACTCAGAATGTGATCGCTTCTCGGGCAAGGCGCGCCTTTATGTTGGCCTACCGCATTTCATTTCCGACGTTTCGACTCGTTTGCCTTGTGAGGACGTCGACTCGCTCTCCGGTGACCTCATTCCTCAACACACTCATTGATCGCACCGCACGCAATTCTTGACTTCAATTGCATAGCAGAGCAAGCTTCAAGATCCGCTTACGACCAAGATGCACGCCATATTCCCCATCCTGGCGCTCGCCAGCTGCGCGCTAGCTCAATTGTCCTTAACCGATGCCATCAAAGAGATTCCCGCTTGCTCTATTCAATGCCTTTCTATGGGATCGGCTGCTGCCACTGAATGTGGTATCGCGGATGCGTACTGTCAATGCACCAAGGGCGCGCCAGCTATCAAGATTGTCACTCAGAAGTGCTTGTGCGAGGCTGCGGCCAGCGGGAAATGTACTGCTGATGACTTGATGAGTGAGTTGCAAAGATCTGAACGACAGCGGCAGAGTAGACAGCTAATGCGTCCCATCAGAGGCCAACAAGGCCTCATCAGATATCTGCAAGGCTGCTCTCGCCGCCAAGGGAGAAACGTTCTCTGCGCCGCCAGCCGTCGACGCAAGCGCATGTGGAGGCGCCGTGTCTTCAATGGCACCAACGATGATGTCCTCGATGATGTCGTTGCCAATGGCTTCCTCCACTTCATTTTCTACCACCATGGCAACACCAATTGCTTCTGCACCTTCGACAATGGGACCAATGCCGGGAGTGAACATGACAACTCCACCAGCGGCCTACGGTGGCACGAACACTACCATGACCAACATGACGATGACTGCCTCTACGACAATGACCGCTTCCGTAACCCCGAGCCAGACCGCGAAGCCCACCACGTCTGCTCCAGCTCAGCAAACTGCTGGTGCTCGTTCGACTGCTGCGGGAGACAGCTTTGCCGTGCTGTTGTCTTTGGGCATGCTTGGTATGGCAGCTGCTGGATTGGTGGCGATGTAAAGTGCAGGTGGTGTCAATCAATCAAAGCATGTTACACACAACGCGTTGGCGGCGAAAGAGGCATATCTCGCATTTCCATTCCGAGACCAGACGTACGTATTGATGTCTATGACGGCAGAATCTCTCAAAATCCAAAGGCTTCGACATTGTGCAATCTGAGTCCATCCCAACTTCTCCCCAGCAAGAACAGCCGTCTATTTCCAGGCAAGGCGCAGTGGCTTTCAATCAGCCACGTCCGCAATGAAGGCTACTCCTCCTCTCCTCCACACACATACCAATCACTATCCTGCTCGATTCAGCTTTATTATGTAAGTCTGAAAGAAGAGGTGCTTGCGAGCCACAGCCCTCGTCGATCTGTCCCACAGTTCACATCACACTAAGACACGGTTGACTATCACGTGCCTTAAATTGTGCCTAAAAAGCCGATGATCTCATTAGACCTCAAGGCGCAGCAAGCCGCACCGCACAGCCTTGTTCGGTCAACACTTCAGCTTCCTTCATCATTATTGGTGCGTCTTGGCCTCTGAAGGATTTATGTAATGCTGTCGATGATGATCCGATTCGCCTTTGCCTCGAGTGGCGCTGCTTAAGTTGCTTCGCTTCGCCCCCCATAACATTCTACGCGATCATATATTACCCAGTGATTCCTACACACCTGAGGCGCATCGATTACCTTGTACAGACACTTTACACTCGCAACTATGAAGTTACCTCAAGCAATCCTCTTCCTCCTCGCGTTCGTCACGACGATCCACGCCCTCGCGCTCCCCGCCTCGCTCGAACCCATCTCCGAAGCCGCGAAAGAGCTATTCAAACGCAAAGGCGGTGGAGGCGGAGGAGGTAGAGGAGGAAGTTCATCCAGTTCATCATCAAGCGGAGGCCGTTCGGGTTCCTCATCCTCATCCTCCAGCTCCAGCAGTTCCTCCGGCCGAACAAGCACAAGCTCCAACGAAGGAGGCTCAACATCCCGCGGCAGCGGAACAACCCCAGCCTTCAGCGGAGCAGGCGGAACCCGCTACTATGGCGGAGGCGCCTCGGTGCCCTACAAATCCGGCACCACACGCAGCAGTTTCGGCGCAGCGCCATATCTCGTAGGAGGCACTGTCCTCGGAATCGGAGCTTTGGGCTTGTACGGCGCATACGTCTACGCATATCCACATTACTGGAATTACTACAACCGCACATCCAGCAAGAACGAAAGCCATCCTGCGAATTGCTATTGCGCAAGATATACGGTTTGCGGCTGCGACGACAATAATTCCACCGAGTACCAGAATTCTGTCGCGAATAATGCGAGCTTGGCGAGACTTGCGGATAATGGAACTCTTTATGTTAACGGGTCGTTGCCGAATGGTACTACTGCTGCTGGAGGTTCTGATTCCGGCGCGGCGGGACTCTCGTTGAAGCAAAGTATGGGGTTTTGGCCAGTTGTCGCTGGGGTCGGGTATGCTGTTTGGTTTATGTGAAGAAGGAACTACCTTTCACGACTTTCATAAGCACACGCAATGATTTGGAATTTTCTGGATACCCACACAGTTGAAGCGAGGTGATTGGCTGTATTGTATGATGGAGGGAAGACAGGACTCTTTTTATGAATTCTTGTAAGTTCGCATACGAAAATTGTACATCTTTTGAGAAAACTTGATTGAAGAAGTCATAAATATCTCTCTTGGGCTTCTTTGATGTTGGTCAAAGCCCTGAATACCTGTGAATCATTCATCGATGATGACTTGATAATAAATCGCCCTCACCATGCCGTAGCAGAAGCGATCCGAGATAGTCTGTCCCGTGGAGCGTCATTCCAACCATGCACACATTCAGGGAACACAACCGACAGGCACAGATACAGTACTATTTCAGCCAAGAATGCTTTTCGAACATACTTGAAATATCTTCACACATACACGATATAGTTTGCCAAATTTCGGAAAGGTTCGAGCATGTGAAAAAAAGCGGGTCACAGGTAGCTTCTCGACTTACTTCCAGGTCTCGTTAAGCATTCTTGGAACAATGATCAATCTCATCTAGCACAATGTCGAAGGAGAGCTTAAGTGCTGCAGTTTAGTTTCTAGAAATTTCCACGCGATGATGGATGGCATGGATCATATCATCGTGAGAATTTGCAAGCCACCCACCCACTTATTGTCTCAAGGGCGGGTTTCATTTTGCGATTTGTTTTCTCACACAATTAGAGCCTTCAAGCTATTGGCAGGCCGAATGCTCGATATCGTGCCATCCAGACTTGCGCGCGTCTATGGATTGTTTCTTTCGAAAGCCAGGCGGGAGAAAGTCATGGCTCGTTCGAGTGCTTGTGAATATAGATGCTGTCATTTCATTGGTATCGTCGTAAAGCACGCCTAGTCTAACTCCACGCTGATGCTCCATGCCGATGAGTGCCACGTAATGTAATGTTCGGAAGTCGGTTCAGACTTGCTGGCTCCCGAACTCCGTATGCTCTTATGAAGATGATAGCAATGGTTGGAACTGCTCTCTTTTCATGTACCTCTCTCAGTCGTCCCAACTCTTCTCCACAGTCTCTCGTACCCGCTTCACATATTCCTTCCGATTGTCCTTGTACAGATTGCTGGCTTCGACGTTCGCTGGACTCGACGTGTTGGGGTCATTCAGTAAACTGTTTACACAAATATCAGCATCCACCCGTGCTCATTTTCTGACTCTTAAGCCTCACCTCTGAATACTCGTCAATATCGCCGCCACGTCGTACGTCGGGCTCCACCTATTCTGTAAGATATCCAGGCACAGCTCTCCAGTCCCGTACACATTGGGATGAAACATTTGGCTGATAAACTTGACACCCGGAGGCTTATTCGGGTACTGTTCTTCGAAATGCATCACGAGTCGGAATGTGCCGTCTTCGAAAGGTGTGTCTGAAGGTCCGATGATGACTGCGTTCCTGTTCAGACGGCCATGTATCAGCAAGAAGCCATCTTCTTTCGTCAACAGCTCTTGCTGAGTGGCAAGGCTACAATCTCCTACTCCCACTCACCAAGTCATGACATTATCAGCAATAGGACTAGCACTGACACCCGCGGGAGGATCAGTCTGCATGCGCTTGAAATCCCGCATCAATCTCCTCCGCGCCGCCGTCGACATGATGAATTCTTCCAAGCAGGATCTACACTTCCAATTGTGTACGCTTTGCTCGCGGTAGTAGCCAAGCTTTCGTTTCTCGGCCGGAGCGGGGCACGTCGGTGTTTGTGTCGATTTGAGGCGTGTGAAAGGAAGGAGGTGAAGACCGATTTGATGAAGCTTTGGGGGGTGTGAAAGCTCGATTATGGTGCGTATGGAGTTGCTGTTGTCGTCGTCGTCTGGTGTGGTGAGGTGGTGCAGAAAGGTGTTTACTGTGAGCGCAGGTCGCGTGGGGTGGAGTGCTTTCTGGGGTGAGGATGATTCAGCAGGAGAAGGCGCCGAGCTGCATTTGATGCCGCTGCCGCTGCCGGGAATCATGACTGCTACCATGATGGGCACGCGATGACGAACACGGCCAATGTGACAAATCAAGAATTTACCCAATGCAGTTTTGGCTTCTTTGGGTTCAGATTTATGTTGGTGCTGCCTGATGGCATTGCCTCACCGGACGAAGCTGTGAAGCAAGAGGCCTGTTCTTCGAGTGAGGGCAACTACATACAGCACCCAAGTAAAGATCCATGTCGGCGCTTCGACTCTGCAACTTCTGCTCGTGCTTCGGCGTCAGCTAGTCGATACACGCCATCTACAAATACATAGAGCCAGGCCAATATTCATGGCATATTCTGACATGATCACTCCAGGATCATCAAGTCCTCATCCATTTCGGAATCCCCCTGATCGGGACTAGGAGCCAGCTGCGCTGCGAGCGCATCCTCCAAGCCTTCGTCTTCGTCGACGTCCATTGCCTCGATTCGCCCCTGCTGCTCGGCGTCGGTGGCACTGTCCTCTTGCCCAGCCGTCGCCATCATGCCGAACGCTGAAGGCATACTTTCTCGCTTCTCATCTTCTCTTAGCTTGAGAGCAGCCTGGTAGTCTTCTACGCCCCCGCGCTTTCCATCGAGCACCTTCAAGGCCTGTCTCCATGCGTGAATCTGCTTATTCGTCCGGTTCTCGTCTTTGACGCCAACAAATCGGCCGTTAATTTCATGAAGGTCCAGCTGCTCGATGCGCGTTTCTGTCCAGAACCATGTCTTGCCAGATCCTTTGTCAATACGGCTGTCGTGCTTCAAGCTGTAGGCGCGGGCATCAAGAATGGCCTTCGATCCATGTGAGAGTGTCGGTCGCTTCGTGTTCACAGCCTGGAATGCTGGCGCCGAAGCCATCTCGGGCGGAGTCGAAAACCAAGCTCGCAGTGTATCGTACTCTAGGCACTTGCCTACCACCTTAGTATAGGGTATTTCTAGTCTCTCCTTGGCGTTCGTAGGGTCGTTGACGTGGAACCAGGTGCCATACTTGAAAAGTCCAGTTGGAAATCCTGTATGGCCCTGTCTCACTGGACTCTTGCCTATGCCGCCGAATGAGCGCTTAGGATCCAATGAGTATGCCTTTCCGAGGACGTGCAAACATATATTATATGATCTGCTTTCATCATAGTCATCATCGGTAGCTTCCTCGAGGTTTACAAAGCGAAGTCTGAGAGATGAGACCACCAAGACATCGGTCACAGTGGTGTTAGGCGTCTCGTGCCGAGCATCAGTGGTGTTAGGCGTGAGGCGAACGGCATCGCCCAGCAGGATTAGCTCAGCCCCAATATACAACCCTCTCACAAATAGGGTTGCCGAAGGCCAGCTTCCTGTGAAGAGGTGTTTGCCAATCACACAGAAGCTGCTCGCAACAGTAAGGGCATGCCTGATGGTTGGATGCCAGTCGTCCTCTGAGGCGCCGACACATTCTTTCCAGCATGAGAACGGTCTGATGGCGTGTAACGGAACATACTTATGCTGTCCGCTCGATTTCAGGGTCGATCCCGGTTGGTTGAGAGGCTCTACACGGAATCCTGAAAGTGTGATGCCCTGTTTTCTGTTCTCCACATCAGGAATCCGCTCGAGATCATCGGCTGTTAGAGGCTCGAGAGGAAGTTGAGTAACAACCCCTGCCTCCCATCTCGGCCGGTCAAGCCAGATTTTAGATTTCAGATCCCATCGCCTCAAGCAATTTGATGATGTGTCCCAAGCAATGCCCTCGTCCGGGGAGATGGAGCGCGTGAAAAGGACCACTTCACCATAGCGTGGCATGAAGCTCGGTAACTCCGACCATTCTATGAGCAGGTCCAGTAGTTCCTGGTGCCCAGCACGCCAGTCCGGCGACAATCGATCTTTGAATTCCCGATACCCTATACCTTCGGGTCCAGCATCTTTCACAACGTCTAGAATGTCCCGATAGATATCAGGAATACCTTCTTTATCGACCTGTTTGGCGCGTTCCGGTATCGAGAGATCATGGTTCACTTTTTTCGGCTTCACCTTCGGCTTGGCCGGGAAAGGCACAGCTTTCGAGCTACTGGCGATAGGGAAGTAATTCGATCGATCACCGGGACTACCAGTTGAGCCGCTTCCACTGCTACGCGCAGTCTTCCTCGCAGTGCCAGCGCAGAGTTTGCATGGGCAGCCTACAGTGCCGCCGAAATCCTGAAGGTGCTTCAAGTGTGGAAAGAATTCGATGATCGAGCGGAACGTGCCGTTGGGGTGACCATACATCCCTAAAAAATGTCAATGTCAGCCGGATAGGATGACTTGTCTCAACAATGGAAGAGCTTACACCTGTCAGTGTGCTTGCCGTCGGTAGAACGCTTCTTCTCCCATCCAGAATAACCGGGGGGCAGACGTTGGAGACGATAAGTGCCGGGCTTTGGGGCACTACCTTTCTGCTGCTTCATCCAATATTCCGCAACCTTGGTTAGAAAATGCTCGTCATTTTGGATGTAGGGCAGACTGTCGCCGCTAGTCTGGACAGGGATCTTATAGGTGCCATCCGAGTCCAAAGCGATTGGTATGATGACAGGCGAAGACATTGCGAATGGTGTGCTTAGCACAGAGATTATTGTATTGATCCGTGCCAAGAACTCGCAGCTGAAGGTGAAGAGCGAAGACCATGCTTCGAATTGAATGCAACAGTGCTGCTAGCGAGTCGGTTCGATGTCTCAATGCTCGATATGCAGGCGCAATGCCGTTGCGGGCAGCTCGTCTGTTAGAGCCTCGATCTGTTCTCAGCAGCCTTGGCCAGACGAGCGCGTGTCTTTCTGCCGCCCTCGCCGGCTGGTCGTCCGAGATTGAGACTCTCCGCACACGCGGCTGCGCGAGTAGGTGTTGTTGACAAAACGAGGTTCATGAGGAAAGCTAGCGAAACTGAATTGAAATTAGGTTCGGAGCTGCCCGCCAATTGCAGGAAGGCGCGAATCGGCTAACGGCTTCGAGATTCCACGTCTGGCAGGTTCAAGGCGATGCCTGTTCAAGGACGATTCAGCCCAGCCATTAGGAGAGGAAGCAGCATGGAAACGGCAGGCCGAGGAAGGGACCACGGCCACGATGGGATGGCAGGCGGACACTCCGCTCCTCCCAATCTCAGCTGCCAGTAGCCAGAGCGACATGCATCACTGAACCTTATGCGCCAGCTTAAAAGTGCTGGTGGCTGCCCATCGCGCCATCGTCCATTCTCCCACTCACTGCCTGCGTGCTGAGCGCTCACACGCGACATGTCAAACGCAGCAGGAGCGTGGCCATGGCCGCCAGACAATGCCCTTCGAAGACCTGCGAGCAGGCGAATCTCCACTCCTGTCTCTGGACGCCTCGATCGAATCACCGAAAGCACCACACCGACCACTCCGACTGCTCCACCCATACCGCAGAAGTCTGTCCTCCGGAACAGCGATACAAACTCAGACTTCCCTACACTGTCGGCAGCAGAGACGGTCGAATTTCCCCAGCCAGGATATCGTTATGCGTACAAGAACAGCACCGATACTTCCGCATCAGGAACACCAAGAACTGCCCCGCCTGCATACGAATGGGTACCAGAACCTATGCTGGTAGACGAAGATCATAAGGGCCCGGTCGAGGGCGAGAAGCTGGCTGCGTTCAGACGCTCAGGAGGACACAAGCGACAGCCTAGGGGTGGCTGGAAACGACTAGCTCTTGTCGCCTTGGCAGCTCTACTTTTGCTGGGCTTGGTGTTGGGGCTGGCATTGGGCTTGACTGTAGGCAAGCCGAAAAGCAATACAGTTGCCCCTACGCCTGCCCAGCCAGCAGATCAACAGCCGTTCCCGATAGGCTCATACAACATGGTGACTGCACTGAAGACAGTCACCACGAATTGCACATCCAACCCGGAGACCTTTAACTGTTACCCCTACAACGTATATAACTCCGCCGACTCTTCGTCGTTCTCGACGAGTTTAACGACTTTCGGCTGGACTATTACAAACACTTCTTCAACTTACGCCACGATTGGAACAGCATCCACACCAGATGAAGGCGTACCAGCGAACCTGACTATCAGCTCCAGCGGCAGCCCGTTTACTGTCAACTTCACAGACAAAGCACTCACTTATATCTCTCCTTCCTCCAACACCAGCTCAGCACGATACACTTTCAGCTTCGAGATGGAGAAAGCCTTCAACCCTCCAGTTTCCTTAACCAGCGACAACACTGCAACCCAGTGCTTCTTCAACCAGACTACCTTTACAGGAACCCTTTATCTTTCCGCGGCACGAACCTTACCTGCAGATCAGGACTCTTCGACAGCCAGCAATGGCAAACAGTGGCCATACGCCGTGGACATCACTTCCAGCAGTGCCGGAGGTCAGGATACACCGGCATGCTATGAATACCAGAACGGAGCTCTTGGAGCTCGAATCACGACAGGATTGACGCCTCAGCCAACAGGTTCGGAATGTCTTTGCGAGTATCAGAATTCTTGAAGAATTTGTGTGAAATCTTGGGAGAACTGGAAGGCGTTTGGTGGTCGGTGTTTGATGACTGACATTGATGAGATACCCAGATGAGCTGCAAAGGTGGTGGCTGAAGAGTGTACAAAGCCAGGACAGATATATATAGCGTAATCTCTATGAATTTGTGCATGACCATCCAGCCTAGCTCTTGTCTAAATTGCGGTGCTCAGTGAGCGAAGCGCAAAGCCAGTCTCTTGTTGCCTTGATCCTTCCGTGGTGTCCAGATAAATTCGATCACGAAGTCTGCATTACATTAGCGATTTCTCCTCTGCTCTGATCATATCGACGAATTTACCTGTTGTCAGTAACATAAACCCCTTTCGTAACCGCAATTCGATTCCTCGTCGGTATGCTGAAAGCTCCCGTCTTTCCCGCAGCGCATTTCATCCTCGGAGAGCTTTTCAAACGTGGTTTGGAATCCACTTGATTCAATGATCTCCGGACACCTTCAAGCTGCAGGTTATACCAATCTTGGAGGAGTCGGAGGCACGCCGGGTTGGAGATGATGATTCATCATCGATGGCGGCTTCACGATTCCAGTTGCGCTAATGAGGGCTTCGTGATCTTTCCTGGTGTACAACGTTTGGAAAGCGTCTGTGTTGCCGTGATGAATTCTGCTGGATCCAAGCTGCTTCACGGCTGCTCATGCTCGCTTTCAGTCTCACTCGGTGCACTGTCACCATCACCCTCATCGTGCTCCATTCCCGTCAATGGATCCGTTTCTGCCGCTATAATTCCTGCTTGATTTGATTTGTTCCTTCGGACATGGGACCACAGGCTGACTATCAAAACACTGAGGCCATGCACAACGGTACTGCCAAGCACGATAAAGCTGACAATTGGCCAGACTGATTCGATGGCCTTTTCTTTCGAAGTCAAAGGGTCGTGATAGACAGGTGGGTGCGAGGACGGTGTGCTGGTTCCAGTCTCTAGCACGGCCCTAGCTTCAATCGCCAGAAACAAGCCGCCCAGACCCATGGGGCCGAAATGGCCACAGAAAACTGCTTCTCGTAGGGTCTTGATATCTGGAATCCAGCGGTAGGCGGCCATTACAATTGGAATGCGACGGAATAACAGGACACATATTAAGAAACCCACAAGTCTTCCCGGTGTGATCCATGGTGTCGTCAGCAGATCGCCATACGCTCCAAATGGTATTATGGTGCCCAGATAGAAGAACATCGACGAATTGAGCAGCACATCGATGATATGAGGCAGATTTGCTTCCCTGGTCTTTCTAGCAAACCAGCCGTCTCTGGCGAAACCGTATCCTGCGCCGAAAGCAACCAGAAAGTCGTCCACGTTTAGAGTGGAGCCCACTCCAATGCAGAAAAGTGCCAGCAGAAGGTAGAAGACTGTGAAGCCAGCTTTGTCGATGAAGCCTCTTGCATCACTGAAGCGAAGGATCCAGTTGAACGTCAGTCCAATGACAAGGCCTAGGACTGTTCCAAAAAGACATTGCCAGAGCAGGGTGAGGGTAAACCAGTCTTTGAGAGCTCCAACGGCAGTGCGTTCCGCGAGCAGGTACAAGCCGATGTAGAGAAATGGGAATGAGATGCCATCGTTGCAGCCAGATTCGGCGCCCAGCATATCACGCAGTCTCTTCGGTACACGAGTACTAAATTGGCTGTTGGAAAGAATGGAAGCGGCCAGGACCGGATCGGTGGGAGAAAGACATGCCGAAATCACCATCGATGTCGGAATGTCTAGTTTGAAGATTGCCCAGCAGAAAAACGCGCAGATAATCCAGCCAAAGGTCATGACGGGACCAAGCATCATGGTGACGGATTTCCAGTGGCGACCAAAGTAGAACTTGGGAAGTTCAACGCCTGACATACCCATTAGCTGTTTCTGATGTTACAAAACTGATTCGATCACTTACCGACAGCGAAGACTTGTATACCAACGATGATACGAGTGATCTCTTGGACGACTCCGTCTCCCCATCCCCATCCCTGCTGACCTGCGTTCTCTATACATTCTCCATGTCTGCAGAAATTCGGTGTGAGCCATCCGAGTGCAAAAGGGCCCAAGACTATGCCGAAGATCAGTGCAATGGGTGGTTCGCTCAAATGTACTGCCAATGAAGGTTAGCGTTATGTGCTGCAAGGCTGAAGGAGTTCTCGCCACTTACGGCGATTTCGCCAAAAGTTCGTGAATAGAACATAGAATATCAAGAAGGTTGATAGCAGTAAGTATGTGATGTGCGGAGGCGTAGGCTCAATTTGTTCCCAGACCATGGTGGCATTCCAGAGCCCTTTTCAGGCTTGTTGGCCAGTGACTTGGCGTGAGCAAGTTGGAAATGATTCTCGAGATGCGTGCACGACGTATCCACTCAATGACCATCACTTGAGCTCACAACGAATGTTCAAAGAATTGACGGAGAAGGCTGTTGTCGATCATTGAACGCGAATGTCACGCCGTGCCGCCGAAAGAGTGTTTTCGATGCCGTCATCGTCTCTTCCCGGTATCGGCATGATGAGGAACATCGCCAGGCGTAAAGAGAGCAGAGCATTTGCTGGAGCATGGATATACCATCAGAAATCGAGTGATATGACCTCGCGCTTCATGCTGTGAGGGGGTCGCGAAAGGCAAGTGGAAGTGTACAAAGTGCATGTGTTTCTTGTGCTTATGCAAAGGCTTCTGGGGGGTGGAGGTGTGTGGTTGTGAGCTGCCATCCATATCGATGTGGCCGTACCAAGACTGGTAAACATGGTATCGTGTCAAACATGCCCGCCACGGTGTATTGTATGGACCAGAGGCTCCCCTCGACCTCACATAGGGCCCACATCAGCTTTCGCGCATGCAGCTCAGCTCAGCTCAGCTACAGTAGTTCTAAGCGCGTCGTCCTTGGATCATGGCCCAGCACGATAGATGTCACTGCAGACACAGGGTATGTCGAAACGCAGTCTGATTACCAACATTACTCCGCTGCCGTCGTCCATCTCGCGCGAGACGGCGGTGGCACAGCTCCACGACCATCATGCTATGATCGAGCTGAACCCTCTGGTGCTCCGACACAAACCCACCGACCCGCCGCCGAACGCAACTCCCGACGAGGCTCAGCTTGCCACTTGGTATCTCATTACCGATCAAATCCACTATCTCCCGGGCGGAGCAGTGAAAGGCGAAGTGTCGTACAAAGCCTGCTTCTACGATCTGCCGCTCGGAATTCAAACGCACGTCTTCGCACCCGCAGGCGTTGACATCAAGAGCAAATGGAGTGTTGGTGGTAACGTACCTGGAACGGAACCCAGAGAGGCTTCAGAGCTGGGTGTGAACAAGCCGAGAGATGGATTGTACATCAAAGAAGAGCTGGATTTGAGGTGTAATCTGTTCGTGAGCAATTTTGTGAAGAAGAATCTGAAGAAGTCACATCTCGTGGTCGTCGACAAGATCATAGAACGAGCCAAGGATAATCCGGCGCCCGCAACAGCACCGATTCAAGCGCCCGGTAATGTCAATCTCTTCAGCAGAGCCCCGGCAGTTCTATCTGGACTTACTTCGTTACCTACCCACCTGACCAAGACGTCCAAGCATCGAGAATTGCAATATTCTTGTGCGTGTGAAGGCACTGTGCATGCCTCAAGCTGTGCCTTCTTTCATCCCGACGATTTGCAGCATCAGGACGGCCTCCCGCCCTTTCGAGCATCGCAGCCGAAACCATATCACGCCATTTCTTTACCTGCTTCGGCATCATCTTACTCGGCATCTTCTGATTCTCCCAGGCTGGAGCGTTCGTTGTCAGAATTGTACGGCTCCACAAGTCCGGGCGAATGCCTCTGTACAGGCGCGCTTCATGAGCAATCATGTCCATCATTTCCAGGTCTTCGCGCCCCACGTTTACCATCCTCGCACTCTATGACTAGTCCGACGTCTTCAATACAACCATCGCCATTTGCTGCATTTGGGATAGGGTATGGCATCCCTTCCATGGGATCACAACCTCATCCAGGCGCGTATGGCAGCCGTCTCCCGCAGAATCTGGCGCATATAGGATCTGCTGAGCAAGCAGAAGTTGCCGCCGCCCGCTCCACGTTAGATGAATGGTTACAACAGAAGATGATGCCAGAGGCGCTGGACTCGCAGCGACATAGTCGACAGACTTCTGGCGCTTCTGGCCGCGCGGCTCCGAGAAGGTTGCGCGAACGATCATGGTCCCCAGACCCTACATGAGACTTATTTGTTCAACGACAGTATTTGGACACAGAAAAGCTTAGTACTACAGCGAGAGACTACTTGTTGTTCGCGAGCGAGAAATTCGTTGCGATGCCCGCGCTGTTTCGGCGACAGCGTGTTCTTGGCGTTGCGCATTCCACGACCAGCCCGCCAGCACTACGGAATGTATGCTTGTACAAAGCCATTCTGCCATTCGACGTCACGTCGCTATCACGATGCAGGGTCGTAACGTGCAACGACCAATATGGATTGTTCCTCCTCCTACCGAATGGAATGCTGGTTGGCTGGGAGGTGCGTCTACAATAGCTCTGTCCCAGGTGTGCCTCACACCATGACCTCCTGCGGCGTTTCTTTCAGTCGCGCTGTACTTAGGACATACACCCCTAATCTTTCTTACGCTGCTGTCACGCTGCAACGCCTAGAGCTCGCAAGCTAATCGCAAACTCGAATCTATATCGACACGGCATCTCCCGAGATGACACTCACCGATCGTAAGAGCAGCGTCCAAGTGCGGCATACCAACAAAGAGCCCGAGTGGTCAAGCATTTGCAACAATGTCTTTGACCAATACCTTGACGACGACGATCTGTTTGGCTTTGGTGGGCATACGCGGGAAAGAAGCAGTTCCGATGAGTCTGGCAATCTTTTCGACTTCTCTGGATCTAGCGAACAAAGCCATCAGACAGACGCCACTTCGCCAATACCTTCCTGGTCCGCCGAAGAGCAGCCAATCCCTGAAGCCAAGCAGCCTAAGGCCAAAGCTCCGCTTGACTTCTGGCACAAGAAATTGAGGGCATTGGAGCAAAATGCTGCGGATTGTGAGCGACGGCAGCAGAAGCTGAGAAATGCCAAGTCACATCCAGACTTTCTGAGCCTCGGTGGCTTTCCTTCACCTCCAGCTGTACCAGGCTCGCCGACGAACCAATTAAATTCAATCCAGCGACCAAAATCCCGAGAGCCTGGTTCAGCTGCAAACGGAAGAAGAGGACCTTCGGCCCATCGTAGCGTCACCAACCTACGCGCTGTCTCACGTGGACGACCTGTAGGTGTTACGAAGCCACTAGCATCTGCTGCCACTACTCCTGGTGCCACCATACGAAAGCATAGCGCATCGCCCTCGAAGATGATGACACCGTCGCGGTATCGAGCTGGTTTCAAGGACGTTTGGGCAGAGCGAATACAAGACAGTCCGAAGAAGTTTGAACTTAGACTTCCTTCAAATCACGCGACGTTTCCAGCATCGCCCCCGCCTTCGGCCAAGTCTACCCAAGACACCTTCGCTGCTTTCGGGTCGCCTACATATCCACCTGTGCCTGGATGCGACGATCAGATCTCACCTTTGGCGAGCACTTTCCAACAAGCTGCGCGGATACACACCCCACTTGCCTCGCCACTGCTAAGCCCTGGCAGCCATGCAAATACATCTTACTTTGAGGCTCCACTACCTCTTCCGTCCAATCCATATGTGGCAACATTGCCATTGAATGATGTCGCTCCCCTGTACCCAGATCGTGGGTCATCGCTCGCCACCAACAAGATCCAGGAGTTCGACTTTGGCTTCTCAAGCTCCCCAGACTTGAACGATACGTGGTCGGCAGCACCATTTGCAGAACCTCCTTCAACGTCCTACGCACCCGCAGATCCCTTTCTGGGCAATGACGACCCCTTTGGAGGTTTCAGTCATAGCCTGCTCCTCAATCAGCAGAGCCAGAACCACAACTCAGGGCTTGGTATCAGCTGCGACCCTAGCGTACTCAGCGGCAATTACACCACAGCCGTTCCAGATACCGCTGTTCTACCAACATCAGCCTTCCACACACCACTAGCAGCCTCGCCTTTCTATGTGCCATCCCTACCAAATGGTCTGCCGAACACTCCACGGGTGCGTCGAAGAGGTTCGCCCTCGCCACCAGCAACTGAATCTCGCTCACGCCGAGCTTCTGGCTCGAGGAGAAATTCTCGACATCGGCGAACCAAGTCTGCGAGCACAACGCCTCGCCACCATCAAGGCGCCGACAAAGGCGGATTCGTGAATTTCACACCACAGGATCATGGAAAGATTCTCAACGGTGTGGCACCGTCTGGGAGTTCCAAGACTAAAGCGAGACGAGAAAAGGAAGCGGCGGACAAGAGACGACGTCTGAGCCAGGCGGCTATGAAAGCGGTAATTGAGGCTGGAGGTGATGTTGAGACTTTACAGAAGGCTGGCCTGATAGTTTGATAATGGTTTTCTTTCTCAGCCTGGATCGTCAACGAATGTACATAGTGTCGCTTCGGGTAAGCGAAAAGATTTAATCATGGGAATGCTGTCAGGCTATCAATACCTGCAGTGCACGATTCATCCGCAGAAGCTTCGTAACACTCTTGAAACTGGATATGAATGTGCAGATCACTTGGCTGGGAAAGTGATTTGATTTTTCTTGCTTCAATGGCAAGTACTCCTCATGTGACACAAATGTCCATTAGTAAAAGCAGCACAAGCAATTATATCCAATCTATTAATCTACACATTATCGAGTAATTAAGTAGCTCCCACATACAAACACTTACATGTGATCAAGTCATCACCAAACCATCATTCCTTAAACCCAATGACCCACCCATCAACCCCAACAAACCTCGCCCCCGGATCCTTCTCCCACATCTCCCAAAACTCCCCCAACTCCCTCAAAAACCCCCGATCTCCCTCCTCCGGCTCAACGCCATAAACAGTCAAAAACCCATTCTTCTGACTCCCCGCAAAATCCCGTTTCGCACTATACGGAGCTTCCCACGCCGCACTCCCATACTTGATCCTCTCCCACGCAAACCCAGCTTCGTGCATCCAGAGATGATTTTTGAAGCCTGCGTCAGGATGGGCGCCTCTCTTGCGAGACCAGATGCGGTAGAGTTCCCAGTCGCGTTCGTTGGCGGGGCTGGTAGGGTGGGTGAAGAATGAATGGTTGTCGCGGGTTGAGATCAGACCGCCGGGTTTTATGAGACGGGAGATGCCTTTCAGGACGGACGGAGGGTTGGGGAGGTGGATTAGGACTTGGTGGGAGTAGGAGATGTCGAAGGATGAGGGTTCCAGGTGTGAGAGATCGTTGGCGTCGCCGCGGAGGAAGTCCACGTTGGTTATGTTTTGGCGTTTTGCTTCGGATTTTGCGATTTGGATTGAGTCTGTGTTTTTCTATATATCAGGGGATTTGGGGGGTTTGGATTTGGAAGGTTTCTGTACCAACTTTCGTTGTATTCAATGCCTAGGACGAATCCTTTGGGGACTTTTCGAGCCAGGTCGAGAGTTATGGATCCAGTTCCGCATCTGTAGTCGAGAGTGACTTTTAAGCAAGAATTATTCAGGTTTCCAGCGAGGCCGTCCTACCCGACATCAATGATCCGACTATCTGGCTTGATGTAAGGGAGCAGATGAGTTGCATGCTCGTCAGCAGTCCGATGGCTGAACCAAGTACGGTCGCCCCAGACCTGTGAGGCACAACTCCAAGGTTAGCAAGAGATGCAAGTGTATTGGGCTTTTCAGTGTCGCACCGGCATTTCTGGATCCCGTTCTTCGAGGGCCACCATCTTTGCGATTCTCAGTAACACTGTTGCTGTATTCTTTATGATTCCTGAACAGACTATATATATATGGGCGCGTTCGTACTGCCCATGTTCGTCAAGCGGCCAACAGCTAGCTCCAGGTTCCATTGCCAGGACCAGCTTCAAAGTTGCGGGCAAGCAAGCTGGCAGCAGTGCACATGATCTGTGGTCGAGGCAAAAGCTCAACATCCTGTCACTTGCAGCAGGTGTCTTCTTTGGTGCGGGATGGACTTGGGGATGGTGCCGGACTCCGTTTGAACCCTGTGTCTTGTTTGATAGGATGCTTGGGACGGTGTCCGCGTCCGCGCTCTACCGATTCTACGGACTTGACAGGCGTGTCCTCAGCGTTAGATTGCCCGGTCATTGTCAGAAGCGGTAAGTACTGATATCTGGCGAAGATCCCGGTTGATAGCAGCAGCGGACGGAGGAGCAAAATGTCCGGCAAGCCTGAGAACGTGGCCGACGCTGCCATTCTTTGTGACGAGAGTCATCTGAGAGTCTGCTGATTCTCGACATCATTGTTGATGTTCGCGGTGGCTCCTGCCTGTGCTGCTTTGTTTGGCCATAGGCAAATCCGAGCCTTGGCGTTTTTTCGTACATTTCGGGTCGAGCATTCCTGCGATTTGGCTGGAATGCCGGATCTCAAAGCTGAAGTCAGACATTATTACTTCAGACCGTTTGCATATATCGCGAATGACATGGCTGTTCAAGGTCCATCTCTTCGCCCATATAGAATTGTGCAGCAACCCGAGGGACAACGTCGCCTTTGCCACTTTCCCTCATATGCGCAGCCAAGGACATGTATCGAGGTGTCCGTCGGAGTGCGCCTCTTATGAAGATCGCAAGTGGAAGATGCCACCATGCGTTGACCTTTTGGCCTGTCGTAGACAGCGCGGAAGTGTAGGATGCTCTCATGGAAGGCCTTCTGACCAGGAAGGTTCGTGTAAAAGGCCCCCGAACGAAACGCACTCATCTCACTCCTAGAACACATTCTCAATACGTACTGACGCCGTGGAAGGCACCGAGCTGCCTGAATGAGGTGTGATGGACGACAAGCATTGAAGTCGTACCGACCACTAAGCGCGGGTCAAGCGCCTTTTGTGACGCTCATCCAAGTACGTGCATGCGCTACGCAGCTTCCTGTCGTGAACCGAAGGATCGTGGATCGCTTCTGGGATTTGGTCACTCCCTGTTTGCCTAGACCAGGCGATTCTCTTGACATCAACCGCTGTAATGCTGTACCTCTGCTGCTGCCGCTCGATACGACGATAGCGTTTACATGTACCAAGTACGCAGCGATTTATTGGCGACCGAACTCGCAGCGTGTTGGTTGAGGACTCTTCGAGGCCGCGTAAGCTGCTCAACAAGATAAATCAATGATGATGTATACATCTCGGGCGATTCGGCTCGGCATCGTTGGCAGCCCGCTGGATGCGGGTGGATGTTGTCGGAATGGTGGCCCCGGAGTTTGCGGTGGACATTACTCTGCCCCGATGACCTTCTAGAGCCCGAAACATGTCGCTTTCGTTTGTTTGGGGAAGCCTTGTGCATTAGTCAAGTTACTGTTTTGAGATGCAAAGCTTGCTCTTGCCGCTTACAGGCAGGTCGAACAGGGTTGAGACCCGCGCGGCGCGATGTAAACATCCATGTTGACACTGACGGGGAGCAGAACCCGGAATGTCCAGCTACATATGTACATGCATATCGATGCCGCCACCCATAGGCCGGTCCGCGATTGCGTTCTTGTGCGGTTCTGGAACTGAATCCTACATCGTTTCGCCGTCGTACGAAAAGGTGATTCAAAGAAGTGCCAAGCCTTGTTATATACATGGTCTGGGAGTGCGCATGCGGCGGGAGACTGGGCACCATGGCACCGCAGCGTGGAACTTGGCAAAGGGAGTGTCTCGAAGACGGTGGGTAAGCGCAATCCGTTTGGCATGAAACGACAGCCAACATGATACGTACTACCATGGGCTGTTGTCAAAGGCTTCACTTCGGACAGGGAAGTTGTATTCGCCGAAACGGTAAGCAGCATATGGACCGAGCAGGCGATTAGACTCGTTCTCAATGTGCCGGGAACTGTCAGCACGTATTACTTCAGAGAAGCGAGGTGGAGCAGCAGACTTGCGTCGCGTGTTGCCTGTGCCTCGATACATGGGTGTCGACAGGTGCTTGTCATGTCTTCCTGGATTTGTTGTTATTATTGAAGTGATGAAGGCGGTCTGCAAAAGGCCGGCCCTGCACAGGCCGGTTGTCGGATTGACGTATGACATTGACCTATGTATACCACAGGCTTTCGTTCCCCAAGGCTTGAGATGTCAGTACTCGGTACTGAAACAACCAGGACATGCGCAGTGTCGAGTGGGCGAGGACTGGCTGACTCGTGGTCCCAACGTTTTGTGCCGTTTGACTTTCTCATCCCTCTACTGCGACTACTACAGTAGTACTACTGCCTACTTCCCGGCAGCCAGCAACACTCCACTCCTCCGCAATTGGACCCTTCATTGACGGAGCCTGCTTCCAGAGAATGCAGACCGGGTGCCAGGCCAGGCCCAAGCAGAAACATGGCCGCGGGTCCGCAAAGCTGTCATCGGCTGGTCGCGAGAGCTCTGGGAGGGAGGGAGCACGAATCGTAGGCCGGGGGCGCGATCGAAAGCAGCACAAGCAGTGCGTTTCCTATTTCGCGCACACCATCTGGCTTCTGGGGGGGAGGAGGAGGAGGAGGAGGTGTGCGACAGCAGGCGGGAGTGCAGTAGTCCGGACGTGCGCGTTAAGAGGGCAGCAGGCTCGATCGAAGATGCCGACATGCCACGCCCCGGTTCTGCAGCGGACAGCGGGAACAAACGACCACATGCTCATCGTGTGCAGCGTCGGCGGCAAGGCACATCCTGGCTGGCTGAGCGGAAGAAGCGCGAGTGCTTGTGCGGCAAATGGGAAGGCTAAGCGTAAGCCCTTGCAAAGTCGATCGTAGCTTAAACCTCGCTGAGGTCTAGTCGGTGGCACTGGAGAGCGCGTGAACTCCAGAGAGTTCTCCGGTCGATCGAGTGTGTAGCATGAGCATGCGCATGTGTATCATCTGCACTTCCTCTCCTTCTCCCTCTGTGCCTCGCTCTCCTCCTCCACCCCTCGCCGTCTGACCACCTGCCTCACCGCCCGCGCGGCCATGGCTCTGCACCTGCATCTGCATCGATCGGACCTGCTGAGCGGACCTGCTGCAGACTAGTTCTAGCCTTTTCTTTCCTGCTACCACATCCACAGACAGTCGCTACCTGCTTGGAGCACGACGGACGGCGGAGGAATTGCCTGGCACTGGCACTGGCACTGGCACTGGCACTGGCACCGGCTTCCCAACCCCTCCACCTCCACCTCCACCTCCGCCATCACCACCATGGCGCACAGCTCGGCGCCGCCCTGGGTGTCCAATCCTGTGGCCCAGGCTCTGCTCAACTACGTCCAGATCGCCTACCCCATCGTCCTACTAATCACCTACCTCGTCACCTTCACCGTCCACAGCATCGCCTCAGCGCGTAATGATAATGACCAACCCCACCATGCAGAGCAGCTGGGCCCTGGAGGCAAACCGCTACCCAAGAAGAAACACAACCAACCCAAGAAAGAGAGGGATATACCGAGTGGCTATGACTTCAGCAGATCGAGGAAGCTGCTCTTCGAATGGCTGCAAGTCGCCGTCATCCTCTCACTAGCCGCCAACGTCGTAGTTGTGGTAACCCATGCTATTGTCGCTCGCGATGAAGGCTGGTGGTGCGGACAAGCACCGACAGTAAGTTCGGACATGTGGCCTGGCGCAGAATCTCACTTGCTAACGGCACAGATCTATCTGGTGGGCTCATTCATGGTCTATGTCCTGTTGCTCGTTCACATGATAGACTCGACACCCTCGCCTGCCATTGCTCACTTTGTCACATGGATTGTTGCCGCGCTGATGGAGCTCATCCTCCTTGGCGCCTCTTTCGCATTGTATACATCTGAGCATCGTGAGCCTAAGGCCCACCATCCCCCTGGCGGAGAGTTGCGAAGAGACATGACCGAGTGGGAAATCACGGAAGTGACGATCGATCTCATCCGCATACTCGCCGTCTTTGCCCTCGTTGCCTTTTATGCCTTGTTCGTGTATTTGCAAGGATTCAACAAGAAGCGACCCGAGACACCACAGGACTCTGAGACCACAGCCCTTCTCACCAATGGCCATACTGGTAATGGACATGCCACAGGAGCCACCAATGGATATGGCACCGCGAATGGAAAGCCTAACGGAGCTGCTACCCATACTCATGATGATGATGCTCCAGCTGGTTGGGAGAAACCCAAGTCTACCCCAAGCCGCAGCTGGTGGGAGTACATTCGAGCGTATGCTATCTTCACGCCGTATATATGGCCCGCAAAAGACAGGAAGCTGCAGATCAATTTCGTCATCTGCTTTATCATTGTCTTCCTGCAACGCGGCATCCAAATTCTCGTGCCAATCCAGGTCGGACGCATCACCGACATTTTGGCAGGAGGCGACAACGGGGTAGTGTACATGCCGTGGCTTGCGATTGGCCTCTACGTGCTTTACCGGCTATTCCAAGGAGGGAACGGCCTTCTCGGTGCAGCCAGACAAGTGTTGTGGATTCCCATTGAGCAGTACTCGTATCGAGAGCTGTCTGTGGCTGCATTTGAGCACGTCCACATGCTCAGTCTCGAATTCCATCTTGGCAAGAAGACTGGCGAAGTACTGTCCGCCCTAGGCAAAGGCGCGTCCTTGAACACCTTCCTGGAATCCGTCACCTTTAACGTACTACCCATGCTCATTGATCTCGGCGCAGCTTTCGTCTACTTTCTGGTAGATTTCGACGCCTACTATGCCCTTGTGATCGCTGTGGTCACTTTTTGGTATATCTACATCACGATCCGCATGGCTTCCTGGCGTGCAGAGATTCGTCGCCAGGCCACGAACGCAAGCCGAGAAGAAGACGCCGTCAAGAACGACTCAATGATGTCTTACGAGACTGTCAAATATTTCAATGCCGAAGATTATGAGTTCAACAGATACCGAGAAGCTGTGAACAAATTTCAGAAAGCCGAATACCTTGTCACCTTCTCCCTGGCTTTGATGAATACAATTCAGAATCTGGTCTTCATGCTCGGCTTGATTGTAGCGAGCTTCATTGCAGCCTACCAAGTGACGACCGGAGTGCTGAAAGTGGGAAGGTTCGTCACACTGTTGACGTACCTGACCCAACTCCAAGGCCCGCTCAATTTCTTTGGCACGTTCTACCGCATGATCCAGAACAATATGATCAACGCAGAGCGCATGCTGGAGCTGTTCAAGGAAAAGCCAACTGTGGAGGACAAACCAGATGCACAACCTCTGGAAAGGTGTGAGGGTGAAATAAGCTATACTGATATTCACTTCTCTTATGACAATCGCAAGCCTGCGCTGCAAGGCCTTAAGTTTGTCTGCAAGCCTGGTACGACGACGGCGCTGGTTGGCGAGTCTGGCGGCGGCAAGTCGACCATCTTCCGTCTCCTTTTCAGGTTTTACAACACCCAGTCTGGCAGCATCCGAATCGATGGACACGATGTGGAGAGCGTCACAATTGACAGCTTGCGAAAACACATTGGCGTCGTACCTCAAGACACTGTTCTGTTCAACGAGTCGCTCATGTACAATTTGAAGTACGCCCGGCAAACCGCGACGGACGAGGAGGTTTACGAGGCATGCAGAGCTGCTAGCATACATGACAAGATCATGGGCTTCCCGGACAAGTATGAAACCAAAGTCGGTGAGCGAGGACTTCGATTATCGGGAGGCGAGAAGCAACGTGTCGCCATCGCCCGAACGATTATCAAAAATCCACGCATCATCTTGTTGGATGAAGCAACGGCAGCACTTGACACTGAGACGGAGGAACACATCCAAGAAGCCCTTCAGACTCTTGCAAGAGGCCGCACTATGCTCGTCATTGCCCATCGTCTCAGCACCATCACCATGTGCGACCAGATTCTAGTCCTGCACCAAGGTCAGGTGGTCGAAGAAGGTACACATCTTGAGCTTTTGGCGAAAAGAGGTCGATATGCGGGGATGTGGAAAAAGCAGGTCCGTGCACAGCGTGCGGCAGAAGAAGCAAAAGTGCTCAAAGACAAAGCTGATCGACTTAGACGTGAAAGTATGGACAGCAGCGCGACACGTGCTCGTAATGGCATGGATGAGGAGACGCCGCCTAGTAGCGACGAGGACGATCAGGCGCGTAACAAACAGCCTGTGGATGGCAGTGACTTTCAGCGGGCACTCTCGTTATCACCCAAGTCTGCGATACCACAGGCGCAAATATCCTCGGTGCTTGGAGGAAAAGATACCGGAACAGATACGCGAGCGGTACAGGAAGCCTTACGGAGCGGTACAGTGCGATCTCCTTCACCTGTTGTAGAGGAGGAGCAATCAGCGAGGAAGCCGCCAGGTCACCCTTAGATTGGATGGGTAGCAGGCGCAATGAGAGTGTTTGGAGCGGCAAAGTGGATTACTGCACGCAATGCTGCTGCATAATGTTAACCGAGAGTACATTTAGAGGGCGTGAGCCAGTGAAGCAGCCTTGGCCACGAAAAAAGCATCGTTCCGGGAAGGGCTGATTGCATATATACGGGTTGGCTGTAAAATGGCGGTGAGCGCGGGGCGTTTGGGGGTTTTTTGACTACTTCTACTGATACTACTGTGACGAGGCAAACGATACGACATTTTGGAGAAGCAATGCGGCGGAAGGGTTCTGGCCACATTGTCGATCTTACTTGAGTGGTACAGGCGGCATCTCGAGTTTGAATTGCTTGGAGGAAGAATTTTGGCTCCGTTCACTCGGAGCTAGGGATGGATTGATGCACGCACAGTGATAGCACTTACTCGTCTTTTCCCGATAGCTCCATCCTGAAGCAAGGATTTCCTGCAATGCCTGCACGAACCTTCCCAGTTCTCTCTGCGCTTTGAAGCTTCTCGTGAGTTGAATGATTGGACGCGTTTGAGTCGCTGACTGCTGACTTCTAGCTCTCTCGATGGGTTGTGAGTGGTCGAGTATTTGAAATCCTTCCTTGAGAAGTCAAGGTCTTTGTGACGATACGATCCATCCACATAGTATCAGTCACTGGGTGCGGTATGTATGCATGCAGCTGTATGCACGTTGCTCGCGTGCCATCGATCCGATGATCGAACCCCCCGAACTACCGAACGCAGGCAATGTGCCGGCCGACAAGCCACTACCACTCATAAAAGGACACATGTACTGTATGTACATACATGCAGGAGCCGCTTCCCTCGTATGTGGCTTGCCCGCTCTTGCATGTGCAGCACAGTACAGTAGTTTGAAGTGCCATATATAAACTGCCGGTCCGAAGGTATGCATGGTGCCGGGCCGTGGATGTGATGCCGACCGAGGTGCATGAGTCGGTGAGTCGTGGTCTACTACTCATGAAGTGTTTCTTTTCTTGCTTGCGTCTCGGTTTCGGTTTGTGCTAGGCCGTTTCATATCGAGGCGGCAGAGCCTCGGAATGATATGGTTGTGCATCGATGGCATGTACAGTAGTGTTTCGTAGAGATTCGTGGCTGTACCTACCGGGATCTTCACTTCGCTATTGAGGATTTGGGTTGTTCAAACACCTTCCTGTCCATAAATGCGTGAATTCTCTGCTGCTCGTTCAATAATGAAAGGGCCGTCGATCTGAGCTCCCACGTACAGACCTCTGCTCTTCATGTGTGTGCACACAGCAGCTTGACGCTTCAATAGCTCGCTATCGAGTGTCTGACCTGCACCGAAAAATTTCGGGTCAACGCATGGGCATTTATGTGGTTAGCCGTAGATTGTCGTCGCAATTGACTGTAGACAGGAGGCGATGTTGGAAGAGAAAGTGTACTGCAATGGTGGATGTTGATGGCCGAAGTTGCCCTGCCAAGCCTTCTTCCAAGACAACATTCTGCCACACCACTACGAGCGTCCCCGACTCGCACTTTGCGCCATTGCTAGCACCTCAGCCTGCATAATGATTGCTGACCTGTCCGTAGACCGCATCACGACCTTCAGAAATACCGCATAGCGACGAATGGCCCGGCCTCCGACGATGCCGCGTAGACGTTTGGCGGTGAAGATGGTCGTTCACCTGTGGAGAAAGGGAAGTCACTCAAGTTGACTGCAGTAAGAGTAAGAACCTGAGGCGAAGGCGTATCCGACAATTCTCCTTGCAACAGAGCGACGCCGGGCGAAAGATTCATGCGGATTTCCCATACAGCTCGAGTGGCCTGGTCATGATTTGTAGGCGCACCGCAAGGCGAGACATACATTGTGTCGACATCCACTTATAGATGGGCATGTTCTGGCAGCGTGGTAGCGCCATTTGCTCTATTCTCAGATGGAGCTGAGGTCGTTTCTTGCCACTAAAGATGGAATCGAATGCAATCAACTGTAGCTCATCGTCCGTGACTGGACCGTCTACATGGACTGATTGTTGTCGAGCAGGTGCCGCAGGTGTTCTTTGGCACTGCAAGCATGCGCAACCTAGAGCGAGACATCATAGGGCCTTCCCTCGGAGCACTCAGCAAACTTGTCATGTACATACTGCCCTCGTTCCCAACTTCCTAAATTCTTTCTCATCAAAGCCTCCATCTCTCCCCTCGAGATCAAACCTTCTGGGCAGACACCAGCAGAGCTATCAAACATAATACTCCCACCCATCGCAGCAACATGACGAAAATTATCGGACAGATCAAGGTTGGAGCCCTGTTGAAGAAAGCGCAAAGATTTGAGCCCGCAAACGACAGCTCTCCACGCGACATTTTCACATACGACGCATTCGACCTTGCCTCTGGTGCCGGCATGCCAATGAGCGGTCTCTATTTTCGCCGCGATGACCCTCGTGATATACTAGTTTTCGTGGTGGGCTGCAGCATAAATCATACCGATATCAATGGCACTACTGCTCGCGCAGGCTGCGCCTGGTTCTTCAAACCTCCTCCACTTCCATTCGACCTGCGCAGTTCGAGCATTCGGCTTGAACAGGATGGCCCGTGGAGCCACGAGCACCCTCAGACGAGCGATAGGGCTGAGCTTCGTGCCACGATTGGCGCTCTCCAACATGGTTTCTGGTACGAATTGGGTTTCAACAATGTTGTGATTGCCTCGTCGAGTGATTATCTTGTGCTGGGCATCACCCTTTGGATCAAGAATTGGAGGGCACACGGCTGGCGCGACGCATCAGGCACTGTCATTGAGAATCAGGATCTGTGGAAGGTTCTACTTTGTGAAATCAGTCGCTACTCCCATATGGGCACGAATGTCCTGTTCTGGAAGATCTCAGACGATGAGAATACCGAGGCCCGCGTGGCTGCGACGAGCGCAGCATATACTAAGCCCAATGTCAAGCAGTATACCGGAATCGTACGCACCACTTAATCAGGCGACTAAAAGCATGATATTTTATTGACCATCGCTATGGTGAGTGAAATGAAGCCGCAAGCTTTTGAATTGTGTTTGTATTCCTGTAGGAGCTGACGAAGTTAGGAAGCGCTCGGCAACTCAGACTCTACGTTCGTTGCATATCCACAGAGTGTTTACCAATTTTGACAGGACTTTACGTGAGCCGTATACACCTGTATCTGGTGGCCTGCAAATCCATCCGGCACGCGGTAACGACTATCCTGGCAAGTTTCATGGCTTTGCCACGTCTCATTACCATCGAGCACCGTCGGAGAATGGGACGACAAAAGCAAGTTGGGCCAAAGGTACTGGCATTCATCATGCAGTCACCTGGTGTATGTATACTGAAGAAATCATAAGCTCTTTCTCTGCAACACTATATACTTGATGATTGCTGTTCTCATGGCCCAAAGGATGAAATTCTGGACAACCAACAACTTCTGACAAAAAGTCTATCGGTGGCGGCGAAAGATCTTGCGAAGGCAGACTGGTCATCGGAAGCGTGATAGTCCGGATCACTGGAGCAGTCTTCCACTCCGAAAAAACTTCCTAGCGACGTGGCAGAGATGCCCCTACAAGGAGGGCTTGTCGCGTCCACTTTTGCACTCTTTCTCGCCGTAACCTTTGTTGCAAATGAGGACTGGCTAGACTGGGGATTCTACGTTATGCTCGCGGCGTACGCGGGTATGGCAGCTACAATCCTGGCGGCAGAGGTGCCCAAGCGGGAAAACAGCACTGCCGCAGAGAGTCTGGTCTAAGACTCGATCACCGCGGGGATTCATGGCAGGCGAGCTACATCGACTGGCTCGTCGTAAGCAAAGGCGAGCAAGCAGAGGGGTTGTGGGTTGGTCGCATGTGGAGACGAGTATGAGAGCTTTGCAGTACCGTGGATACAGTCATGGTTGACATGAACTCAGCTAACCCACCTCAATGCTTGCGGCTTTGGACGGAATTGCTGGAGGGCAGAAGGTATGCAAGACTGGTCCTCTCTCACGGCAGGCCATCATCCATCACCACTTTTAACAAAATGTGCCGCGTAAAGAAACGTGTCTGGTTCGGTTTCGCTGACTGCATTGGTTGCTTGATCCTAGGCTACTGCCTTACCCAGCTCGAACGCTTCCGCAAAACACCCTTCTTCATCGTCACTGAATGCTGCATCGCGTTCTTACCCTTCCTGCTGGGAAATGTCTTGATCATCAAGCCACTCTGCCGCTACGGGAAATTCTTCATGCGGCAGGCTTATATTTTGGGGACGCTCGGGATGCTGTTCTACTCGACCGCATATTGCCAGCTCTACGGAATGCAAAACTTGGAAGAAGCGATATGCGGCTATGCAATGTCGATCTACCTCTCCGGACTTCTATGGGTCTTTGTGCATCGGAAGTGGTATGTTCATTGGAACAACGTGGTGGATGAAGAGCTCGCCGCCGCTGGGTTCCCTGATGGACTCCCTTGGCATGGGGGCATGCGCAGGAGGGATCGGAGAGTGAGTAGTGTTCTTTTGCAAACCCAGGCCAGTCAGGCTGACCAATTGTAGCGATTTGAAAGGCTTTTGCAGCTGGCCGAAATGCGATAGAGTAGTAAGCCAAGCTTTTGCTTACCAGCTTATAACCACAAGGCTGGCACTCGAGCGCACCAATATTGCATTTCAGTGGTGTGAGAAAATGATTCCACGAATTCAACCAGCGACCGATCTTCTCGACAACTCCAACAACCTCTGAAAGCGTCTTTACACATCAACAACATGGCTCGCTGCGGCTCGATATGCTGCAATCGACTGGGCACCAAACGTCAAGCGTGGTTGGGAATCATGTTCGGAATCGTGGCAGCCTGCACCGGTTTCGTCGTTTTCGACCTCGACAAAAAGCTGGATCTGTGGCTGGCCTTCGCATTCCTCCTCATTCTGCCGATGAACATACTAGCGACGGTGCTTGTGGTCCGGAATAGTTGTAAAGACCTTACCTCGCAGATTGTCAAGGGATTTCTGCTTGGGATGATCTTCACAGCTCTTCTCACCATCGGACTTTATTACGGTGTCAATGGTATCAAGGCTTCGCCACTCGCACTGGGAGCTCTCCTGCCGCCCTGGCTCTTTGTCATGGTACCACTGTCGATCCATCATCTTCAACAGCCTCAGGAACCACGTGCGCCACAACACATCGGCCTGGATGAAACGAGATCGGTTATTGATCATCCGCCCCCGGCTTATGTTCCTTGAATGCGCTTCCAGTATCATAAGACAAACATTTTGGAGAACGGGAGAGACTCGAAGGAAGCCGATTGTACTGGAGCTAGATCGCATCGACCATTTTGGATTCCAGAAGAGTCTTTCGTTTCAGGTTCCGATGGATTCAGCAACCACATGACTTGGACTGCGTGCTCTTCACGGGTGCACATCAACTGGCTGCAATGTGAGGACGACTTAGTGTCAAGCATGGTGCATTGGAGAGGCTAGATGGCTGGCAAGTTGGTAAGCAGGAAGTGACGCTCCGGCAGCCGTACAATGGTGATGAAGAGTGTAAAAAGCTTCAGTTACGCGAATGGGCAGCACTCGGCGGCGTAGTGTTGCGGAGGATGTTGTGATTATTGGACATTCGCAAGGGAGAATAGGCAGGCGCGAAAAGGCTAGTCTAAATTAGGCAGCCACCCAAAAATAGCTCTCAGAGGATCAAAGGATCGCGCCTCGAGAGTCGCGAACGTGAACCTTTTCAACGACAACAATGTAACACAGAATCTGAAGTCCAGCAAACCAAACAGTCTCAAATATCCGAGTTACAGCTCAAACTCGCCAAATCTCAAGAACCTTGTCCAATGCACCACTGAAGACCAACTACAAGATCGTCCTGCGACAATGGCCCTCAAACTTGTCACCTTCGCTTCCCTGGTGGAATATGTCTTCATCAAACCATACATGATCAACGCCAACCAAGATGGGACCGACTTCATTGGCTACTGTCTTGTCATGGCAACTCTGGCCTTCTTCGGTCGCATGCATTTGCAATACCTCACCCCTGCCCAGGCAGCAAAAAGCACTCTGGAGTGGCATTTCCGGTGGAGTGGTACGCTATGCTTGGCTATTACTCTACGTGAGCAGAGATTATCGGGCAATGCATCATCTCTTGGTTGCGAAGCTGGCCATTCTACGTGGTCTGCTTTTCGGTGCTTGGAACGTGAGGCGTGGAAAAGGAGGGCTTTTCAGGAGTTCGGGAAATGGGAGGAGAGTGTTAGTGTTGAAAGCTCCGTCTAGTTTGACGGACATATGCTGATATGAGTACAGTTATGGAAGCGGGTCTGGAGGTGGCAGTCTCCAGCATCCTTTCAATATGGGCTGTAATAGCTGTGGCATGAGGAATGGTATGCCAGTTGACGAATAACATGGCATAAGACTCACAGCACGAATGGACCAACTTCAGGAAATACGGAGTACCTGCACTAGCATCAAAGACGTACCAACAGCAAGGGTACCCGAAGGGCGTGGCTAGGAGGCCATACATGAACAAGTTTATCCAGCAAAGCAGAAAGGCTCCGGTCTCAGGGCTTCGTATTGATCAAGGCCAACATACGAAAAATTAGATACAGGCAGGGACTATGCTGTGTGCACGCACACAGAGTGGAAAAATTGTCATTGAAATGAAAAGTCCCAGCAATAGATGGGCAGAAGTCTGGAGGCTAAGGCCCAACAACACATCCTCAAACCAGTCCAAGGCAGTCTTTCAATGATACACTAGTTTTTAATTATCACGACGCGATATCACCTGTTCGCATTCGCAACGACTATTCATTGAAGTTCCAATTATCTCCATGTGAATGTCCGTTCATCTCCGCAGATCACGTCCAAGCTCAAAGTCAAAGCTTGCACTTCGCATCTCCATCCTCTGCTCCATCACACCACACCACCCCATCATCCGCGAATCGTCACGATGTCCATCGACCCAACAGCTCATTCTCTGCCCTCAGATACAAGCATCTCCTCCGCTTTAGCCTCCCAACGCAATGCCAGCGGCTACGACTGTACGCCCTGCCGACTCATGGGCTCCGCAACATTTGTCGGTCTGGGCGCATACACGTACTATTCTGGCATGAAACAGCTTCGACAGGCAGAGGTGCAACAGCAGATTTTGAAGAGTGGAAGTAAATTTGGGTTGGGTGCGAGGAAGGCGAGTATTTTGGGGTTGAGTATGGGGTGTGCTGCGTTGGGGATGTATAGGTTGGTGAATTGAAGATAGGATGTAATTGGGAATGTCGAAAGGAAGATGCGATGAAAGAGAGGATAGGTGGAATTTATTGCACCCGGTCAGTGAGATGGGAGAGGTTTTCCAGATGCTGGACATGAGGGCAAAATGGATCTGGGATGGGCTGGTTCATGTTCATGTTCATGTTCACAAGCAACGCCATGCAGTCGAGAACGATGATATCAGCCACGCAATACGGCGATCCCCGAAGAAGTCAGGAGCACGATCTTCCGACTGCGATGGCAAGACAACACATCGCAAAGCGCCCGGGCCGAGCTGGATGCACAATCACGATGTATAAAATCCCATGCAGCACCTCTCGACACGCATTAAACGAGCCCAAGAAGGCAGCGAAGATGGCAGCGTCGCTCTAAAAGGTCACAACTTCAGCCTTTGCCATTGACAGTTAGACACAAAACGTGAAAAGGGGCAAACCATCGCTTTCGCTTGAGCACATGGAAATGGCCTTTGGGTATCGGTTACGCGTCTCTAATGGCCCACGCCTTGTAAAAGTCTAGCCATAAATGGGTTACTGGACTTATTAAACTGTCTTCAAACAGTGACGATAGTCTCAGATCACGGGATAGCTGTACATTGAGGGACCAGCTGTCAAGCACTGTGTGAAAGCGGATCTGCCTTAAGGGCACCCAGGAAACCAAACTTGAACACCTAGATATTGCGATGAACTCGAGACGGACACACCAGGGCCGAGATGCTATGATAGCTGCTTATTGCAAGAGGACATCACAGCATGAGAAGTAATCTTTCCACGGTTCTTAGAGCACGACCAAACGTATGGGGTTTAGTAATATGAATATGCTGAACTTGCCAAAAGGGCTCACAAAGAGCTGCTCTTTAGTTCGTCAAGACTATGCACAAGTAGAATCGAAATTGCCATCCTATCAATATGCGTGGTCTGCGTCAATGCACCAACGGGGTATCTTTATCGATCATCAAAAACACGATCAACTCCTCCTGTGAAATGCATTCCTGCCCGAACCCGAATCATCAGCCGTCTAGACGTTCCCATGATGCTCTGAATGCTATGTCTGTCATAACGCTTGACTTCAAATCACATATCCGCACTCATTTGCTTCACACATGCCTGCGCTTCCCACCTCTACCTGTTCCACTGCCATCCTTGCGATCGCTGCCATCGTTGATACCGGAAATGTCAAAAAAGTCTGGGTAAGGAATTTTGCGCTTGCTGCCAGATGCTGCTCCGAGGTTGAAACTCAGTGTCGGTGTGTTGCTGCCATTGTTCCGTCTGTTGTGGTTGGAGTGGCGGGTGCTTCGAGTCGGTCGCTGGACGATGCGGACTGCTTCGGCACTAGATGGGTTGGAAGAGGCGGTGAAAGCTTGGATTGGTGGTGCTGGGTTTGAGGCGTCCATCTCCATGTCTGCGTTCGTATCTCTGTCATGGGTTGAGACTGGGTATGCGTGGTTTGACTCGAAGGTGAAGTCGCTCTGTGGTAGTGATCGTTGGTGCAATGGTGCCTGTGGTGGCTCAGATACGACTCGTCGTGGTGTGGAGATCTCTTCGGCAAGATCACTACTTGAGAGCGGCAGATGTGGTTTTCTCTGGACTTCTGGGCTCGAACTTCGCTCGGTGGCTTTGTCGTCGTCCTTGACGGTGGTAATGTTCGTATCATCGTCGTCTTCTGCATGAGCGGCACCTGCCTGGCGTGTGGGGTCTGTATCCAATCGCTCGGTGGCCCACTGCCTCACTCTCCAACCCTCGCCATCCATGAGACCGAGATTCTCCTTGTCCAAAAATGCCAACAAGTCATCCAAAGCATCTTGGTATCCGCCTGCTCGTGCTGTATTCTGGCTCGCTACGGCATTTCTGTATAGATCGGTGACGCTTCTGGCGGCATTTCGAAAGTCGGCGGCAAGGTCATACTCGCCCCTCTGACGTGGCAGCGATGTCGAGAGGTGCCGCATGGAGTCCATGGTGGTAGTGTGTGTTTGCTGCCAGTCGAGGTGTGGTGTGTACAAAGGAAAGGGAGAAGGGGCGCTGGCCGAGGGGGGAGCACAAAGGTGCAGTCGTGCTAAGCTGGACTTCAGCAGACCCAAATGAAGGTGACGGCGGTGCCCGATGTGGAGAAGGGAAAGTTCTGCGCCGACGAAGTGGGTGCTGGCGCAGCCTCCTCAGTGCTGGTGAATGTGTGTATTGTGCGGAGAGAGTTACATATGTATTAAAAGTGAAGCATGATCTCAGACTTGCTTTGTTGTTGTTGTCGTCGTCGATCTGCGATGCCCTTCCCGCTCCTCGCTTGCCGCTGCCATCATCCCGGACCGCACGTGCCTGATCCTCTCATGGCCCAGCACCCACGGGCCACCACCCACCACCACCCACCCAGGCACCACCCCACCAGTCGTGACTCGTCAGACGTCAGTCGTCACTGCTCGCGCTTGAATTGTGTCGTTCTACCGTACGGAAGGGATCCTGGCACAATAGCACCAAATATTCAATGGCATTGGCCGAACAGTCACTCCCTCAGCCACTCCGAATCTCCGTCCAGCCTCGCGGTATGATGAAATGCTGATCTCTGTCGCCTAGACCATAATTCGACATTTTCCCTTCCTGGCCATTCCTCCCTTTCCCGAGCACACCACACCATGGCATCTGTAACGTCCCTCGATCAGGACATGCGCAACTTGCGCCTATCTCGATACACTCCGCAGGCAGCAAACGAGGCACGAACTTGGATAGAACGTACCTTGGGCGAGAAGCTGCCTTCTGGAGACTTGCTAGAAGGATTAAAAGATGGCGTCGCATTATGCAAACTGGCAAATCTCGCGGTCCAAGGCAAGGCTGGCTCGATCAAGTTCAAGGCCAGTCCCATGCCTTTCATCCAGATGGAGAACATCAGCCATTTCCTGAAGGCCTGCGAAATGCCACCTCTGAACATGCCAGCACATGATCGCTTCCTGACTGTCGATCTGTTCGAGCAGAAGGACCCAGCACAAGTACTACAATGCCTAAGCGCATTCAGCAGGCAGGCGCATAATCTCAACCCGTCGAGATTTACATCTACAATTGGGCCTCGAAAGGCAGGAGGTACCATGTCTCCAGCGACCACGGGCGGAGGCTACACAAATGGTGGCAGCATGCGACGCGCACCAAGTCCGACCAAACCCTCGGTTGCCATGCCTACAAACACCCGTGCCATGAGCCCGGCACTTACAGGAGGATCGAACAGCTCGCGACAATCAGCCACAAAGTCTCCAGAAGGTCCGGTTAGCAGCTGGAGTAATAGAGCCGATGAGACAAAGACAGCGCCTGCATGGAACATCCACCAGTACGGTTACATGGGAGGAGCATCGCAGGGCAATCAAGGCATTAGCTTTGGCGCGAGGCGGCAGATTACTAGTCAAGCCCCTGCAGTGCCATCTCTAGCCGAGAAGCAGAAGCTACGAAAGCAGAAAGAGGAAGAAGAGGAGCGAGCACGACAGCAAGCTGCGGAAGAGCGTGAGCGGCGCGCGAGAGACGTGCAGCAAGCAGAGGAGCGGGCAAGACTGGAAGAGGAACGAAAATGGGAAGAGGAGACCAAGCGAAATCGCGAAGAGGAGAGGCAGCGTCTGGAACAGCAAAAACGAGAATGGGAAGAACAAGAGCGGAAGTGGAGGGAAGAGGAGCAACAAGAAGAGCTTCGCAGACGAGAAGATGCTGAGCTGCAAGCTAAGATGAGTGCACGGAAGCCGCCTGAGAAGCCTAGGGTGCCCAGCTCGAGCATCCTACGTGGCCAGACTCTATCACAATGGCAGAAAGAACAAACCGCATTATCTGCAGTGACAGTAGGCTCTCCTGAGAGTACTGAGACGCCAGAACAGCGCAGAGTGAGAGAACTCGAGAAACAGCTTGAAGAAGCACGAGAACGCGAACGACAATATCAGGCCGAGCGGGAGGAGCGGTTACGAAAAGGCACGGGCGAGTCTGGGTCTCGGCCCAGCACCGCAGATACTGCACGACCAAGTAGCGCACAGCAGAGCGATGTCAGCTGGGCAGGCGATGAGCGCGAATTCTCACGAAAGCAGTTACACGCCGAGCCAGCGGCGGCCCGCCCAACTCAAGTCGGCGCTCAGAGACCTCTGCCTGCAAAGCCCGAAGCAGCACCAAGCCTGCCATCACGTCCACTCCCTGAGCCAGCAGTTTCGACCCCACCCCCCTCACTACCCGCAAGAGGTCAACCATCACCATTCACAAGACCGCTTCCAACACCCAAGCATGACCCAGAGCCAGCACCGCAACCCGAACCAGAGATATTTGAGCAACGCCAACCGAATCGGACAGAAGCGTTTCTCGCCAGCAATCCAGCTCCAGCAACTACAGGACCTCGAATATCTTCATCTCAAGAGGCCGGCGATACCTCGCTCGAGCAACAACGACTACGCGACTCCCGTGTAGCCTCACAGCAAAAGACGAAAGCTGGCGGCTGGGCGAGTAAGTCACTCTTGGAACGAGAAATGGAGCGTGAGCGAGAAAGGCAGAAGGAATGGGAGGCCAACCAGGAAGCGACTAAGAGTGCACCGCGAGACGCGAGCCAGGGAATTGGAGAGGGACAGACGTGGGATGTCAACCAGTATGGTTATATGGGAGGTGATTCCATGAACAAAGGCTCAAGCGTTGGCAGCGGCATCAATATTGGTGGTCGCCGGCAGATTATTGGTCCTAGACCGCAGAAGTAGAGATGATTCGGCATGGCATGGCATGGCATATACGATGTAACGCAGCGAAAAATTGATTGACCGGCTTCTTTCTTCATTACATGTGATTCTCCCATTTTCGCGTTCCGATCCATCCTGCCTGACACTGCTGATGAAGGTGAATTGTTGTTTATCAGACGAAAGAGAATTTCATGGATCTTCACACAATCATGGCGTTGGCAAGTCTCGTCTCATATTACCAGGTCTATCCTACCAATTCAACTTTCCGCCCCAGCCACTAGCGACTTCCTTCACCAATGCTTCTCTCACCAACTTGACAACTGACATCTCACTCGCCTCAATTCCACTCTGTACCAGTCCTTGCCTCCAATCCCAAGCTCTTTGCATTTTCTCGCCCTTCTTCAAAGCCTCTCTTGAAGCAATCATGCTATTCGAAGCCAACATCTCCCAGCTCGAGCTTTCACTGAAATTGCTTTTCTGTTTCTTGAACGGTCCGGATGCAGTACTCGTCTCCTCTCGATACGCATTGAGAGATGCTGACAGTAGGCTCTCAGCATTTTCTCGAATGCGGCGTGGCGCGGCGATGAAATCTTCTAAAACGCCGAGCAGAGAGAAGACTTGGTGTTGAGTGAAGATGCGCTGGCTCTGGCCTAAAAGTGGGAGTGTTTCGCCGAAAAGGGCTAAGAGGCCATCAACAGGGACCACGGTCTCGGCTTCTTGATCGAAAAGACCGCCTGGAATGCAATCAGAAGCAGACTTTATTACTGCGAATATTGATGCAGCGGCTTGGCGTTTGCGCTCGAGAGGTCCCGCCGCACGAGTGGTTGCTTCAGTGACGAATCCCTGGTCTCGTAGCTCGTAAAAGCGACGCAATGTTGCGTAGCCACTGAGGTGCTTCGAAAGAAGGGTGGCGGCTTCCAAATCGACGTGTCCAAGTTGCTTGAGAGCAGGTCGGTCTTTAGTGATCAGTTGTGAAAGCTTGGCGTCAATCAGACGATGGTCGGGCATCGCAATGGAGTGCAGCAAACACAGCGAGGTTATGTGTGAAACAGTAGCCTTGAGCTTCTCCTCAGCATGTGCACGTGCGTAGTAGATGAGCGCTGGGCCGAAGACTTGGTTATCGTTCTCGGCGAGCTTGTCGGCGTAGCGTTCAGCAATCGCCTTGCGCTGGTCGGACTGTCCGAGCTGATCGCACACGTTGAGGACTTTGTCTACGGTCTCTTCCGTCGACAGTTCGAGCTTCTCTAAGAGATCTGCAATGCGAGTGCTCGCCTCGCGTTGCTGGTCCAGGCGGCTCAGAATGTTGACTGCGAGTTCCCAACCTTCTTTGTCACCGATCTGGTCCAAGGTTAGCAAAATTGTAATCGATACGAGCAGGAGAACTTACGCTGGGTTTCTCGAAGAGAAGCTCTGCATATTGCTCCAGTATCTCATCTCTGTCCTGATCCGTAGGCGATAACTGTGTCGGTGCTTGCGAAAGCAAAAGAAGATCTTCCCTATCAAAGCCTTGGTCCGCGAAGCCTCCTCGAGTTGTTGGCAGCCATCGGTCTGAAGCAGCAATCTCAACCACCGAGACCGATATTAATATGCTGAAGCGGCGCAAGGCAAAGATCGCGCCACCGATATTTTCTTCCAAGATGCACGCCAAACCAAGCTGGGTATGATCAGTGAAGTCTGGTATGAAGACATTCTTCATTTCCCGTCCCTGTTCATCGATTTCTGCCGGTTGCTCTTGCACACGAGCGAATGCGTCCGCGAGGCGCTTCCTGTATGTCTGCAGCGGCGCAACGTCTACCTCTCGCTGGCGCGACGCCCGGCTCCTAGCTGTGTTCGCACTGCGCTCCTCGTCGGCAGTATCCCACCAGACTGTCAAGTAGATGGAGCCCTCCAGCCAGTCCTGTGCAGTCATGATAATGTCGTCTGGCTCTCCGAGCATCATACCATAGAGCAATTTCAGGTTTTGGTAAATGGACCATGGAACCCTGCTCGAGGCTTTGCGGCTGGCCGTAGACATATTAAGGCTGTTGCCCATGCTGCGCTGGAAGATATTGCTCTCCCCAAGAGACTGTCCCAGATCGTCACCTTCACAGAAAGACTCAAGCTCTTCTAATGTGTGTCGCACTCGCTGACGGAAAGTAGTCCATTCGAAGGATTTCGTGTCCCAGTCTTGGTCGCAGTATCCTGGACAGGCTTCCAAAACTTGTATGCATTGTGTCACGACCTCATCGACGTTGTCGAGCTCCTGGTCCGTGTATCCATTGCTCGCACCATCATCCTCGGCCGTGTAAGCATTTTCCCAGCCGGCATCTTTCAACAGTCGTACAACCCGGTCGAGCTTTCCTCGCAAAAGAGCCGCATACAGCACATCCCAAAATGACTCGTGATCGCTCGGCGATGGCTGGTGCAGATGGATCTCGTCGAAATCGTCTCCAAATGGGTTGTGGTAGGTGTTCAGCCAGTTCAGAAGTGCGTGGGGTAGAGGTATGGTCTGCTGAGGCTCTGAGGCCGGTACAATTGCTCTAGACGGTCGTGAACCAGCTTGTCGCGGCGAATACGTATGCGGATAGTGCAATTGTAGCAGAAGCGATGCGAGGTAGTTGGCGTTGGTGAAAGGCTTGCTGGATTTTGGACCAACAGAGGCAGACTTGGTAGCAATATCACTCGATGCCCGCCATAGCTTGGTCAACTGGGCGGCGGTGTCAGTGAATATGGGCCCGCTCTGCGACGGCTGAGAATCGATCCTCGCAAACATGTCTGAGATTATGCGCTCGCTTTGCAGAATAACCTCGTCGCTCTCCTCCAGCCTGACCCTGTTCTTGTTCTCCATGTATTTCCTCTTGGACTCGTTCGCGTAGGCCGTCTGTGCTCGAGCTTCGCCATTTCGACTTCGCTTGAGTCCTCGCGGCGGACTGCTGGCCAGTATCGATACACCAAAAGACTGCGCCGGTCTCAGTGGTTGCGCCGGCGGCAGTTTCGTTGGTGGTTGATGATCCTCCTCCATTTCTTCGTCCTCATACTCTGCATCGTCGTCTTCCTCGTCGTCTTCCTCGTAATCCGGCGCCTGGAAAGCTCGTCGCGCGTAACGATTGGGGCTCTTAATGGGATTATATGAGCTGCCAAAACGCGAACTTCGCGGTGGATCTCCTGCTGGCGTGTTGGATGCGACGCTCAGCAGATGTGATGGTGGAGGCCCGGCGGGAGTCGTGCTTTGATGGGATGCGAATGTGCGCACCGAGCGCGAGTTGGGAGTGCTCGGCGCCATCCTATGCGACATATTGCTGCAGACGTAATTGAGGTGTTTGTCTATTGACTTTTGTGTCCATAAAACAGCTCCGGGGTCGCGTCACTGGCGTCACGGACTGGCGCGGCGCCGGAGCAACCACCACCGCGCCGAGATATTTCTTGGCCACGAACTACACCGTCTCCTAATGATTCTTCTCCCTCCAGTCCTCTATCAACTTGATATAACAACACTATGCTCTGGTCTTGGGATGTAACTGGATTCTGCCGACACTTTCCAGGCCTCCCACGACAAATTCAACACTCCTAACCTGCTCACTGCTCACCAGCAAATCTCTCAATCGCCTTCGTATCATTAATCCTCGGAAACCCAACATCCTCTAGGAAATTCCTTCCCAGCGCCTCACAAAGTGTTTCCCATCCCTCCCTCACGTTAAAAAAACATAAAATTCATTCTCGGAACAACTTGATGAAGATACTCCAAATGCCTTTCCCAAACATGCTTCCCAGCAGACCACTTTTCAAAGAGATTGAGGGAATGAGGCCCGTGATAAAAATTGTAGGATCGAGATACTCTGTCTATTCAGCCGCTGCCGTATTCATATGTAGCTCTAGGCCCAGGAATGCCTACTGGAAAAAATGATGGATAGCTGAGCCAGCTGCATAACAAGCTGTTCGCCTACCAAAACTAGTTCTGGCCTCCAGAAATCGTTCTGCGTTGCATCTACAACTTCTCTCCCTTCAAATTTGGTTCAGCTTCCACTGCAGTCGGCATGACCTCTTCTCCGTATAGCATATTACTACGAATATAGTCCGGCAGAGGACTGCCATCCGAAAAGAAACCCTCCGTCGGCACCATAACCTCCCATTCCTTGCTCTCATTCTCGTGAGGACCTCGAGGGTAGACTTGAACAGGCCAGATCAAGCATAGAATGTAGTAAGTGACCGCAGCTCCAGTGAAAGAAAGGATGAAGCCGCAGTTATCCACGTTCACGACAGTCTGACTGACAGAGCCAGGCTTGATGGCACCCGAGATTCCAGAAATGACAAGAACGACGCCCACGGCCCAAGCGACATAGGCTCGTATATTGAAGCCTCGGGTGTAATAGTAAGGAGACCCAGATTCCGGCCGATAAAGCGATGGGACATGAAGATTGCCACGTCTGGATATCCAGTAATCGACGATCATCACAGCAACAACAGGCGTGATGAGGCAGAGATAAGATCCGAGGAAAGTGAGGAAGTTCTTTGCCGAGTTGACCAAAAGCCATGGAACCACTGGCCAGACCAGAACATGGCACAAGACCATGCCTCGCACAATCGTGAAATATTTCGGAAAGAGTCCCGAAAGATCGCAGCCGACGGGAATGGCATTCGAGGACACATTCCTGACAATGGTCGCAAAGCACTGGATGAATGCTCCCAGGAAAACCAGAGTCCTTGCTCCAGGTCCCCAGAACTCATCCAGAACTCTTCCATACAAATCCCACAAATTCCAATCCGCAACACCGAAATGTTTCGCACCAGCGGCAGTGGTGAAAAGACCAAGCAGTATCACAGCAGGCTTGCTGAGGAAGAGTCCAATCGTAAGCGGTACGATATCTCTCGGTCGATTTCCATATCTCGCAAGATCGGCGATATTCACCATAGGCGGCACAACTCCAGATACCACAGTATTGATCGCTCTCATGAACGCCCCACCCAGCGCAGATCCCGTCGTTTCCGTCTTCCCCAGATTCAACTCCACGCCATTGAATTTGACAAGAGCCCAGATCATTGTGGCGATGTAGGCGATCGGGGAGAGAACCGATTTGACGACGAAGAGGGGACCGGCTTTGCTCGGATGCAGCCAGGCGAAGGGAAATTGGAGAAGCCAGGTCAGGAAGAAGGCGAGAATTGGTGGTGTGGTGATGCCGGCGGAGGATGGGAGGTGATTGGGGATGTTTTCCCATGAGCTGCCGAAGATGCAGCGGAGGGAGACGTTCATTGATCGGGATGCGTATTAGGTTTGTGTGCCCATGTAGAAAATTGCGACTGCGGCTCGTATGAAGATGAACCATAGACTGCCGTAGATGCCGGCTGAGATACGGGCGTAGAGTGGGAAGCTGGAGCGGTGTTATTAAGTGAATGGAGGATAGGTACGGTTGATGTGTAGCATACCCGACATGGTAGAAAATTGGTCCTCTCGAGTTGAAGAAGAGCACCAAGCAGCAGAGAAATGTTCCAACAAAAGCCGCATCGATAATCGTCCACCAAGTCAAACCAATGGAAAACAGCGTAGATCCAATATTGTAGGTCGTCGGCGAAAATGCAATACTGAACTGAAAGGCAAAATAATAGAACGGACTCCAGTTCCTCCGCTCAGGCGGAGTCGGTTCGAGATCCACATTCGACCACTTGCCACACGATGGCTTCGCTTCATGATCGCCTCTTTCCTCTTTCTGCAACTCCGCGATGGCGCGCAACTTTGATGGAAAGAAAGGCATAGTGGAAAAGTATGAAAGCAGCTTACCACGCGCCAGAAAGCCGACTACTGCTGCATGGAAAGAAAGCCGACTACTGCTGCATGGAACCTTTCTGGCAAACGAACGAGTTTCCCATGTCACATTGTCGGCGAGCGCTCCTTCTCTATGGCCCAAGATCTTGAGGAGATAGGCATAGGAAGTAGATAGACAAGACCTGCACGCCCAGTCGGTACTGATAACGAGTGAGTGCGGACTGATAGCAGCGATGGAATTCGATCTGCGGCAGGGAAAAGCTGCATCCTTCCGCCATTGAAGATGGGGCGAAAATATTCGTATTGTACAAATGGAGAAGGCAGTTGCTGGGAGGTCGTGGGTCGTGAGGCTCTGAAGTCTTGCTTACGGCTGTGCAGGTGAAGAAAGCTGGGCTGGTGGTGACACCCCGGTCGAAGTTGTCTGAGCCACGGCCCACGGGGTGGGAATGGGAATGTTGGATGGTGTATGAAGTGGGGACATGTCTCAACAGTCGTCTGACCACATTCTTATGAGTTGAGACGCTGCGTGCTCAGACGATGATGAAGGAGTGGGATGATGATGAAGGAGTGGGATGATGAACAAAAAGCGCTCGGAGCGTTGCCGGTTTATTCGGCAGGTTGGCGCTGGCGCTGGCGCTGGCGCTTACATACTCAGGCACTCACGATCGATGATTGACCGGCAATTGCCAGCGATCGTTCCAGCGAAGCAGAAGGCACCTGGAACAACTCGAGGAGTGCGAAATAACAATTAGACTCGGCTCGGAAGGTACGTGTAGCGAGGGTTTAAATTGCAAAAAGGCTCCTTACCAAAATCTAGCTCGGCCTCTGATTGGTAGAAATCAAAAAGCAAGATCACGTAATTTATGCTGACTCAGCGAAAAAGTGCCTCAGAGCCAGCAACATTTCGCCCTCTTCGCTGGACCTCATAATAAGCGAGCTTGCTAGCTCTGAGAATATCCTCGTGTTGTGTGGATGAAGGCCGAGCATATTCTAACATGCCTGGCTGTCATGTGTGCTATTATGAGTCTTTGAAGCGCTCGTACTACTGTCCGTATTCGAGCTGGCAGTGGCAGTGCCGAATGGCTCGAGCACTGCCTGCGGAAATCATCTGTGCCCGCGTGGCATGGATTCGCAAAGCGAGCGAGCGCCTCCATGGCGCTGATGGCGTGACCCTTTCTCCCGGAAAATTCGTGTGACACTTGTATGCTCAACAATATACATACACGAGGAGAAATGGGGCAGGCGAAGAGGTATGGACTATGGAATTTGAGGGCCATCGACAAGGGATGTCAGCAGAGCGGAAGGGAAGCAAGGGCCTGGAAAGGTACGAGTCCGCCCGTGCCCACCCCCGCCCATCTCACATCTGGAAGGCCCGCAAGCTCCAATAGGGTTGATTGGACAACCGCAGCTCTGGAACTTGAAGCTGGGAGACCAGGGTGTGCATTGTGGTGGAAGCCGACGTGGGAACGCATCGGCTCGTTGCCTTGTTTCAATCGTGGTGTGGACGAGCTTGAAGGACGGGAACGCCAACGCGAACGGCGATGCGTGTCTCTGACAAAGACGATGTCCATTTTGGTCTCGGGGAGCGGGTATCGGTGTCAGCTCGTTCCCATACAAGGGATGTCGAGTTCTGCAGGAGATAGCAGCGTCGCTAGAACTAATCAGCAGAAGCGTGACTGGGACGCTTTCCCAACTTGAGAGTCGAGACACATTTTCAACCGTTTAACTATCTATTAGCGGCGTGACGCTGTGTGCAACTGCAACCATTCTCAGGTTCACATGGGACCAACATTGCTTGCTTGCTTTTGGCTATAAAACCACAGATCCGTCACCGGCCAGTCAGCCGCCAGTGTGGATTAGAGCCCGAGCTTGATTATTCGCAGTAACGTTACGTACGGCTCGCCCTGTGCTTGATCCACTCCACTCGAAGCCCGCAGCCTGGATCGCTGTTCGTTAGCGCGTGTACGCAGAGACGCCGTACCTCGAAGCGTCGTCCTGCATCTTTCCCGCTTCCATCATTCATTATTGTCTCAAGTCACGCCTGCTAGCCCTGTTCACCGGAGCAAGTCTCATTATTGCACTACTGTTCGTCGATTTCGTGAATCAGTCTTGGAAAGTCTCCCACGCACCCTGGGCATGATCCGTAGCAAACATCTCCGTTAGCCAGGCCGCTGGGTGAGTTGACGCGACCTCGTGGGAGTCGTCTGCAATAGCTGCTCATTGTGTCCAGGTTTGTGGCGTTCAAGCAAAGCAAGCCCATGGATTCTTTGAGAAGCGACTTGTCTTCTCTCCTCGCAAGCAATCCGTAGTCCTCCCCAGCGAGACTGCCATGTCGGCGTCGACAATACCTCCAAGCGGCCTCACCCTGCATGGACTCACGAATGGGGCCGAAGCCTCGAAGCACACTTCCACGACCGCTATCCTATTCAAACTCAGTGAGCATGTGCTCAAAGATGTCAAGTCAGCTGCGAATGTGCAGGGTGGCCTGCAGCTCGTCACCGGCACGACTCCAGTAAGGCTCATTGAGTAGATTGGTAGATGGTGTATTGACCCTGGGAGCAGAAAATACGCCTTGGAAAGCGGACAATAGACCTGACTATTTCCCCCGAGGCATTCCGGCATGAATTGTACTCGGCTTCCACTGAGTCGATACACGATCTCAAATTCACTGGGCTTGTTGGACATCGAGCTGAAGTGACGGTGTCGAAGAGAAAGCAGAGCCTAGGTCCAGATGCAGCATTGGCAGCTTTGCAGAACACGCTCGCTGCAGCCAAGCAGGAACGGCAAGCGAAATCGGTCAACATTAGCAACGCCATTGTTCGTGAGCCCAAGAACCGTTACGAAGCGAATCGAGAGCAGAAGCATGCTCATCGTCGAGGCCTCTCCGGCTCGCAGCATGCAAGTCCGGCATTGAGTGCTGCAGCTACTCCACGCATAGGTGCTGCACCGACGTCTGCTCCGGCAAGCAACTCGGCTGCCAGGGAGAAGGCCATGAAGATGCCGCTCGTGCACCTGCTTGCCATTAAGCCACTCACACATGAGGAGATGTGTGCAAGGACGAGAATACCAAAAGATGAACTGGAGAAGGTGGTGGAGAAGATCGTGCAGCCGATAGATGGCAGGTGGGAGCTCACGAAGGGCGCATATAAGGAGTTGGATGTTTGGAATTTTGCATACAGCACGCAGGCGGAAAGGCAAGCTGCCATTGACAACGCTATCAGAGCGTACGACCGGCTGCGGATTGGCAAGGATGAAGAGATATGGCAAAGGCTGCTGCCGAAAGAGGATCGTGGCAAAGGAATTGTTTTGTCGAAGCTGAACATTGGCGGTGGAGCTGCATATTCGACTCCGCATCAGGGAGCCAGTCCTCTCCCGCAAGGCGATGCAGCTGCAGACGAGAAGGCGATGATGTCTGCCAATACGCCGCTAGTTGGCAGTGGCACGCCGAGAGTTGGATCAGGAAAGAACAATGCGCTGAAGCAGATAATTGGGAAGACATCGAAGCAGCGAGCCGTTGAGGAGGCAAAGGAGAAGAAGAGAAAGGAGCGCGAAGCTGCTGCCGCAGCTAGTGATCGAGAAGGGAAGCCAGCGAGGAAGAAGCAGACGACCAAAGCAAACAATCCCAAAGTGAAGTCGGCCGAGCTTGTGCAAGATTCAAGCGAGGAGAGCGAGGAGAATATGAAAGGGGAAGGTGGTGGTGGTGGTGGTGGGGCTCCAACCAGCAGCCAGCCGAAGACTGCATCAAACGCGCGCAAATCTGCTGCAAACGCAGCGCCGAAGCCGCGGGCAAAGGCAAAGGCAAAGGCGATGGCATCCACATCGCCGCCGAGCAGTGACGCGCATGCGCACGAGACGCCGCAGCAGAAGAAAGCGGCGAGACTTGCTGCAGAGAAGGAGGCTGCCGCTGCTGCGAAGACGAAAGCGAAAGCAAAAGCCACCGCCGCCGCCGCCGCCGCCGCCGCCGCTACCACCGCTGCCAAGCCCAAAGCAGCAGCGCCGGGCAAGAGCACTCCGAACGCTCTGGCTGCCCCTGCCTCATCGTCACAGCATCGACGCCAGCTCAGTCCCAATAAGCCGGATCACAGGCCAACGGCTCCTTCGCCTTTGGGTGCTGCACGTCCGCGCGTTGCTTCCGATGTTTCCGATCGAGCAGCCGTCGGAGTGCAACGCATCAAACCAGGTGCAGAAACACCCAAAGGCTTGGGCATTTCTAACGTCAATGGCATTCGCAAGCGGCACGACACACTCACCAGCACAGAGTCCCATCATTCAACATCATCATCATCGGAGAAATTGAACGGCCTTCACAAAAAGCCAGATGCAGAAAAGGCCTCAAAAGGGGCTGTCAACGGCAACAGCACCCCGAAGCCAGGCATGACGAACGGCGCCGGCGCCAGTCACAAGTCCGAGAATGGCGTCAAGCGAAAGGCAGTGGATTCACCCATCACGAGCCACACAAACGGCCATGCCGCTAAGCACCGTAAGACCGAGTCCAGCTCGTCTCAGGCGCAGAAGTCGCAGAAGTCTGGAGGCGCAGTGAGTAGCAACGACAGCCTGGAACGAAGCATCACCAGCGATAGCGCGGCTTCAAATGACGTCGACGTCAGCGGCACCATCAGCTACAGGCAGGGCGTTGCCATGGCCCGGAAGTTCCACGATGACTACTATCCGCACTACACGAAGCTATATGATGAGCAGGCTGCCATGGAGAAGCGAGGAGAGACCGTACCCAAGGCCGAGAGGCAGAAATTGTGGACTTTGCACCGTCGATTGGAGGGCATGAAACGTGAGATCAGAGCTGCAAGCGAGCGAGAGCACGAAGAGTAGAAACCCTCTGCAGACAGGCTCCAGCACCCTGGTCAGCGGAGAGACTTCGAAAATGAGAGGATCACTATCGAGATCCAATGAGTTCCAAGCTCGGGGCGTGCGAGAGCAAGACGATTGGCGTCCTTCTGCGCACGATACTTCAGATCGAAGTAGACAGCTTTTGATGGAGAAGGCTAGAGTTGAGACCCTCCAGAATGAGTTGGAGTATCCTATTCTGGAAGAACACTCTCAACGAAACGCAGCAAGCAATGGGTAGTCGTAGCATGGAGATCGCGCTGCATAAGGTCAAGGCACCATATCAACAACATTGCAGAATGTTAATAAGCCTGCGGAATCTGGATATTGTCATATTGATGATCAATCTACAGCGACGCAGGGCAACCTTGACATCCGGCATCGGCACATAGCGGGATTGGGTTTGGATTAGCCCCACCCGGAACTTGATTATTAACAAGTCTTGATTAGAGGATAATGTGACAAACATGACTCCTTAGCCTGATTCCTGTCACTCTCTCAATGCTGGCAAGGCGTGTTGCTATCAAGACAGCTCATTAAACACTGACGAGATCCAGACCAACATCCACAATGGCCCAGAAGACAAACACATTAGTAGCGGTCCTTGACGATTATGCCGGTACATCGACCAACCACTTCGCACGTGTGCAAGGGTTGAAAGTAGACCATTTTCCAGAAACACTCAATGCCGCCAAGTCAGAAGGCCTGAAAGCATTGGTTGAACGACTCAGGCCCTACGAAGTCATCTCATCAATGAGAGAACGCACAGCCTTCCCTGCCGAATTACAGAACCAACTGCCGAACTTAAAGCTATTAATGACAACCGGCACACGGAACGCCAGCATTGATCTCAACTCAGCCACCGAGAACAACATCATCGTGACCGGCACCAAAGGCGATCGACCAGCGAATCAATCTGCTGATTACGACCCTCCTCCACCTGCAGGCCAGAGCACTGTAAACCAACATGCCTGGGCTTTACTCCTATCCCTATGCGGACGCATTGTGCACGACGACAGAGCTTTGAAAACTAGTCCCACAGCATGGCAAAGCTCCCTCATCATCACAATCCCCGGCAAAACTCTCGGTCTGCTCGGTCTCGGCAAACTTGGGACTATGATGGCAAAGACCGCGATCTCAGCTTTTGATATGAACGTCATAGCCTGGAGCGAGAATCTTACGCAAGAGAAAGCCGACGCTGCTGCGGAGAATGCGGGTTTTGCGAAGGGTGTTTTCAAAGTTGTGAGTAAAGAGGAGCTTTTCACACGCAGTGATTTTGTGAGTTTGCATGTTGTGTTGTCGGAGCGAAGCCGAGGGGTTGTTGGGAAGAGGGAATTGGGGTTGATGAAGAAGAGTGCTGTTTTGCTGAATACTTCTCGTGGGGGGTTGATTGATGAACAGGCATTGATTGCTACGTTGAAGGAAGGTGGCATCGAGGGTTTTGCTACTGATGTGTTTTGGGAAGAGCCACTTGGTGCTGATAGTGTGTGGAGAAAATCTGAGGATTGGGCGAAGAGTGCTGTTGTTTTGAGTCCTCATATGGGCTATGTCAACGCCGGGACGATGAACAGGTGAGGAGCAGATCCTTTCCTTTTCGTTCCACCCATTGATATCGAAAAATTTCTGACACTTTGCGACAGATGGTATGATGAGCAAGCAGAGATTTTGGAGCACTATCTAAGAGGTGAAGAACTTCCGACCCGGCTCAACTAGCCATCCATGTAGCTCACTTATGCTGCCGAAACGCTGCAAACACTGGAGGAGGTGGTCCGCGGATAAACTGCTGAATATCAATATCTGGATCCCCTTTCTGCAAATATCTCTGATACGCAGGCCTCGCGACAATCTTCTGGACATAAGCCAGAATATTCTTGTATTCCGAAAGATCCACCGGACAAAACTCTCGCATCGTAGTCAGAGAGAAGATTATCATTGCGTCAGCAGCTAGAAAAAACACCCAACAAATCAGTAAAATTTCACCCCCCCCCAAGATTTCTCGCGGATATGCAATGCATACCTGTAAACTCCTCTCCAGCCAAAAACTCCACCTCCCCCAACCTCTCGTCAACAAATTTCAAAGCCATCTGATTCCTCTGATTATACCTCCCCATCGTCGCATTATCCTCTGGAACCCCCGCCATAGTCATCGCCATCGTCCTCGAAAACCCGGGCTGCAGCGTCCCATTCACGAAATGAAACCAGTACAGAAAATCCGGATAATTTTTCGCGCCCGCTCGCACCCAGAGCTTTCCTTTTCCGTGCATGTTGATTATGTATTCAAAGCACGCAGCGGTTTCGGCAATTTTTACACCGCCATCGTCTTCGATTACGGGCGCTGCGCCGATGGGATGTAGGGCTTTGTATTCTGGGGGTGAGAGGACGGGACTGCGGGAGTATTTTTTTAGGGTGTAGTCGATGCCGAGTTCTTCGCAGAGGAAGACGACGCGGTCGCTTTGGGAGTGGCCTAGGTGGTGGATTGTGAGGACCATGGTTTGGGGATTGTTTTGGTTGGAATATGGATTGTTGGAGGATAGATGATAGTACTTGAATAAATTAGGTGCAGTTGAACGTGATGTTGATCGGATAGTTTGGGTGTTACATCATCGTTGGATGGGCATTTGGAATTGCTGCTGAAGTCGGTTGCCCACATGTACGAAGTCTAACCGAGGGCAAATGTTAGAGCACAGGATAGCGTTCTTTTGACACAGAATGTTCGTGTCATTCTGCTGAAGAGCTCTCAATGAACTAGCTCGTCTATTTGTTTTTTATCTCCGAGAGGAGCTTTTGCGACCTCAACTCCGATGACAAGCATGCCAGCTCGCAAAGCGAGACCCTCGATTCCCAAATGTCTCGGGGAGGGTGTTGTTCAACACTGCCCAACCCACGGTTATTTAGGCACGCATGTTCGAAAGACGTTCAATTGTGGGGTTCCTTTCTCGCGTACCTCTAACACGCCCAGATCCGACTTGACAGAATGTCGACGGCATTGGCCGAGGAGTGATCGAGGATCATCTGGCCCAGTGTAGTATCATGGTACAGATATCTGGTCTCTTCTAGCAGTTGCCGAGAGACGTGCCCAAGGAGCGGTGGAAGTACCAACACTCGTGGCGGCTTCCGTCTCAGCGACAGAGCCGTTGCTTCTCCTGTGTTCGCCTTTCACCTACAATGAGCACACCATATCGTCATATTCAATCCAGTACCCCTTGCCGCCGCTCCAATGTCACCTACATGTATTCAAGTTCTATGGAGGCTGCTGGCGAGCGAGACGCAGTCCTTTTCAGGTCGCGGAAACCCGAGAAAGAGCGATCCGAGACGGGTAGCAATTCGAATCGAGCCAAAGTCACTCCAGTTTCCTTCTTCCAGAAGCCCAGTATGTTCACCAGCAAGTCCAGCTTCAACTTGAGAGAACCGCGTATGATGCAGCCAGAGTCGCATCAGATTGTGGAGCGTTACCCGGGAGCTGGGGCAGGCAGGAGAGAGTGGGCAATCAACGAGGAGAAGCCGCTGCGTCCAAGTGCATGCTATCTGTTCATAGGAATGAGGCCACAATGAGACTCTGCAGGCCTTTGCAACGACATCCCGCAGACTAGACCGGCTGATAATTGTGGTACTTCTCAACTTCGCCGACCAGGCCACCAACCAGGCGAAGCTGTTGATGGGCCATCTGTTGCTACGCATTGTGCAACATCCGAAATCAAGCCCCGTTGAGCGCGCTTTGAGGAGTTGTTTGAACCGGCCCGTGCAAATTCATGAAGCTTGCCTGCCGATTGAGAAGCAGCGTGAGCGGGCAAGAAGGCTTTGCCAGTGGATGTAGGAAAGAGAGACAATTGCTTGACATCCAGTATTCCAGTTGAAAGGAGAACGTGGCACGGACCCTTACAAATCCTGGCGCTGCAAGGGTGCGCCCTCTTAGCCAAAGCCTAACTTGATATGGCTTGGCGGACAGATGAACGTCGCGTCAAAGTACCCCGGATTACGTCGTCTTCTGCAAAGATTCACACACATTATTCTAGACATTGTTCTTCCAAGATCCCGCCGAGGCGCCGTGCCGCTTTGTGCTGGGCATCGGCTGAAGATGGGGAGGACTACGGATCACCCCCCGTGTCCACTGGTAGGTGACGCGTGTGTCTCTCGTTGTTCAGCTTTGTGCCCAGCATTCTCTCCGTCTGTAAACATAATCTTCATTGCGAGAAATAGGGACAACAGCTGCTCTGGACTGGGCTGATAGCGTCATGCTGCTGCTTTCGAAGCAATGGAGTCGAATCGGCGGTGCTGGTATCCTATTGCTGGCGTTTCTCTACTACCTGAACACCATCCAAGCCACTGGAGCACTGTCTGGCGGCATCTACAAATCGACGAATGAGGCTCAATATGAACACATTCAAGGGCAGCTTTATCGACCGCAAGATGACGTCCAAGGCCAGCCAACCATCACAAAGCTTGATTATTCGGCGCCTGGTATCTCAACGGCGGCCACCATTATTCCAGCAAGAATCTCCACGGCTGCTGTGCAGGATGAGCTGATAATCCTCACCGGGACTCGGCCCACGAGTTCATCGTCGACCGAGTCCACGACTGCGCTAACGCCATTCTCTACAACAAATTCCGATGACATCGCCACATCATCCGCCCAGTCCCAAGACCCTCCCCGAAAAGCCATCGTAATGGGCAAACTCTCCTCCGAAGACACAACCTGGGTCTCCGAGCTCTCCGACTGGGAGTCAGCAATCTACATCGTCGACCTCCAACTCAACGCAACCTCACCGTCCGGCCATCGAACAAAAATCAACAAATCCAAAGAAGCCCTCCCCTACCTAACCTACATCGTCGAAAACCACTCCAACTTCCCCGAAACCGCAGTCTTCGTCCACGCCCATCGCAACGGTTGGCCTCAAGCCTGGCACAACGACGCACCAAACTACGACGCAGTCCAAATGCTCCAAACTCTCAACCTCGAATACGTACAACAACAAGGCTATGTCAATCTGAGATGTAAAACCGACGTCGGCTGCCCGAACGAGATGATTTTGAATCGAACTCCACCGAACCCCATTAAAAATGCTGAACATGCGTATCCTCATGTGTACGCTGCGTTCTTCGATATGAGTGTTGAGGATGTCCGAGAAAAAATTCCCGTCGTGGCTACGCCTTGTTGTGCTCAATTTGCTGTGAGTAAGGAACAGGTTCTGAAGAGGGGGAAAGAGGAGTATGAAAAATTTCTGGATTTGGTTTTGGAGTCGGAGTATGATGATGAGACGCTTGGCACTGTGTTGGAGTATATGTGGCATATGATTTTTGGGAAAGATGCGGTGCATTGTCCGGATGTTGGGGAGTGTTATGAGAGGGTTTATGGGAGGACGGGCGTGGATGGCTTTGCGTCTTGAGGAGAATGAGGAACAACGACAGAATAGACACGCGACTTGAATTTGGCATCCAGTACGCACGTCGCGACCTCCGCCAATTAAGCCATGGCATCATTTGAAGAATTTGGAAGTCTTCTGAGTGAATGCATTCGACGGATACAAGAATCCGACAGCCGCCCACAACACAACGATGCCGAAAGCTGCAAGCCCACGAGACAGAGGTTGCATCGTGGCCCCAGCTATGAACCACACACCTCAGTTATATACCACGCCGATCTTCAAGATTCTGACTGAAAGGTAATCGTGTCGTTGTACTATGAATGGCTATCGAGAAAGGACCAGATTCAGTTTGCGTTTATATATACCTCAAGCGGAAGAGATCTTGCCACGAGAGAACTCCAGTAGAGGAAAGCATAAAGATGCCGAGTGAACGAACGCACGGCCTTTGATCCCAAACAAACTTTGTTTTAAATTTTGGTGATGCGAGTTCCGTGAAGATGACTATGGATGATGCCGTCAAAAATGCATCCGAATATGAATGCTTTCGGAGCCATACTGCAACCAACCCCTCGGCTTCACGAAATGATCAGCACCGCACCACAGCAAAATCCTGACAATCGCCCACAGTCCAAAGGTTTCGAGCTTGTGACTCATCTCGAATTGTAGATGAAGCGATATAGCAATTGGGGATAGGTAAGTGTTAACGAGCATTATTGTCTAAAACGGTAAGGCGTATCCGTCATCAATCAATTTATATTGATGCATGGTCAGCTGCGAGAGGGTCATGTTTTTGTGAAGCCCATGAAAGCTTTTAGGGAAACCCTGATGATAATTCTCAGGATTCCGTTGAGTCGATGGCGATTGTCAGGATTTTGGATTCAAGCTCAGATCTATATTTGTGTTTCCTTCTGAATTTCTATTGCGAAAGCTGTCTTCGCGACTTTTACCATGAAGCGTGAACCGTCTCGGATTGATCCGCATGCGTAGTTTGATAGGATTCGAAGACTGGTCACGCAACTATGTTGTCCGTTCGCTGTAAATCTGAAATAGGCAGAACGGAGGTCAAAGTCCTTCTTTTGCGAGCATATCTATGCGCTGTCAGCTATGTGATTGAATTCAAGTGTATTATCAGCTTACCCGCGATGCTGAGGTAGAATGCAATGGCGTTGAAACTGAGCCTGAATTAATACTTTGACCACCAAGAAGCCACGGACTGACTTACTTCCGCTTCTTACCCGTCAGCTCCCAGAAATACCATCTCAGTCTGTTCGTCCAGTTGATGAGGTCCAAGTGGCTGACATGATTCAGAGTACCCTTGTAAGTTCCCCATTGACTGCTCTCGACACTGACAAGACCATCATTTGCACCCTCAATCGGCTCGATGATACTGTGCGACTTTCGAAATACGGAAGTCAGATGAGGTTGGAATGCAGCGCCATAGCTGTAATACTTGACTCCCTCCACGTCCGGCGTCCTTGGATTGTAATTATTGGCCATGTACTCTCTGGTCAGCTGTCGAAAGGCTCCCGTCTCCATGCCAAAGAACTCGAGGACTTTGTACAGCCTGGGAATATTGCTCATGCCGATCTGCTTGAACATGTAGTCGGCGAATGAAGATCCTCTGTGCGGTGTGGCAACTGTCGTGAGTGATAGCACCTTCACATTCGGGGGCTTGAGTCGGGACACCATATGTCTTGCATCTAGACCTCTGCTTGCGTGTCAGTGTCGAGGTTGGTAGCATATCTGATGATCGTACCCCTGGCTGTTGTTAGCTCGAGTCGTTCCAGTAGTTGCCATGTCATCAACGCACCATGCTGTGCCTACTCCGAGTCAGTTCCTGTCATGGGCCACGAAAACGTTTGTGATACTAACGCGATTATGTTTACTGCTTTGCCATTTGCTTGCCTCTCAATGCTCTCAGCTAGCTTGGCGGCTCGCACTTCAATTCTACCCGAAGGCGGTACATGCGCTGTGATGACTTCGACATTCTTGGCTGCCAAAGCCTGTGTTATGCCTCTCCAGTACGCGATTCCCGGGAAGAAGTGACCAATTGGTCTCAGCTCATCGAAGCCCAGAAGTCCATGAGCAAGCACGATAGCATGTTTTGGAGCCTCATAGCTGGACTTGACGACAGCAAACGCGTCTTCAATGAGTTCGTCCACGCGAGGATCATCATTCGTCTTCTGTACTGGCTGATCTTTGGCTTTTTCGAGGAAGGAGCGGGAAGTGTGAAACCCAGCTTTTCTGCAACAAGCAGTATTCGATGTCCGGAGTGCGACACGCCGTCTTAGGGCGATGACCAGCATACCACCTGGCACGACGGTTAGGATGTTGTCGAGATCAATCTCCGATCAGACCCTCTTGGCGAAGTGTATACGGACGGCTGGAAGCGGGCCTCGCGTATTCTAGCGAGGGTCTGAAGCGAAACTCAGTGAACAATGAACACCCCGGATTTTTGGTTCGTAAAACTCAGCATTCGATATTTATAGCAGGGCAATTTTCCGAATAGACGGATTTCGGGGCCCGTATAAAGTCCCATACCACCGTCCGAGCGTCGCTTATACTAAGAATAAGCTCGGCCTACTATAGCGGACTTAGTAAGATATAGAAGTCCGCTCCGTAGTGTGCGTAACTATAGAAAACGTGATCTCGTCGTCGCCGCGCGTCGCGGTTGCTAGGTCGACGGTAGTAGTAGTAGTAGTAGTAGTACGATTTCCGCTAGTATACTAAACATCGCGAATAAGAGGTCGTATAGTCGCAATTTAATAGATTTCGTACTATTTTAATAGATTTTAACGACCCCCGCATCTCTGCTAATAGATACTAAGTATGTTACTAAAAATGAAGCTAAAGTTTGTTAGCAAAATAGCGGTATAGCAAAAAGTAAGATATTATTAGCGATTATTAACAAATTAATAGTAGTAATATATATTAGAGGGCAGCGGTATATAAGGCATACTACTATAGACCTATATCGCACTCGGATCGTTACTCTGCTACTTATTTTAGTAAGGAAAGTAGCTATACGGTACTAGCGGAGTCGACGAAGGCATTTAATAGCTATAAGTTACCTTCGTAGCGGCTTATAAAGGAAAACGCGCAAAGAACGCGTCGGTACTGCCTAGAACTGCTAACGCCGCTTCTTTACTAAGATTTGGTAGAACTAGCGCCGCTAGTATTCGGTTAGGTATATATAACTTCTTTGCCTGTTTCTTCGACCTCTTTTTACTTATAGTATCTACGCTCTTATCTACGCTCTTGCCCTTCTGCTTCTTTAGTAGCGGCGCTATATCGTTAGTCGCTTTCGGATAGCGGTAGCTCGATATAATGTCGCTTAGCAATAGCGCTTATAATAGCTTCGGCGGCGCTTTTATTAGTATAAAAATAGCGTCCGAATATATAGTCTTAAAGTAAGTAAGGACTAGCTTAGTAAAGCCCTTTCTAATATTATCGCCGCTCTCGTAGAAGACTATTAGCATCTTCGAGATAATAACCTTACGTTACTTATCGCTCTCGTCTATGCCTTATTAGTCGTATAAGCGCTTAAGTTAGAAGATTAACTCGTACGTATTAGTAAGCACCTCGCGGACGTTTAATCGATAGGTAGGCACGTACGCCGCCGCCGCCTTAGTAGCGGCGTCTTCTTATACCGCCGTTAACTTAGAAGCGTCTTCTTCGTAGACCTCGAGAGCGCGTCTAGCGAATATATTAACCTATTGTTGCTAGTAATAATCCTTAATAATAACGCGTTTAAGTATAAGGTAATAATACTAGAGGTTAGCGCAAAGGATACGATATTAGCGGAAGAATTTATAGTCGTAGGTAAGCGCGCCTACCTCCTTAGTTAATAACGGCTTCGGGTCTTAGTATATAGACTTATTAAGAACGCGATTAATCTTAGCACTAATCTTGCGCTAAATAGGCTATAGAAGGCGTAGAAGCTAGGTCCGGAGCTCGTCGTCGTCGCTACGCGCGAGTAGATATACGTTTAATGCCTAACGCTTACTAGTAATATCCGACTAAAGGTCTCTAAGCTCGCTCTCTTATATTATATATATCGCTACGCCCTTTAGTATAAAGTTAGCTACTATTAGCGACTTATTGCCGTCTATTTTAAAATATGCGTAAAAGCTCTTATTTATGTTAGTATCCTTATATTGTCTAACGATAGTAGGTACGTTATAAACGCGATAGTAGTTTGCCTATAGGCGAATATCGCTGCCGAAGTCTTATACTAAATAGGTGTAGTTTAACTCGTAATTGCTATTTCGAGGGAGGTTATCGATAGCGGCTTAGAGCGACTCTTTCGCGCTTTCGAGTAAGCGGCGATAAACAATAGCGGCGCGAAGGTGTCTACGTATCTCTTAGTAGATTTTCGCGCTAAAGCGTCTATCGATAGTACGCTAAACGTAGACGTAGTATAGAAGGTATATTGTCGTCGGAAATGCTATACGAATAGCGCGTCGCTCAGCTGCCGAGTCGTCTATAAGGAGGAATTTAGGCACCTAAACACCGCCTATCTACCTACTTATAGTACGTAAAAACTCCGCTATAATATCGCTATCGTTAGTAGGTAAAAGCATGTGTGCCGCTATACGAGAAATGCTATATTTGTCCTTTACTATAATAGTATAAAGGAACTAACTAAGGTAATTAGTCTTATACGTCGCGTCTATAAACGCGATCGTACGATAGGCTTTTAGCAGTTCTATACTAGTTTTGCTAGCATATACGACGCCGTAGGTAGTCTTTTTGTTAATTTAGCGTACGGCCTCTATATTCTCGCAAAATAGCCCTTCTATAATAATGTATTAGCAGTTGTTATAATAAAAAACTAGAATTAAAACAAACAAGAATCCTAAGATTTAGGGTTCGGGCTTGCTAAGGCGCGCTAGAAGCCGGACCGAGCTTGTACCGGGGCTCCTAAATTATCTTATTAGCTCGAAGCTAAGGCTCTGCGGCGCTGCCGCTTTAAGCGAAGAACTTTAAAGATTTCGAGAATCTTTAAAATTCTAGCTTTTATATCGAGAATTCGCTAGTAATCGAATCTAATAGCTTCCTCGAGGGACTAGATAAGCTAAGCGGGGTTATGCGTTAATCTATTAGTTAATCGGAGTCCGGATGCGCGGACGCGATAGTCTGTATAGCTATTCTATCGACTTTACGTCTAACCTTAATAATAACAATAAGATTAACTAACCTTATTAATACTACTCGAATATATCTTCTTTCTATGTTTGCTATGCTAGCGACGCGCCGCCGAGCCTTCTATCCTTATATACCTTCTAGAAGGCGCGACTAGAATTTAGTACGTCGTATTTTATTATAAAATTGCTACTAGCGGCCTTAAATAGCGCGTTCGCTACTAGGTCGTACTAAGCCTTTAGTATCTTCTATACCGCACTCGGCTTATATCTATAGCATACCTCGTACCCTATAGTAGTTAATAAAGCACTATACCGGCGGAAGAGGTTAAAGTTGTCGAGTTAGTAGTAATCCGAGTAATCCTCGCGGCTTATCCGCTAAACTCGATACGCGACAATCTCCGGCTTACTAGACTCCTTATCTTCTTTACTATATATAGTATATACCTTTATAGTTATAAGACAACCTTGCGCGCGTTTAATCTTCTTATTAAAGCGCCGCGTACTATACCCTTTAGTCCTATCCGACTTCTAGTGCGGTTGTTTACAAAAGCGGCAAATATAACGCATTGTTTCTAACCTACTCTTCTTAATATAGTTCTTATTCTTCGTCTATATATTATTAATATATAGCAATAACGCGTACTATTACTTCGCTAGTACCTTAAACGAGTCGTCGAAGCTGTATAGAATAGCTCGTTTGCGCTACTCGCGGAGGTTATCGATATATAGTAAGGACGCGTAGTACGAGTCTAGCTTTACTAGAACTCGAGACTTTCGAGGGTAGCGATAGTCTAAGGAAACTAACGCGTTTTTATTACTAGAATTAACCGAATCGTCCCTTTCTTTCTTTTTTATTAAAAAGTTAGCGTTCCGACCGCGCTCTACTCTCGTCGCAATCTTATACCTAGCGCGAAGTTATCCTATACCTACGACGCTAGTATACTATCCCTACCTCCTCCGAGGTAGTTAGCAATTAATATAGTATTAGAAGAGATTAAAGGCATAATTTAAATAATAGAAGAGATAGAAACGATAGTAGAATAGTTAAAATAGCGATAGTAAGGTACGATAGCGAGGTAGAAAATAATAACCTAAATAAAGACCGGCGCGTAGACGCGCCGGAGCGGAAGCGTATACAATCTATACCGACCGCCGCTCTATAAGGTCTACGGCCCTAGCTTATAGTAGGTTAGGCGCTCGGACGCTGGTATAGGACTTTATACGCCTCCGGATTTCGCCACACCTTTGGTGCCGCTCTAGCCTCTAGGAGTCTAGGTGCCGCTCCAGTCCCTAATTGGGCCGCTAAGATCCGAATACAGTCAAGCGTAGCAGAAATTTTGCATGGCTTCACCCTCCTGGTCCCTATCGATATTTTCAGACTGCCGTAGTTATCTAACTTATCTTTACAAGATCGCAATTTCACGCGAAGAACTTGAAGCTCCGATGCGAGATGCGATGATGTTATCCGGGGTTGCGTCAGTCACTTCACCCCTCGCCCCGAACAGTGGGGAGGAGACAACGATGTAATCAATAACAGACAGGAGCGTCACGGCTGCCGTTTGCTCCCAGTCTCAGATCAGCCTTGGTACTGCATACCGTGATAAGGATTCTTACTATCCAGTCAATGGAGTAAGTGAATGACAAGACGGGGAAAACATTACAGGAGGCTGACACTCGTAGTGTTATAACATCGGAACTGGATATGTAGACCAGTTTGCGGCTGCATGCAAGAGATATTATGCTGCCACTAGCGCGATTTGTTGTGCGGATACCCAGACTTGTCAGACTGCGTAGGTCGTAGAAGGCAGAGTTGGCGGGATGAGATTGTGGTGGTGGATGAGATCTTGAGTCGTTGAGAGCGGAAACTAGCTCGTGGTGGAGAGTGTTCTGCTGTCGTCCTTTGTAATAGTCGTCCTTTGTAATAATTGTTGGGCCTGTCATTGGGATTAGGCGTATCACCTCTGCATGGTCCAATCTCCCTTTCAGCCTCTCCGTATTCAGCATTGATTTCCAGTCACGATCCTGTGAGAAAATCAATACGTTCGTGGGCTTTCCAAGTAACTAAAGAGTAGTTTTCGGGGCCACCGCGGTCTGCTCCGTTGTTTGCTTTCGAAGATTGTTCCTGGAGGGTAGTTGGGCACCGAAAGTACTGTACCATATCTTGCAATGCGATGCTGACCGTCGATCCGGTCCTTGAGGCCAGACGTATAGCAGATATGATATGCATAACAGCTCGCGCTTTCCCGATTTCGGGTGATTGTTGCCCTATACGGTCAGGCTAGCAGCGTGTTCACATTGCGACCATTATACGTCACCTTCACTGGCATTCGCCTTGTGCTCAATAGCCTTCCAGTACGCTGTTGATATCTGAGAAGACGAGTCCGCGCCGTTCATCGACTGAACTGGACTTACTGGACACGAGAAGCCGTGGCCCTGAAGGTACGACTACCAGCAAACACGATAAGTGGTGTACAGCGCTGTAAGATTGGGATCGACAAAGTGTTCTGCCGCTGCGATGAGAAGTGAGGCTTTTTCGTTGTTCGGGCTGGCGACCATTCGGCTTGTTTCCGCAGGGAACTGGTCAATCACCCTGTTCAGCACAACCCTCTCCAAAGTGCGGTGCCCCAGACCCGCAATGCTGGCGAATGTTCGGAGCACATAAGAGCGGTCTGCGCATAACGTTGCGAGGCTCTTGGCAGCGCTCTACCACAATGGCGAATTCGATGACACGAGACCACCCTCTCGCCGGCCAAGATTTGGCTTTTGATTGCAAGCCAACAAAGCTCCCGGATGAGCAATATATTAAATAGAATGGCGAGTTCATGAGGCAAGGAAAGCGACTACTCCGACCTTTCGAGTTGCGCGTAGTGTTCGTGTATTGTTCGAGGTTCCTCTTCGGCAGTCTTGTTGCATCTTCGTAAGACAGTTGTATCATGGCTCATCGGCATCTGATAGTTTGTAGTGTATCGATGGAAAAAGGCAGAAAGTTTGAGAGTAGCTGACTGACCACGTCGATCGTGTGTTATGAACAGTCAGCGACATGCCGTCATATGTATACTGATATCTACACTTTTGAAAATGTGCTTCGAGTAAAAGTGCGAGACACAACCATGACGTTCAGTGGCGACGATGGAATTGTACCGCATGTTAGACAAGCAGTGCTGACGCCTTGAGCTAGAATACCCTACCTAATGAAAGATCGCTCATATTGGCGGGTTGGTGGTGTAAGGCATCAGGTCACACGAGCTGCAAATATCCGCTCCGTCTCCACAGAAGATCCGTCAGGTATGGTTGGTTGGTGTCACTGTTGATCTATCATCTGGTGAGACGTGGCCTTGATTGGCGGGCGCTGAGGGTCTCTTGATCAATAATCATACAGTACCGCTGCCAGTGAACTTCAATACAGCAACGGGCTTCAGGATTCGCGGAGACAGGCCGAGCAGTAATTCTTGCCGACTTCCATGCGGTGTGGCTGGGAGCGTCTACTTTCCGCGCAGGCTTGTTTCATGTCGAAGCTGGCTAGCAGAAACTGTCGTTTGTCGCGCACTGCCAGCCAAACAGAACCGAGCGCAAGTTGCAATCCTGTCCCACCATTGCATCACTTAGCATGTCTGCATTATTGCAGGGCGGAGACACTGGATGCACTTCCACTACCTTGTGGGACCACAAAATGACAGGAACAATGGGTAGGACGGTGGACAGCTAAAGGATCGGCTTTTGTACTGCAAAATTGCATGCAGTGGGCGGCCTTTGGGCAGCATTGGGGAATCCAGGGCGACGATCTACCATGAGATTACCCACGGCATCAGGCTGTCCTTCGAATCCTAGTCAGTAAGCGAAATCCTCTGGAGGGTCTGTCGCGTTGGTCTGAGGTTGCAAATCTAGCGCTTGTGGGCTCGTCGCATTCGTGCCATGAGCGCGTTGCGTCGGCAAATGTGCACCACTGCTGGGCGCTGGCGGAGGTGGTGATTGCCGGGCATCAGACGTGCCAGAAGTCCATGAAGATCCTCGCAACAGCCAATCTGCCTGGGTAGAATGCAGTACACATCCTTGCCCGAATGCTGGCTGTGACGTAGCGGCAGCAAGGTGTCAGAGGCCCTCGGGCGGCGGTGGCGGTGGCGAGCCAGGCAGCGGCGATGATAGACAGACACACTGATGAGCCTCGTCGCCTGCACAAGCGACGCTGAAGCAAGCACACGTCGCAGCGGCAACAGGCCGAGGAATTCAAGGCCAGGCACTCCGTCGTCTGGACTCTGGAAAGCAGAGCAGACGCTGAGACGCATGATGCATGATGCATGATGGCCAAGGTTCAAGGGTCCAAGGGTTGCATGGCACGCTTGACCCGAAAGGGAAATGGGAATATGGGACTGGACAGCGAGACGACGTCATCGCACCTCCCATACCTCTCGGCCTGTCAATGGTGTCGGTCGCACTCTTCCCTAGCGCGCTGTCCGTTCCCAGGTCGCAGTGCTAGTCCTCATCTCTACTGCATCTTCTCTGCCGCACCGAGTCCGAGTCCCTGCATGTCTCCCTCTCGCATCTGCACCGCCCAGTCTGCCTGACTTGTGCTTTGCTTCCGACAACACCTCTCCTGTCCACTCCCCCGTACCGTCCCTCCGTACCGTCCCTCCGTACCAGACTCCTCTCCTGAAGCGTGCCTTATATGACGCCCGCTAGGCACTCCTGAGCACATCCACGCGGCAAACAGCCTTTCATAATGACATCGGAGTCTGGTGCACTACCTTCGATTGGGGAGCCGACATTGCACGCCGTGCAGAACACACCTTCACCCTTGCACTCGCCCGACTCCAGCGCAGTCGTCAGCGAGGATGATACCATGACCGACGACCGAATATCGAGACCGAAGATTGGAAGCCGAAAGAGCAGTGGCACCATGATTGTGTCGCGCGACTCTGCGACAACGCTCGTTGACCCAGACTTTGACGAGAACGATGTGCGCACAATGTCTCCGCGAAGGAATAGCGAAGAAGTCGACAAGCTTGGCGAGGAGGCGCGCAAGGACCTGATTGAACAAGCGAAAGTCCTACAGATGAGTCTGCAAGCGATTGTAGACCGCGTGGAAACGGTCAAAAGTGAGCACGAGAAGCTTGAGGGCGGGAACAAATTCCTGCAGTCGTAAGTCGCTATCCCCTACCTCCACACCCTCTTAGACATTTTGTTAATGTCACTCTAGATACATCGGCGAGCTCATGCAGACATCGAAGATCACATCGACAGCGCCCTTGAAAAAGGGAAAAGGCCGAAGCGGCAAATAACCATCGCTGTCCGTGGATTGCACTGTATTACCATCATGATTTACTGTGTCTCGCTTGCTTTTAGCATGGCGCGGAATGTGTTTTACTTAATGGCATGGAAAAGGACTACTGCATCTACGATCGCCTAATCGGCGACGTTAACGGCGTCAAGGCGCAATACGCAATACTTACGGACGACAAAGTCACGTGTATCATAATGATTACAGGTTGGAATGAAATCATTCTAGCTATTTGACTCGCTTGGTGTCGAGCGGGTTTGAAATATGGGAGGATAGGATGAGAGGATAGGACGAGAGCCTCGGCAATATTGCTGTCGCCATGAATTAAGCTACGCCTTCGAGATCACATGTTCCACTCCCTCTTCATTCCCTCTCGAGGAAGAGTAACGTATGCAAGGAGGCTTTCGTGATTCCGGCCGTTCGTTAGCGTGGATTTGTAAGCATCTCAGCGTTCTACATCGATACTTCTACGAATTACTGTACGCTCTATAGCGATGCAATTGTACTGATTTTTGCACTAAAATAATCGCAGCGTCGAGTTCTATAATTCTAAAATTGTAGGCAATGTATTATAGCAGAATATACTAATATAGAAGTAGGTAGTTTAAAGCCTAGTCGAATAGCTAAGTGCCGCTAAGTTAGGGTCTAGCGAGGGTCGGCAATGTCCGCTAAACCTCCGAGCTTCGATAAAAGGCTAGAATTAGGCTAACTACTAGCCCTCGATACTAATTATATACTATCTACACTATATATAGACATACTAAATAGCGCAAATGAAAGGTCTTAATATATACAATAAGCGTATAAGATATAAAGATAAAGTATTAAAGGACAGTTGTAGTATAATAGCATATATATGTCTTAGAAAGCTAGCTTCCCTAAATTCGGACTCTAGCCGAGGCCGTACCTCCGAGGGCACTTAATCGACCGAGATACGTCGATTAAGTACACTTTCAATAGTTAATAGGTGTTTCTCGGCTTCTAATTAGTCGACGGCTTTTCTACTAGATTTAGGCGGCTTTATTATCCCTAAAGAAGCCCCTATCGTATATATCCTATATAGACAACTATTCTATATTTAAACGTAGATTAGCCTACCGTAGATCGAGGAGTTCGACGTTACTATTATCTTCTACTAAGAATAGAACCTTACCGTCTAGTTTATCGTCGGCATCGTTCGCCTCCTACTTAACCTCGTTAGTTAGGTCTGCTATATAGTCGAGTGCTAGGAGGGCATTAATAGCCGCCTTGTCTACTACGTCCGCCTTACTTGCTATGCTCTTAAGTACGGCAATCTTCTCTTCCGCTGTCTTTAATTTATTCTATTTAGTATACTATAGGTCTCGCATATGCTTAGTAACCTTCTCGGCATGTTTAAAGGCCTCGACTCGAGCCTCGAGTTGCTATATATATTCGAGGGCTTTACTAACGTATATAGAAGCCGCGTTTGTAGGTGAGCGCTCGCTAGTAATTAGATACCTAATATTGCGTATATGCTAGCTTTCGGTCTTATAAGCGGCCTTATACTCCTTCCGTAACTAAGTAAGGTTAAAATAGAGCTAAATACGCTCCTTGCGAGCAGTCTTGTTCTACTGTATTGCGAGGGCTAACCTCCGCTTCTTTACCTATTAAAGCGCTATAAGGTCTTCCTTTACTAAAGTCCGGAGCTTCTCGTATTTAGCCTTCTGTATTGCCTCCGCTAATATTAAGTCTACAACCTCTATTGTATAGACCTTAGCTTTGCTAGTTGCCTTATTAAGCTCCTTATTGCAAGTCTTCTGTCTAAGGGTATGCCGGAGTCCTTTATTCTCTCGGATAACTATATAATACTAGTTAAGGAGTACCTAAGCTGCCTTAACAGTCTTTTTGAACTTGTTAACTACTCGTCTATTATAGACAGCTAGTTCTAAACTATAGGTATAAGGAAGGTAAGTATAACCGAGGTTATCGGTAGATTGTAAGCTCTAGAATTCTACCTTCTTAGCCGTTGTCTTTAATCGCTTATAGCTTATTAGTATAGAAGGATTGCTGCTAAATAGGAGGCGCTTTGCCGGTATAACAAGTAGTAGTAGTAGTACTACTAGTTGCTATCGGAGTTCCTATAATAGTCGTACTCCTAGTATTAGTATTAGACCTTTAACTAGTATCCTTGCTGCTAGTAGTATATTAATTAGTAACGACTATACGACTTCTTGCTGCGCTTATTACCGCAGTAGTAGAGGTGTTATAGGTCGAAAGGACCGTAGAAGCTTGCTAATCACTCGCTCTACGTCGACTAGTGTTACGCCTATGCCCTCGAAGGCCTTTATTATAATATTAGGTATAAAGACTTCTAGGTAGAGGTTAGAGTAGATTTCTAGGAAGTCGGTCTTAGTAACGCTTGCTAGACTAAGGTTAGTATAGCGTTGTATTAGTATACTCGAATAGGCTAGTTTGCAAGGTCTAAATATACTATAATCTAGCGGCTAGCAGTAAGCGGTTAAATAGCTTAGAAGGCATAGGCACAGTATACGATTAGCTAAGGCATACTATAGGAAGTTAAATAACTTGTAGCTATCGTAACCGTCTATTATTAGTAACCGCTATTTGTCTAGTTTGCTCGGAGGGCAACGGATATTATAATACTGTATCTATTAACTAGCTATCTTAGTATTAGACTAGCTATTGTTAGTAATAGCAAAGCTAGCGCCTATATAGTAGAATTAGCGTTAGAATTGGCGTAACAAGGCCTTAGTAACCTGCCTCGCTTTAAATATAAAGAACGGAGGGATGTAATAACTATCGGCTCGAATGGCTTTAATAGTTGTTATCTATTTACGACCGCTAGGTTGTCGTATAAAGGTATTCTTAGCCTCTCGAGCGAGGATTATAACCTAGAAATTGCGCTCGTAACAACTAGTAAGGTATCCGGCTTTATCAAAATTGCTAATGTCTTCTAGTACTATATCGTATTCCTTAATTGTATTAGCTAGCTTCTTATAGTATTTAACTAAGACCTCTAGATTATTAGCAATATTGTAGTAGTAATAGTCTATTGCAGTAGTCTACCTAAGGCGGAGGTCCTTGTCTTAGTCGATAAATCGAGCCGGCTAGTAGACGCTAACAGCCTATAGGAGGTATTGTAAGAGGATTATAATCCGGGTCTATAGCTAGTATCTGCTCCGCCTATCTACGAATAGTTTTATATTTAGGTAGAAACCCTATTCTAATTATTCTTATAATTATCTCTTTTAATGTAGCTTGTTGTATACTATTTAACCGCTTCTAACTATCTCCAAACTCGAGCATACTACCGTAGAGTCCGCGGACTCGATCGTTAAAGGTTATATATAGAATTTCGAAGTCCTAATAATAGGCTACTTTAGTGTCGTATTCGCCGGCGCGGAAGCGTTTAATAGCCCTTCGGAGCTTGGCATCTTTGTTAATAGTTGACAGCGCATTCTATAATAGATATTTGGACCTTATAATAGCGGTAGTTGTAGTAGTGTAGCTTAGAAGAGAAGAATTCTAATAATATAGTATAGTATATCGCATGCGACTAAGGGAATATTGGCTGTCGAGATTCGCGGAAGTTACCGCTTTCTAATCAATGCTAAACTAACTACTAATCGATTGGTATCTACTGGAAACAGCTAGCGGCGGCCCTTCCTACCGCGCTAACGAGGTGGGTGGCATCACGAAAGCCTCCTTGCATACGTTATCACATGAACGGATCACTACGTTCGCCACCTGGAGTCATCAATTTCCGGCCTGGCAACCATTCCACACAGATCAGACCGTCACGATGGTCCAACACCACCACCATCACCGGAGCAAGTGGCACAAGACTCGCGACACGAGTCCAGAAGAGCCTGGGCGACTGGAAGCAAAATATTGGAAGTCTCCCAACAGTGTCACCTCGCCTTGACGCTGTTGCATCGACATCGCGATTGAGACATGGAAAACATCTAGAAGAATTCGCTGCATTCCAGTCCGGTCTCCACATGCGGCCGCGAACCATTCCATGTCTTCCTGACGTAAATGTTGCAGCACGTCCACGATTCGCTCTTTGAGGAGCAATCCTGTGGCCACACCATCTTGCTTTGATGCATTGCATTGTCGATTGCCGTGATTTCAGACTGCAGCTTGTACCATGCATGTGCAGTTACTACATTATGGTGCCACGGACGATTAGGCTTCGCTGTTCTCTGTGCCGTTCAATGCCATCGTTTGTTAAAAGCGAGAGATCATAACATGTAGACATAATCATGACTTGGAAACCGCTGGCAGCCAACGTGGGTGAATGCAACAGGACTCGTGGAGTGAGCATAGTTCAAGAACGACGACTCATCTACTTATAAGCCTTTCCACCCACGCTCTCATCAAACGCCATCAACTCCTTCAACCCGCACGTCTCAAATAACGCGGCCGGACCCATCTTCTGATCCAAAGGCGGCTGGCCTGTCTTCTTCAAGGCCTCTAAACTCTTCGTGTATGCCGGCACAACAGCCTCCATACCAAGACACGGCCAAATGACAATCCTAAAGCCCATCTTGTTCGCTTCATCATTAGTCATCTGCGGCGTCTGACCACCCTGCACCATATTCAACAACACAGGAACATTGGGTGGAAGCCTGGCGATAACCTGCTTCGCCTCCTCAAGATCTAGGATCGCTTCGAAGAAAAGCACATCAACGCCGATCTCAGCGGCTTTGGTGAGACGTTCAATCGCTTCCTCAAAACCACCATTCCTTTCCGTATCCGAACCTGCTCTGGCATCCGTACGAGCAATGATAAGAATATCATCTCGACTGTCATCGCGAGCTTTACAAGCCGCTCTCAATCGATTATAATATACATCTCTCGAAACAAGAAGTTTCCCACTCAAATGTCCACATCTCTTCTCTTGGACTTGATCCTCGATATGTAGTCCCGCTACACCCGAGCGCGCATAAGAGTGCACGGTTTTGCGGATGTTGATCGGTCCTCCGTAGCCTGTGTCTGCGTCTGCGATTACGGGAACGCTTGGGTCTATGCTGGCGATCGTGGCTGCGTTTTGGTGCATGTCGTTGAAAGTTGCCAGGCCTAGGTCAGCCATTCCCAAACGTGACATGCTGGTTCCTGCGCCGGTCATGTAGAGGCAGTCGAAGCCTGCGGAGAGGGCGAGGCGCGCTGTTATGCCATCGTAGACGCCTGGTGCGATTACTGTTTTTGAGGGATCGGAGAGCATTTGGCGGAGGCGTGCGACTGCTGGGATCGGTTTTGAGGTGTTGTTGGTTGTGTGGCCGTTCATGATTGTCTGGGGTGCGGACATGGTTGCGTTTTGCTTCTTGTGTGCTTAGTGGTGCGATTGAAGAGGTCTCTGGTGACAGCTTGTATGTGCCTGTATGATTCTATCAGTTCGAACTGCCTACCTGCTTTATACCTATGGTCCTATCTATGGCGGAGCAGGCATGCTAGAGCTACGCCGCGATCGGAGCAACGATTAGCCAATCTATTGCCATGCTGAGCCAGTAGCGAGACTTGTAGCGGCGAAGACTACAATCTCTTTATTACCACCTTCCCAGGAAACGCCGGCTTTTTATGTTGTTTCGCACAAGACTCGGCGGACAATGCGGAAAGCTCGTTCTCCGTCATGTGGTGATTAGAGTTTCTGTCGTACCGCTTGGACGCTTGTTCACATGCTGCTACCCCAGATTCTCGCGGGAGCTGAGCCTCGGCCTGACGCATTGGAAGTTGTCGCTGTTTCATGTGCGCTAAGGGTTGTGAATATAAGCATCACATGGTGCCGCGCCCTGAGGTGTGTCCAGTCACCTAAAACTATCCTTACTTGACGGTTTCATTGTTTGGAAATTCATCACCATCAAAGCCGAACCTTCCGCATTCCAACAGTACCTCAAAGCAAGCAATCGACAAGATGACCCTTAAGGACGGTGAGTGGTGAAGCACTGAAGCTGCTTGCGACTATGTGATGTACGGTTCTGATCATCTATTCCAGACGCATATCCATCTTCCGAGGCATTCGATGCCATCGCCGCTGCTCTGGCAGACCCGAAGGAGAAGAAGGATGCCGTGAAGCAGTGCAACGCGATCTTTGCTTTCAACCTCAAGAACGCCCAGGGACAAGAGCAGGCATGGCATTTGGACCTCAAGAACACCGGCGATGTTGGCAAAGGCCTCGCACCGGAGGGCAAGAAGGCTGATGGTGAGTTCGGACATACTTCGTCGTGCTCTTTGCAGCAAAAGCTGCTTTCCTGCCTGAGCATACCTTGTTCAGACCAGAGAGCTATGCTGACAGGCATTCAGTCACGCTCAACCTCAGCGAAGAGAATTTCGGCAAGCTCGTGTCTGGCAAGGCGAACGCGCAGAAGCTTTTCATGAGCGGAAAGCTGAAGATCAAGGGCGCCGTTATGAAAGCCACCAAGATGGAGCCGATCCTCAAGAAGGCTCAGAACAAGGCGAAGCTCTAGATGATGATGACTTCGGCGTTGGATTGTGCTTCTTGATGTATGGTACACTCTTGGCCTAACACCTCATGGCCCGTCGCCATCGATGCGACATGTACTTTATGAAGTGAAACTGAGAACATATTCACCGTCTTGCTTGTGCCATTGTGGTTGTCTAAATGATGGCTTGGATGTACCGTACCGTATTCACACGCACCCGCGTTCGCGTTCCGCTTCCCGGGCAATTGCAGTAGGCTGTGAACGCTCCTGCAGCACTGGCTGGGTCCATTTGCATCTGCAGCTGCATCTGCAAAGCCCACGCTGTCCGTGACGCGAACACCATCGAGTCGGCCGCAATATCGACTTTAAGGTTGCTGTGTGTTGGCATTGCATCAGGTCACCAAAAGTGAACCCCTTCGTTATCATTTGATTGGCTCGGACCCAGCCGCGGGCGAGACACAGGTGAAGTCTCTCAAGTTGAACATCGCTCAAAACTGTTTCTAGCCCATTCACCAAGTACGACCCTTCACGACATCGGTCCACGCGCATATAAATTCTTGTTGTTGATGGAAGGACCGCTCGATACCATCGATACCGGTGCGATCGCGATTATAGAGCGCTGCCGCTGCGCGCGGTGACGGACGTGACCTCGACTCGTCCATCGCATCGACGACTTCATCTGATTCGGAACCGCACCGCGCCGCGCCTCGAACGCGCTCTGGTCATGAGCAAGCGAGCAGCTGGAAACAATTGGGAGAGCGGCGAAAGCAGATACGGCGGAGCAGCGCCTGGCATGGATAACACAGACAAGCCCATGCAGGCTACGGCCGCGCAGATGGCCAACAGAAAGTGAGTAGACCTTTTCTTATTGTTGGTAATGACGCGTGCTATTGTTGGAGCGAGATGGCTATTGTGGAAGTGAAGTTGGCTGCGGGAGCGGTGTACGCGACAATGTGGTGGGGCGCTTCAACGGTTGAAGCTGTGAAGCTATTGTGTGAACGAGCTGGGACGATGTTTATATGCAACTCTGCACCATCGCCCAGTGTTAACCGCACACTCCACGAAACACCCACACCACGCTCGCGTACCAACTCGCACCACCATCGCACTCTTCCACAGTTCCACCGCCGTCATGGCGCCGCATATCCTACCAGAATACACCTTGATGAGGACCTGGTTCCTCACGCGCGTCTCGAAGTACAAGGAGCTGGACAAGACGATCGTGAGGGAATACGAGCAATATGTCGGGCTTTTGCCTGAGGAGTTTTTGAAATACGGCCTGGGTAGAACTGACGTCAAAGCTAGAATCGCAGCGGCGAAGAGATCAGCCAGCGCACGCGCTCGCAGCGGCAGTCCAGCTATCAATATGCCGCCGCAGCCGAATCCATTCGGTGGAGGAGGTGGTGGTGGCATGTTCGGCGGCGGCGCGATGCAGCAACCCCAGCAACAGCAGCAGCAGCCCGCGGCCAATCCTTTTACTGCCAGCAGCTTCGATTTCAATTTCGGTGGCAATCAGACAAACGGCACCTCGACCAATAACCCTTTCGCATTTGGCGCATCTGCGCCAGCACCTTCCCAACCCCAGCAGAACGGCATTTCGAACATGTTTGGCCAGTCAGCAGCTCCAAGCTTCGGCTCTGGCACGGCCACTTCATTTGGCACCAATGCCTCGCAGCCACAGCAGAATGGCTTCAACCCGTCTACCTCGATGTTCAATCAGCCGTCGCAGTCACAGCAGACCAACAGTACCGGTTTCGGCTTTGGCCAGATTCCTTCCACTCCGCAGAATGGCACCAGCACGCCGACCACCAGCTTTGGCGGTTTCGGCAGCCAGGCACCGCAGAGTAACACGAATGGCAACGTGAGCTTCAATTTCGGTGGAGCTGCTCAAGAGAAGCAGGAGCCAAAGCCATCAACTCCCTTCGCAAGCTTTGGCCAGACACCCACAGCGAGCAATAATCAACCATCCAATCCATTTGGCAACTTGGGCCAGAATACACAGCAGAATGGTGACAAGCAGAGTACTCCACTCGCCGGCTTTGGTACGCAGAATACACAGCAGAATGGCACATTGTTCTCGGGCATCGGGCAAGAGAAGCCAAAGCAGAATGGAGAGAGCAGCAGCAACCTGTTCGGAAACATTGGACAGCAAAAGACGCCAGAGCCTGAGCAGTCGAACACGCTGTTCTCAGGAATTGGTCAGAAGCCTGTCGAGAGTACGGGAACTAGCAGTAATCTGTTCGGCAATCTCGGACAAAAGCCATTGAGCAGCGCCGGCAACAATCTATTTCCCGCTGCTTCTCTGCCAGAGCAACAAACTCCAAAGCCGACAACAAGCCTTTTCAGCGGCCTTTCCAACACGCCTTCGACAAGCCTTTTCAATGCTCCATCCAGCTCAGTGCCTGCAAGCACCGGCAAAGGCCTGTTCGGCTCTCAGACCATGTCGAATGAGCCTAGCAAGGTTACTGGCAGTGTCTTCGATAACCTTCCACCTAGGGAGACTCCACAGTTTGGATCACACATTCCAGGCCAAGCGTACAAGGAAGGCGACGATGAAGAGGGACAACAGGCTGAGAGCGGCAAGATCGAGCTTTTCCCGAAATCGAAAGAAGCAGAACAGGCGCCGCCATCAAACCTATTCGGAGGGGTTGGTTCCACTGAAGCAGCGTCGGGCAGCTCGCTGTTCAAGCTGAGCGCGGCTCAGCAAGATACCAGCATGACTACTCCGAGTGCCACACCACAAAAGCCGCTCTTTGCTCCATCCGAGATGCCAGCGACACAACCTTCAGCAGCACGATCGCTGTTCGACCGGATCGATGCGCCCGCTCCTTCGGCCACCTCAGCTTCACAGCCGGCGAAGTCATTGTTTGATCGGACAGAGCAGAATCCAGACGAGACGCCCAAGGCGTCATTGTTCAATAACGCTTCTGCAACACCAGCTGCCGCGAAGCCTATGTTCTCGCAGCCAGCTCCAACACCCGAGGCACCATCTGCCTCGATATTCCAGAAGCCAGCTTCGTCTGCACATATTCAGGTGCCATCAAAGAACATGTTCTCGCAAACTCCAGCAGCCTCATCTACTGCAGCTCTGCCCGCAGCGGCGCAATCGTCCACGCCTAAGCAGCCTGTGCCACCAGCCAAGCACACGTTCAAAGAATCCGGCAGAACCGGCTACCGACCCGTGGCTGCTGCCCAAGGAGCACTAAGTGAGTCTCAGAGAGCTTCATTCGAGAAGTTGAACGACGCACTTCTGGCGCACATCAACAAGTTAGAGACCAACCAGGACTTGAGCGAGATATTTAGATTCGCTCTGGTCGCATCTGCAGACATTGCTGGCCGATCACGACCAACTGAGTCTGAACTCCACCCTGCGCCTCCTCAGGCAGCTATTCCTGCATCAGCTGCTGCCGGATCTGGCAACATTTCCTCTGCGGCTTCTGCAAATGCGACGACGTCGTCTGGTAAGCAACCAGTCCAAGGCTCGGGCTCAAGCACGGCCGCGCCATCACAGACCAATCTGTTCGCGCAGACGCCGAAGGCGGCTCCAGTAACGAACCTGTTCAGCCAGCCGCCAACTACCGCACCTACCAAGAAGCGGTTGTTCGAAGAGGATAGCGATGATCTGGCACAACAGCCCGCTACAGAGAAGCGCATTAAGCCGAACGAGCCACAACAATATCCGACCCTCCCTGCTGCGGCGAGTAATACCGCCAAACTTTTCGCTTCCACGCTCGACAAGCCTCAAGGAGAGGAGACACCGAAGCCAGCATCCACATCTGGCTTCAGTCCATCAACGAAATCACTGTTTCCCGCGCCGACTTCCGGATCTGGAACATCAAAGCCAGCGACTTCAGGCTTCACGCCATCCTTTGGCGCCCAGACGAGTACTGCAAGACCTTCTGGTTTCACTCCAGCCGGCGGTGCTACTGCTGGTAGCAGTTTCTTGAGCTCGTTTGAAGCCGCTGCGAAGGCACAAGAGGAGCAAGATCGCAAGAAACGTAAGTCAGATGACTACGACAGCGACGAAGAGACCGAGGAGCAATGGCTCAAGCGTGATAAGGAGAAGCAGGAGGCGAAGCGACAGAAGATTGAGGAGGCAGCGAAGAGCGCCAAGGGCTTCAGCTTCACGACCTCCACATCCAATGGCCCAACTTCACCTGCGAAGCAGCCGACTGCCGCAGCTTTGGAGAAGGCACAGGGCAAGGGCGATAACACATGGAAGCCTGAGACGCCCATCAAGTTCAGCCTATTCAATGCTGGCGATAATGCGTCTACGACACCTGCTGTCTCGCCGCCCAAGCTTGGCGGCGGAAGTCTGTTTGCAAACAGCGCAGTTGGAAAGGCCGCCGGTGGCGGTCTTTTTAGTGCCGGATCCGCATCTACCGACACCTCAAGCAAGCTTGCGCCGCCATCTACCGGATTCAACTTCAGCTCTCAGCCTTCGTCACTCGGCGTTTCACGTGCAACTACGCCTGGTGTCACGACTGACGGCGAGGCTTCTACGGCGGCAGAGGGCGAAGATGTGGATGTAGAGACCTCAAACGATCCACAAGCTGAGGATCAGACTGGATTGACGACTGAGGAGCAAGACGCGAATGATGTCTTAGGCGAGTTCCATGATGTCAAGACCTCGAAATTCGAGCTCAACGACCAAGGTCAGAAGAAGTGGGTGCCAAAGGGCTTTGGTGTTGTCTACCTACTCAAGGACAAGGAGACCGGAAAGACACGGATCCTTTCGAGAGTCGGCACTGGCAAGCTGACACTCAACTACAATCCTCTGAAGGGCAGCAAGTATGCGATCCACCCAAAGAAAGATACAATGGTCACCGCAGCATTCTGGGACCATCTCCACACGACCGAGCCTGCTCTCGGTCAATTCATTATGACTACGAGCAAGGCAGCCGATGCAAGCGAATTGGCACGCATCTTGACGGAAGGCACACCGCAGTGAGGGTGCTATACTATAATACAAGACAGCATGAAGTGTAACGCATGGGAATCGGCGTTCAAAGTTCCTGTGGCATTCTGAGAGTTTGCCATGGAAGAGAAGGCTGCTGTACAGCCTACAAGTTTTCGGGGGAAGGAAAAGACTTTTTAGGGACTGATTGAGCGATGGATTCATGCATGGCAAGAAGGAGTATTTTGAATACTTTGCTTCGCTGGCATTTTGTGCGCGGCGCTTGACACTATCAAAAATCATGCCATCGACCGGAAGAGGTGGCTTGTGTATATGGGATGGATGGTGCAGCTTGTGTCGTAGTCGTTTCATGTGGCACAGATTGCTGCAGACTTGGGTTACATAGCGAGATTCGATGATGAGAACGAGGAGAAGTTGTATTTGTGTCTTCTCCTGGATGCGTCTTCCTTCAAGCTTTCTTTCTTGCTCGCCCTAAGAAATTTGTTGGGTTGTGTTGTGTGATGTTTTGACACTGCTTGCTGATAATGTTACAGGATGCCTCGATGGCTCGGACCAGATGCTGATTGAAACCCAAGTCAGAAATGCTAATACATGGCTGGATGGCAGACTCCAGTATCCAACTGCCTTCCTCCTTTTCTTCGCTCACCAAAGTCGCCTCCACCCCTTCCTTCTGCTGTCCAACATTTAAGAGAAAAGTCTCCAACCTCTCCTCGCATTCACATCCTTTCACTCACTGCACTCACAATCTTACAAAAAGCGTCCTCCGCCCCGCTCAGACCATACCCTTCGGATGCTGCAACTCAAATATCATCATATCCAAAAGCACCTGATCCTGTTCCCTCATCACCTCCTCCCCCTCCACCTTATTAGTAGTACTACTATCCACACTCCGGCTTTGCTGATGTCCAGTCTCGGCTAGTCACATACTCCTCGACTGATGCTGATACTGATGTTCCGAAATCTCAGCCGCAGAATCCAACCAAATTCTATGCGAAGGCTCGGGTTCAGGTTCCTGGGCACTTAGTCTTCGCATCCAAGGGTCTGGGCCAGGTTCATCGAGCCTTGAGAGTCGCTGACTCGCGTGGAAGACGTTTGCGTGCGAAGCTTCGGAAACGGGTGTGAGGGCCGTGGCAGTGTCTTCTGGGTGTGCGTTCTCGTCGTCGATGTTGAAGTCGAAGCCTTCGGGAGATTCGCTGTAGCGGGATGAAGCTAGGCGGGAGACGCGTGGGTCGTTGTTGGGATGGAGGGAGACGCGGTTTTGGTAAGGGTTTCGCTGGCTGAAGCGACGGATGTCCCAGGCTGTGGAGTGGCGGTTGTCGCGGTTGGAGGTTTCTGTGATTGCGATTCCGTAGCCGGATTGGTTGGATTCGCGGTGGAGGTTAGGTTCCATGGGGTCAGCTGGGGCGTGGGTGTATTCTTGGACGTCCATTGATCGCATGCTGTCGCGGCCTTCGGCTACGGCTTCCAGGATGTCGTGGTCGACGACTGTGATCATTGTTTGGCGATTGCTGTCGTTGAATGTTGAGTCGCGATTGGTGTTGATGAATGTTGAGTGGCGGTTGGAGACGCGGTTGTAGTCTTCCATTGTTGAGAAGCGGGTACTGTTGATCGGGATGTCGGTACCTGAGTGACGTTGTGGACTTGTTGGAGACTGTGGTGCTTCCAGGAATTGTTGTCGGGCTTGGGCGAAGTCATCCTGCTTGTGGGGTGGTTGAACAGGAGGGTTGACTATGCTATCGCTCCGAGGCGGCCGAGCAGGCAGTGGCTTGTCATCTTCGCTGTTGAAGTTGAAGCTTTCGAACTTCGAAGCAGTATCTTCGAGTTCGTGCCTAGCACCTGTCAGCATTCGAAACGCAGACCACAGGACGCGTCTTACGGTTCAAAATCCTTTTCATACTTGCTGTCTGCCGTCGAAGGCGGCTGCAGTACGTCGTGTGGTTCTGGCTGCAATAGCGGCGGCTGCCTTGCTCCATTGCGTTCCATATAACTGCTGATCTTTGGTCGCTGCAAAATCGTGCTCTGATGACCAGACCTCTGCGCCACTCTTCGCTTATGCTCCATCACAAAAATCAAACAGACAAATAAAGCCATGAGCACACACACTGGAATCGCCACTGCGATTGCTATCTTAGTGTTTCGGCTAAGTTCAACGTCCTTCGTGCTATGAAGTGTGCTGCCCAGGCCATTGTCGGTCTGCGAGCTGGCGGTGTGCTTGTCACTCTGGTCTCTGGATATTACTGCCATCTTGGTTGCTGGAACTGTAACGAATGACTGTTGGTGAGGTGTTTTGTTTTTGTGAACGACAGCGGGTCCAGCACAAGAGGAAGTGGGACACCCTCTCGAGGCCTGTGCGATGGCGGCACTCGGTATAGACCCCTTAGATACCCAGCCTCTTGCCAATGCTGTCCTCCTTACACAGGTCATCCCAGCATCAAGCTTTGACTTTCCCAGGTTCAAGCAGCTAAGATTTGAGGAACAGGAAAGCGTGTGTGTACACATCGATTGCGGCAGATGAGTGCATACAACCACTCGCTTACACAAAAATGGGACAGTGCAGAGTCAGCGAAGGTCTATGACTTACTGTGATGTTGGCGTCGCATCCCTCTAGCCGAAGTTGCACGGAAGTCGTAGCCAAAGTGCAAAATGATCCATGAAGATGATCAGGTATGTATACAACCGTACACCCTGATTAAGCGAGATGGCAGACGGGGTAAATCCCCGTAAGCGGCAGCTAGCTTGAAAACGTCAGCGTGAACTTTTTAAAGGTGCGGATAATTCCTTTACGCAGTACGCTAGCTTTGACCAGTTACATTCCGTTTTCAGGGATCACCCCCTTCCGCCAGCTCGCTTAATTAGGGTGTACAACAGTGTCCTGACTCCGCAAGCTCGGGGTCCGGGGAGTCGGGGTAGGAAGCTTTGCGTGTAGTCGTGGTCGTGCGGAGCATGATCAGACCGCGAGGTTATAAGACGCGTGTGGCGCCTCAGGATTGCGTGTGTGTGCGGATCTGCCAGCGTTGTGTTTGACAGCACGTTTGTATGGGTCGAGCTCACGCCGATGTTCACATCTGTGATTCGTACAGCAACCATGAGTCGTCGTGGTGTTGCCACTTCGAACGTTTGTCGATTTCCAACACAATGGAAACACCGCCTTGACAGCCAAGGTCATCCTGGTCTTTGCGCAAACATTCTTCTAGCCTGCCGAATAGTCATCAAGATTTCTCCAAGGGCCGGACAAATTGGCAGGACAGATCAGGAGCATAATAATAATGCCAGGACGGATGGGATGGGTGATCAGATCATACTGTACACCCTCTTGCACTGACATCAAGAAGCGAGTAGTAGCGTCCGCAGCCCGAGTGGTAGATTGTGACTCCGAATGACTCAATACAGGCATAATCTGCTTCTCCCATTGGATAAAACAGCAGTCGCAGGGCTCGGAGGCTATTCCACAGGGTGTAGAGGATACCATCGAAACTTTGAGAGAGGGTCTAGATGGATGGAATAGTCAACATCGGAACTCGCTCATCTCTCATTGCGCAGAACTTTACTATCAACAGTCGGCGGAGTGGAAGACCGTCCGTGGCCATTCCTGCATCGGAAAACCATCGAATCTGAGAGGCCTTTAGTTCCTAAAAGCTTGTCGAAATTTCTTAAGCCATTATTAGAGACCATGCTGAAGTGTTCCGCGAGTCAATTATCGGCCAGTAGACGTTGATAGGGTGCTTCAAGCAATACCGTGTCTGACAGCCTTCGTCTGTAGGCATATGATTTCTTGACTTTGGCTACGCCCAAGAGTATCCCAGTCATGATGACAGAGTCGTCCTGAGATTCAGCCAAGTGTTGCCAGATGGGCTCAAAATGTCGCCCGGTATATAGCTGCCTTCTGTCCCTGCGGCACGGAAAGCCGCCGCCTCTCATGAATTCTGCCATGCTCCCATTCCCTCGGCCTAGCGGCATCTGAAGGCCCAGCAATCGCATGGCGTGGTCTTCGATCGCTTTGGCGATATATTGGAAAGCACGTCCATGGCCTGAGACACCCACATGAACACGATATGACTGACCACATCTACCGCTCGCACACCCAACAGTATGCCAAGGATAGCAGGTGTACCGCGATAGGAATGCGTGTATCATCTAATGATGCCGGTCAGTCAACGTGCACCACTAGTCTCGGAAGTTACATATGGCCCGCGAACCTCATGTAGAATGACTCCGATAGTCCAAACTCGATTGCGCTGCAAGATGTGGTTGCTGGAGTTAAGCCTGATGATCTCTGGATCGATTGCATTGTCAGATGGGAGCTGTTCGCCATAGCGGAGGCAATGCATATCGCCCCAAAGCACGACTAGCTTCGGAGGTGGCAGCGCTCCTAGAAAGAAGACTTCGTTGAAAACTCCGACCACCGTCTGGATGTCGCGGTCGTTAAGCGGTCGCGGGGCGGCAAGGGTTCGACGAGAAGCCCAAACGGACCAGGATATTAAGGCCGTCAGCTGGCTCTGAACCAGTTTGACACTAGCAAAAGATTTCACAGCCATGAGTGCAAGATCCCAAGCATCCTGTTTGCGATATTTGAAACCCTTGCAGACGTCAAAGATCGGCTCTGGGCGGTCGTAGAGCGCAGGTTGACAGATAGGACATCCACAGCCGCGCAACCTAGCCCTGCGTTCCTTTTGCTGACAAAGCCTCCTATTGATCACTGACTTTCGCATCTGCTCTCCCTCACGTTCCAAAAGTTTTCGGCAAAGAGACGGCTTCGCAAATTTGATCGCATATTCGGTCCGAGCCATACTGGTGTGCCGATGTAGTTTGCTGTCGAGAGCGAGTTTGGATTGTCGTTGCTTTGGAGACCTCGCAAGATTGATGGTGCAATACTTATGAAGTGCAGTCGCGACGGCTTCAAGCGACTAGACGACCGTCAACCTGCGGCAGGCACTGAGTGGTCGCACCTGGCGGTGAAGTGTCTGGAGTGATGCTTTGCAGGCCATTGCTTCACAGCGGAAGTCTCATCTCTAAGGCTTACTCTTTCGCGCACCTTCCTCATATAGCTCTTTCAGTGATTTTCGTCTCTGTGGTCCATTATGTTCTTCGTCCCTCTCCTTATCAATGATCCGCCATGGTTTATCCGTTGCTCGCCAATTCACGCAACTGAGCCCAGGCAGCGGCACCACCTGCTGCAGATGTCGCTGGGCAATGCTTTTCGTGTCGATCCTGAATGAACCATGGTAGGAGCGCATATTGATCTGATCTCTGAAATTGATACGGGCTGGATTCACCAAGATTTGGAAGAGACGCGATTCCAAGGGCGGCGGTGGAGGAGGGGCTTGGAAGGGCATTTGGTAGGGTCGAGATGGAGGTTCGGGGAGGCTTGCTGTCGACATGGAGCGCGTCTGCGAAAGACCCCAAGCTCCGCCGCGTTTTGGCCCAGCAGCTGCGTTCGGTTGTGGATGCTGCTGCGCTGCCATACTGGCATGCTCTTGCTGAGTGCTCTCTGGCTCTTGATCTTCCAGCACTGGAGCTCTGCACATGCGAAAGCGTATAGGCATCCGCTTCAGGCAATCGTAAGCTGCATCTTCGTCTCGGAAAATGACCAACGTCGAGTTCGGGGCAGCGAGGGAATCGTATTTTAGATTCTTGAAGTATTCTACTTCGCCGAACTGTGAGATCAGACGCAGAATCTCGCGTGATTCCCCTAAATTCGAGGGCCGTGGCGAGATACGCAGATGAACTGCTCGAGCCGCCGTGGACCTTACAATCGAAGCCATGGCAGCACAATGGCAGTGGCAGTGGAGGAGACTTTTCGTCTGCGTCAAACTGGAATTTTGTTTCTCTGTTCACATGTAGGAGAAAGTCTGTCCAGCGACTCAGCACTAGTAGACTGCTCATTGGCTACTGCGTACTTGACGCTAACGGAAGGTGCCGAGACATGACAATACTTTGTTCAAGTCCTCACATCGTCTGCGGTCCCGAACATGCAAGAAGTGTTACCCATTGGCAGAGTCCGAGGAAACGCTCAGAAGGAGACTCCATGATGTCGAATAGGCTCTGCAACGGTCGGAGCATGAGTCACGTGCATGGGCAGAGGCAGAAGCGCTTGATGAACAGACAAACCGCTACAGTTCCCTCGAGATACACCGAAACGACACTTGCAGATGGGGTCTCTACAGAGACACAGATGGGCCTAGAAAGGGTGAATTGGCTGGGATCTCTCATAGCAACCTGGACGATGATGAGGCCTCCCGCCCTGTGGCTTTTGACTTATGGTGTTTACACCCTCATCATTCATTCTTGCTTCAAATTTCAATTCATCTCAAGAAATCACCCCATTTTGCGGTGCTTATTTGCTGTCGCTGTCGCTTGCCAGATGCTCACAATTCAGTGGCAGGTTTGTGGAAAGCATATGCGTAGAACCAGTCTGGGTCGAAGCCCACGTAGAACGAGCATTGCCCTGTCTGATTCGTACCTATACCATAGCTGTGCTATACATGCTCAACCAACTCTACCAAGATTGCAGGCGTCTTACTTGTGGCAGGCGTTCCGATATGTATCTGTACATAGTTTAAGTCAGCTCATAACCTTTCACTCCGCGCAGTACTGTGAGGCCAGAGCAACGGACGGTGCCATTCCGCCACGCGGGTGAGCATCTCCGAGCAACTTGGAAGTTCGTCGTCGCCAGCCGACGAGAGGCAGCGTGTCGCAGAGCCTTGAGGCCACCATGCCGCAGTCTGCAGCAGAAGGCGTCTCTAGCGGCGTCGTGATTACACTGTGGCGTATGGCAAACGATTGGTCCCGTGTTGCACGAGCAGCACGACCGAGAACCTGGAAGCGCCAAGTTGGCCCGACACGCGCGTCGGTGATATTATAAGCTGAAGTCAATGAACGAACAGTTCTAGTCGGAATGATTCTCTTCAATGTGGACACCCGAGAGATGTTCAGTGATGTCGTACCTAATAAGCTCGAAAAGTGCCGGGCTCCGTCTGAAGAGATCAACGGCCCTGTTTTCGGCGATCCATTCAGGCACACAGCGGCCGGCGGGCCTTTTCAAAGCGCTCCAGCGACTCTCTCGCAACACATGCCGTCGCCGTTCGACGGCACCAGATGCGATGCCGCTGATGCCGAAGTTTCATGTGGCGCCGGCAGGTCGTCTTCTGCACCGCACGCATTCAGCTTGCCGCAGGAACACCACGAGGCGCAAAAGTCGGGAAGAGACGGAGATGCGCTCCACAGGCGTCTTCCAGAAGATCACTCGGCGCCTCGCCTGGCGCGCACGCAATGCAACGTGGGAAAGCTAGGCCTGTCTCAGACGCTCCGTCGGATGTGCCGCTGCGTGATTGGTTGGAGCGGGCTATCTGACCTTGGCTGCGCAGCCCTGCGCAGGGGAGTACTACTCGCAGTGTCAGCCCAAGGCCCCAAGCGGCTGGGCTGACCACGACAGGTCTGGAATCTGGATCGAATGGCTTCGCGGCACTTGGCTCCGCTGAGGCCGCTCTTCTCAACGCTGTGTGCAACCCATGCCATGCCATGCGAACGAGGAGAACGACGTTGCCAACCTGCTTGTTGCTTGTCATCGGAGGGAGCCACCTCGGTACCCCCCAGCACGTCTCCGGTCTTCGCGGCCCAGCTTCGCGTCCAAGGATTGCGTCTGGATTGCCCATACACCCACCTTTCACGCTGCATCGCCCGCGTCTCGCCCTTCCTGGAGCATGGTTGACATACTACTGCTACCGCTGGTCTCATCAAAGCGCCTCTTGCCGCGCCGCCTCGATCTTGTTCCCTTATTACCTCCGGCGGCCCGCCTTGTGCTTGTGCATCCTCCCATGTGAAGTGACTTGATATTCGATCGAGATCCTCCGCTCCCCTCACGCACACCACCATGTTCGACGCCAACTTCACATTCGACACTCCGAGGTCGCCGTCACTGGACTCCACAAGCCATACTATCTCAACCAGGCACACCTCGCGATCCGTTTCTCCATGCTCGCCAACTGCTCCATACCTACCACCTCGCTTCTCTGTCACCGACCTAGCCGCAAGCTTCGCGAGCTCAAGATTGAGGCACGACTCACAAATATGCTACGACTCGTGCGAAGCATACGCGAACAACGACGATGATGCCGGCTGGGAGATTCCTCGGCACGACGTCGATCTTGCACCCGTGTCGCGATCGCACACATCACCTGCAAGACCCCATTCACCCTCTCGACGCATGCAAAGACAGGCCAATACACGACTGCTATGCTCATCAACACACGCGAAGGATATTGAAGCATTAGTGTCGCGAATGGTCGCCTGTCAGGAGCAGTGTGAAGTCAACTCGGACTCAGCATCGCCAACAATTGAGGTGGATGATGAAGGCTACGACAGCTCAGACGCCAATCAATCGCATCGGTCTAGCATTGCAGTGCAGAAGACGCGATTAGATTACAGAAGGTCATCTGACTTGAAAGCTACCGGAGCTCGTGTCAACAAGACAGTTAGATGCAAGAAGGATCCAAAACACAGACGCATACGGAGTGCGGACGGTAAATCGTGATTGAAGATACCCAACTTTCGACCCGCCATGGACGCGTCGATTGGCATGTTTTTCAGAGCAAGGCGCTGGGGAGTAGCAATCGGATATTCAGATCTCCAATTGGGATCTTGCTGTGCTTTATGCTTCATGATGGGGAACATGGGAAGCCTTACGTGCGCTCCACAATTATGACAGACACGCGAACGGCACAGTCCGCCGACGAGACGTGCAAGGAACAGATTCATCGACATCAAATAATGCAAGCCTGGGCTACGAGCTCTTGTACAGTACTTTATCAATTGATCTACAGCTTGCTCTCCTTCGCTTCTGGCAGGTCTACCACCACCTTTCCCCATGTATCTCTCCCGCCCAATGCCTCCAGGGCTGCTGGCACGGATTCCAGACCCTTGTACTCCTTGTCTGTATAGTTCGTGGCCCGAATAGCCTTGCTCTCCATCAACTTCTGCAACTCCTCCCACACACGTGGAATCGTCTCAGGCTCATTCTTCGCGTATGCACCCCAATGCAATCCCATAACGGCGATGTTCTTCAACAGTATTCTGTTCGTCGCCATCTTCTCGATATTGCCTCCGGCAAACCCAATCACCAGCAGCCTCCCATTCCATGCAATGCACTTCTGACTCTTCTCAATCAAGCCCACCGGGTCATAGACGATATCAACACCCCTCTTCTTTGGCGTAAGCTCTAGTACCTTCATCGGCCAGTTCTCATCCCGATAATCCACACCGTAATCCGCTCCAAAGCTCTTGGCAACATCCAACTTATGCTTCGTTCCCGCCGTCGCAATCACAGTCGCACCAAACGCTTTCGCAATCTGTACAGCTGCCAACCCAACACCACCCGCCGCAGCATGCACGAGAACCCAATCCCCCTTCTTAATCCCAGCTCTCGTGACCAAGGCCCCATAACTCGTCGGCATTGTCACGAACAATCCTGCAGCATCGAAGAAACTCCAACCTTTCGGTATGGGTTGCAGTTGCGATTCTTGAGCGCAGACCTTGTACGCATAACCTCCCTGTCCCGACCCAAAGACCCTATCACCGACATTGAACTTCGGTGGACGTTTGGCTGGCGATGAAGGGGTCGCGAGGATCACGCCCGAGAACTCTGCGCCTCCGACCCATGGCAAGGGAGGTTGATGTTGGTATTTCCCGCGGATTTGGAGCAGGTCGAAGAAGTTTGTTGCGCAGGATTTCACGGCTATCACGTATTGATCTGGTGTTGGGACGGGGTCGGGGATTTCGGAGACGGTGAGGTCGCGGGGGCCTTGGACGTATTCTTTTACTTGGATTGCTTTCATGGTGGGAGGATGCAGGTGACGAATATCAGAGGAATGGTTGACAGGAGAGTGAAGCGGAAAGAACGATAGCTCTATCACATTGATCGTTGGATTTTGCTACAGTAGGGTTACCTTGGTTGCCGTCTACGCCTGCGGTATCCTGCCGAGGTTGACATTGCAGCGGCGACGGCAACGGACTGTTAACCGATTGAGGTTGAGTGAAGGCAAAAGTCGTGCGCATATGACGCTGCTGCCTCAAGTCGCGGTCGTTGGTCGTCATACGCAATTACGCATGAGGCTCGTGGCCACCTTCTGCCTTACGGCCTTGTGCGTGCTTCCCTGTGATTCTGAACTCCAGTCTCGGCTGCACTGCTCTTCCTGCGCTGCCCGGAACAATCGATACTGCAGCTGCTTGCTTGCTGACCACAAATCTGCGCGTGCACACACAACACGTATTAATTCAGAAATACAGCCGCATCCCATACCGCTATCTCTATCGACCACCCTTCAGCGCCTCCAGCATACATAGCACCTCTGAGAGCTGAGCCCCGCCGAGACCAGCTTCGTGCAACAGATCGAACGGACATCTCTCTCGACCTGGGCCAAGATGGCCGACAGTAACACTGAGGCCGACCTGCAGGTGACTTTCAACATCAAGTCCTCCTCAGACGCCAAATACGCCCTCACTCTCCCCGCCTCGACCACCGTCGCCGATCTCAAGCAGAAGCTATCGGGCTCAGAATACGCCAATGTACCACCAGAGTCGCAACGCCTCATCTACAGTGGCCGCGTGCTGAAGGATGCCGACACATTAGGCAGCTACAAGATCAAGGATGGCAACACTGTCCATCTGGTCAAGAGCGCGCCGAGCAACCAGCGGCAAGCTCCTGCGAACCAAGGCGGATCCGCAGTGCCCCCGGGAGCTGGACAGCCAGCCTCGAATGTGCCTTCCAACATCGCCGCTGGCACTGGCGCTGGCAACCCTCTAGCACAGCTCACCGGCGCTCGCTATGCTGGCTTTCACGGACTGCCCGGCGCCGACATGTTTGGCGCTGATGGAGGAATGGGCGCGCCGCCGAATCCGGATCAGATGCTTAGGTTGCTTGAAGATCCCAACTTCGCGCAACAGATGAATGAAGCCATGAACAACCCCGCCGTACTAGACATGCTCCGGAACAACCCAATGATCCGGAACAATCCTATGGCTCGTGCAGCCATAGAGAACCCAGAAATGCGGCGGATGATGTTCAATCCAGACATGATTAGAATGCAAATGAACATGCAGAGAGTGATGGGTGGAAATGGTGCAGGTGGCGACGGGGCATTCCCGATGCCTGGCCAAACAGACACAACTCCTGCCGGAGAAGGAGCCAATGCAGATAACAACACGGCAACGAGCGGCACACAACGTCAGACTGGCTCTCAGGCTCCGCCTGCGAATCCTTTCGCGGCACTGTTTCCCACTCCTGGCTCGGGTGCTCCGGGCGGCAATGCTGGCGGTGCAGGCGGAAATGCAAACACGTCCGCTCAGCAAAACCCATTCGGCAGCCTCTTTGGCGGTGCACAGAATCAAGGCGGCGATCAGCAGAACCCCTTCGCCCAATCAATGCAACAGCTTGCACAAAATCCAGAGCTCATGCAGCAAATGATGCAAGCATTTGGTGGCGGAGGTCAAGGCGCACAAGGAGGGCAAGGCGGCTTCAATCCTTTCGGTGCCTTAGGTGGCATGGGAGGTTTCGGGGGGTCTCCAGAGCCTCAAGGTCCACCCGACAATCGCCCTCCTGAGGAGCTTTATGCCGAGCAACTTCGGCAGCTGAACGACATGGGCTTCTACGAGTTTGAGCGCAATGTCACAGCGTTGCGGAGAAGCGGAGGCAGCGTGCAGGGCGCTGTGGAATACCTTTTGACAAACCCGTAGGAGGACTTGGCAGAGACACTCTCCAACACAAGCCTGGATTAGCTTGTCGATTTTCGACCTTGCTTCGGCGGAGAAGCATTCGTTATCATAGCACTGGCTCGAAACCAAGCGCTTCACCACTCTACGCATTTGGTCTTCGCTTTGTACAGCGTAATACAGCATCCAGCGTCGGCGCACGAGGAATTATTGAGCAAGGAATGCTACGATGATCATCACGGTCTATGAAGTGGCGCAAACCTGAAGCAAGGAGTCAGAGACTGCGTCCAACAGCACATCCAGACCCGAGGCTCATGGGCCATTGTCAATCAAGACATCACGATTTGGCGAGGCTTTGTCTTCGTTTCTATTCTCCTTCTTGGTCCAACACATGTTTCTTTATTCACATTCCATCATCGTAGACGCCACGAGATTGAATATTCAAAGACAATGCGTCTTTGTCGCCAAGTCAGCCTCATCACACGGACTTTTCGCGCAAACCGCAGAGTGTGACATGCACATACACGTTTTTCCTCACTTTAATGATCTACTAACGGCCACTTTTATCTCAGTTCAGGTCTGTGACCGGCGATAGAACTAATATCAAGGTACTGCAGGTCAGACCAAACAAGATTGACAAGACATAAATATAGTTGAGACACGATTTGAGACATCTTCGTCAATCATTATGGGACACAGCGATTATTCGGTTGCCTCTGCACACGCTTTGCGAGGGTCACAATTACTGGGGGAGCGCGAAGCACATGAATTGCATCGGCAGCAGCAGAAGCAGTCTATGGACCAGTTGAAGGATGAAAGCCGATCAAGACGTCAGTCTAGAGAGCGCAAAAGTGTGCGTTTCACGCCCAGCACGAATTTCAACAACGAGAGCGAGCCAGACGTATCGACCGACACTGACATTTTCACACAGTCTCCACATGCCTCTCGAGGCAGCGTATCGTCCATTGATTTTGCGGAGTCCTTGCCACAGGTCAGGGTGGCTAGGGAGGCCAGCGTGCAACTGCTCAAGCCTGTGGTCTATTCGCCTCCGCAAGACAGCGCAAATCTCCTACTTCCAGCAACGACATACAGTCCCTCTTCGGTGAGCGTGAAAAAGAGAGTTGAGGAGTACGAGGCACTTCCGGACCACATTTCCAGCACTCAGGTCGATCTTCGTATTGACACTGACGATCTCAGCCATAAGAGAAGTCCAAGCGGCTCCAGCACATCATCTGGATCCGGACGCTCGCGACAGAAGGACGACATCTACTTCACCCCGGTCGACGTCACGAGGTCACAAATATTTCTCTCCAGCCCAGTCAGCAGTCCTTCTGCCAGTCCAGACAGTCCCACACTTCCGCGCGAGACCGACGACGATGACGAGTGTCCGACACCAAGGGCTTCGAGAGCACTTTCGCGTCGTCCAAGCCAGGTCTATGTTGGTGGTGTGGAGAAGCTCAACATCAAAGACGATGCGTTGAAGATCACGCCTGTGCAACTCGATCAGCTTGTGGTTGCTCTTGCAAAATCTCGAATGCTCGTGAAGCATGTATCCGGAGATTGGTGGGATCTTGACGATGTTCCCGATGATGAGAGTGTCGTCTCGTCATTTAGCCAAGTCTCGTTGCCAACGCTGACATCTGCCTCAACCTTATACACTCGGCAGAATGAGAATTTCGTCAATGACCAACGCAACACCAATAGCTCACAATCGCAAGGCCAGATGCCCAGAGTCGCCGCACAGAATGGAGCTTTTGGTGGTGTTGCCCTCTGCGATACCAAGGTCCATGGCACACCAGTACGCTTCGTTTCCAAAAATTACAGACATGGTTCTAGCATTCTCGACGTGGGGACCTGCACTTATCTCAGCGTTACCTACGGCACGGAAGTAGAATGTGCTTTGAGTATAGAAGCTCCCTCAAACGGCAGCTCTGGTACCAGAATTGTACTGCAATGCAAAACGCAAGTGGTGGATCGCAAAAGTGGCAAGCAAGTGTACACTCTCATGGCGGAGGAAGACGTGACAAAAGGTTTCATCAAAGCAGCTCTAGCCGAACTCGCAGAAGCCAGAGGCAAAGCATACGACGATATCAAGATCGCAAGTCCCTCGCAAGATTCTGCGACAGAATCTCCCGACATCGACTGGGTGGAATTTGCAGATGAGCTTCAAGCCGCGGCCGACGTGAGTGATCTCGTGGACGAAACGGCTGCCATCTTCAAAACGCTCGAATCCGAAACTGCGAGCATGCAGACGTTGACATTGATGTCCTCTCTCGATCGCATTAAGGAAAATTACGAGGACTTCCTCATTCTTCGACCCATAGCTTTCCACGATAATGGTTTGCCATCCAGTATGCGACTTCCGTGGGTATCTCAGAGGCTCTACACGGATTGGTACCAATCTAAGAAGATTGGTGATGATGAGGTGGCTCCAGGTGATACGCAGGAAGCACAGGATTTTCAGGCGTGCATTGTTGCTAATGTGGCTAAGCAAGGCGCAAAGGCTCAAGCTTTCGATTGTGAAGCGTATTGGGGTGAGCACAACAAGCAGTATCTCCATTGTGTACCGCTGATGGAGAATTCGGAAGGTCATTGTGATGCTTGGGCTTGTTTTGTGCGAGGTGAGTTCATTATCGACCCGTAGAAAGAAAGAGATGGGAGATAGTTGTTCATATCATACTTTTTTAACGTTATCGCATTGCATTCAACTCAGTCTTCACACTGTCAATCAAAAGACCTCTACTGCTTTCTCCCTCAGCTCCGCGTGAGAGAATCTATCGATCGTCGTGATATAGGCCATGTTTTTATACCAACACTCATATCATTCACTTCTCTCCCTCTTCCATACTTTGAATCATAACCTTGATACCACCCTGCTTAGGATCAGCCGCAACCTTGAACGCATCAACCGCATTCTCCAAAGTAAACCGATGCGTAACCAACTTCGACAAATCCAGCACCCCTCCCCTCAACAGCCTGATCGCTCGCGGCCAAGTATTCGCATACCGATACTGAAACTGAAGATCCACCTCTCTGGTACTCAGCCTCATAAAAGGAATCTTAATCTCCGGCTTCCCCACCCCAATCACAAAAACCTTGCCGCCAAACTTGGCCGCATGAATAGCTCCAGCAATCGAAGACTCAACACCAGTACACTCCATCACAACAGCCGGCTCCACGCCCTCCGCCAACTTCACAATCTTCTCCGCAAACATTTCCGCCGTGTCGCTGAATTCCACCTTATGCGTCCTCACACTCGGACAGAACTCTTTCGCAAATTTCAATCTCCCTTCATCAATATCCGTAATGACGATCGGTTCGGCGCCCGCAGCCTTCACGCAAGCCAAAGTCACCAATCCTATCGGCCCCGCTCCACACACTAAAACACTATCCCCCAAAGTAATCTTCGCGCGCTGCATCCCGGCCAACGCAACGCTCAAAGGTTCGAGCAGCGCGCCGTCTTCGTAGCTCATGTCTCCGATCTTATGGCACCAGACGGCAGGATGGTTGACGTAGCGACGTAAGAGGCCTGGGATTGGAGGTGTGCTTCGAAATTCTACGGACTCGCAGCCGTTGTATTTTCCTGTCAGGCAGGGTTCGCATTCGCCGCAGATGATGTTGGGTTCTACTGCGACGCGGTCGCCGATGGAGAGCGTTGTCACCGACGGGTGTTTGGCGACGATTATGCCAGAGGATTCGTGGCCGAGGATGTGTTCGTCTTCGACTATCATCGGGCCTATGCGGCCTGCGTGCCAGAAGTGGACATCGGATCTGGAAGGGTTGGTTTAGAATGTGACTGATTGAATGGAGTAGTAGTGGCTTACCCGCAAATTCCTGTACTCTTGATCGCGACTGTGACTTCGCCGGGTTTCAGGCTTTCGCCCTTTTCCACTTCTTCCTGGCTTGGAAGTGCATTTGCGATCCAGAGATCATGTTGGGGATTCGTGTAGACTCCAATGTTCGCTTTGCTGGGAGGACCGGTCTGCGTGGTAGTTGTGCTAGACATGTTGAGTAGAGAAACTTCGTCGACTTGCTAAGGATTGATGAGGCAAAGGAATGTAAGGAGTCCACTAGGTAGTCGGTCAGTAATAAATTTGGCAGGTGACCACAGCTCGGGACGGGCAAGCAAGCAACGAGAATTGTTGTCGGAGGTTGTTGTTCCTCGAGAGAAGTGTGTTTGAAGTCCAGGGATTTGTTTTTACTATTTTCCGTAAGAATACCCGGTGCTATGAGATGCGTGTGTCTCTTTGTCGTAGAATTTCTCCAGCAATTGACGTCGAGCATTGGGAGCTGTGGTGGGGTACCGCGCCCCCACCCCGGCTGAACCAGAAATGCCCGCCAGAGCCCGCGGCCGGCGCGAGCAATCAGGCGAGAGTTAATTTATGCATTGCATGTGTGCCTCAAGGCTGGCCCGTTCAGCTTGGGCAGTTTTGGATTCAGTGTGGTCAGCATCACATCAATTGCGCTACGGAGGCTTGAGTTGAAGGCTGCGGCAAGGTTCTACAGTACCATCTCCCGTGGGTATGACTTAGGCTAAGTGCCGACGTGGTGTGGTGGCTCTGTATGGGTGTCCATATGCCTCTTTGAACCTGACCCTTCTCACCAGTCATCGACCGGAAACCGCGCTCCGCCCCTCTCCCGCACGCCGTCCATAATGTTCATCACCCGGAGAGTCTCAGCCCAAGGCATGGTTGCGTTCTGATGCCTGCCAGATTTGATATCGTGGGCAACTGCATCCGCTTCCCAGAAGAGCCCGAAGCCTGGCTTGTCGAAGTGATAAATTTCTTCGGTGCTGCCATCATTGGGAATGAAGTCGAAGCTCTCAGGAGCACTTGGAGAAGGCCCGTGGATTACGATGGATCCTTTGCTACCTTCGATTCGTGCGAAAGCGGTCGGGCCAACTACATCCGTTGTCGACGTACAGACTGCTTGTTTGCCAGTGGAAGGGTATCGCAGGAGCACCGAACTGGAAGTGTCCACTCCATGGTTCAGCGTCTGCAAGCTGCTGACCTCTGGATCTTCTGCCTTATCGCCGACCTTGTCAGTAGATGTGATGATCCCTCAAGTCAGACTATATATGCCGATGTCCAGAAGGCTTCCTGCTCCAAGCGCCGGATCCTTGTAACGACTGCTCGCAGGCAAGCTTGAAATATCGATTGCCAGGCCAAAGTCGCAGAAGGTTCGATACACTGTCCCGAGCTTCTTCTCGACAAAAATGAGATTTTGGATCTTCTTCACGAGAGGGTAGAATCGAGTCCACATGGCTTCCATGATGAACACGCCCTTCTGCTTGGCGGCATCGAAAACTTCTTGAGCTTCTTTCGCATTCATCGCGAATGGTTTTTCACACAGGACGTGCTTGCCCGCCCTGATGGCATCAAGACAATTCTGCTTGTGGAAGCTGTGCGGTGTTCCAATGTATATGCAGTCGACATCTGGATGATCGTAGACCTCTTGGTATGAGCCATACGCAGCAGGTTGGGTGACTGGCGATGCTGGAACAACGTGTTTGTCAATGAATTGTCTGCTCTTGTCCAAGCTGGAAGCTCCAATTGCCACGACCTCATGGTGTGCGCTCTTTTCTGGCCAGTCGGGCTTGAGTATATCTGACACGAACCAGCTGGATATCATTCCACTGCCTGTGATGTATAAGTGTGATACGTGACATCGCGGTGATCGGATACTGACCGATCACACCCCATTTCACCTTCGGAAGCTCGGTCTGGCTGTGCACCATGATCCTGTTCTCGCACGATGAAGCAAATGAACACCGAGAAGCGTGTCTGCCTCTCTATTCGAGCTGCTGCCTTCAGCGTTTTGAGCATATATAGCTGCGAGCGACAGGGATCGGGAACTGACTTCCAGCATGACGAAATGCCTATGGAGGAGGAACGGCGAGAAACGACGCCATGTTGTCGATTACAAAGACGTGATGAAGCTGCAGTCCATCAGCTGTGGATCCCTGCGAATAACCTGCTCGCGGAATTTGTGACCTGGTGGTGACGAGGTGTGCAGATTTTGGTGTGAATTGGAAGCGAAGAGGAACAGCTCTCCAGATCAGGGCATGGCCACTGCAGTTCGCTTCGCTCGAAAGCTGTGGGTGAGCAGTTCAATAGAGGTGGTGTGCAGCCGGTCAGCAAAGCGCTCCTTCAACCGAATACGGATGCCAAGGTGTCGATTATGGTTAGCAAGCAGGCTCTATACACCCCTGTCTTGCTGAGGGCGCTCTACACGTAGAGCGCCTGTCTTAAGGCCTAATAGGTTATCGTCGGTGCCGTAGAGGGTATAGTGCTGTTGCCTTAGGTTAAGTAAGTAACTTTACGAGATCCGTATAGAATAAGAGTCTTACTTGTCGAGTCTACTATTACTACGGTTATATAATAGTAGATAGTTTAAATAGCAGTCTAAATAAAGCCTTCTACGGTTAGTTTCTAAGTAAGTAAGAAGCCGTTACTATAGGAGCTATAGAAGGCTCTTTCTAGCTTAATTCTTTACCTACTCCGGCTCTAACTAAGCGCGAGTTTAGCTAGAGTTCTTTATAGACGCCTAGTCGCTTCTAATAGTCGATTAAGCGCACTGCGACACCTAAGCCTATCCGCTAAGCTATTGCTAACTTCCGTAGCTTTAATAATAGCGCTCTACCGATACCTCTAAGGGCTCTATAATTAAGTTAAAGTACGAGGTAGGCTTATTAGTAGAGCTAGTTACGAGAGGCAGTTATAGCGGCTAATCTTAAAGACGACGATACGCTAATAACTAATGTCGGCCGGAAGGGTTATATAGAAGCGTAGAAGCTCTGCCTTATAAGGCATATAGTTACTAAAGAAAAATAGTATAGCAAGCTATACTTCTAGGCGAAGGTTAGTAATACGTAGATAATAGAGACTTGTAAGAAGTATAGCAACCTATAGAGGGTATTCGATCGTATACTAAAGGATTATACCTAATACAAGCTCGATAACTAGATATATTCTAGCGGCGAGAATAAGGACGACTACTTCTAAGTAATAGAAGAAGCTAAGCGAGTTGTTAAGGAGTATGCTACTACTAAGAAGTAAGCCGCTATCGACGTAGAAGCGGCTATTAAAGAGAGTATAGAGACAGAGCGTAGAAGGAAGAACTTAACGCAGCGTAAAAGTAGCAAACGTAGGGTATCTATATCTACTAGCACCGATAGTAGTAATACTAGTAATACTAAAGACTATAAGAAGTCCGCGGACGATATAACGGACGATAAGGATACTACTACTACCGAGAGTATTTATAAAGGGCTACGCCCTAGGTAGAAAGCGCTAGCCTTAGGCATTCGGCCTACGCGACTCTAACCTACTACTTAGCGCTTAGCGCACCGTACAAAACTATTCGGATTCACGTAGATAGACTTAGCTCTTTATTAAACCTATTAAGTCTTATATCTAGCATCTGCGTACGCGTTACTTATCCGTAATATTAGGTTCGATTTTTAATATAGGAAACGCTAAGGTTTATTAGGAACCCGAGTAAGATAGCTAGGGGAACGCTGCCCCTACCGCACTAGAGATAACTAGGGACGAGATTTATCGTACTTTCGAGAGTCTCTATACTAGACAGTAGACGATAGAAGCCTAGCTATAGGCTACTCGTTCCGCGCTCTAATACGCGGAAGCGTCTCGCTAGCCCGGGCCTCCCGAAGCTAGTTTAGTACGAGACTAGTCTACGAACGAGATCCTAAAGGGACTACTAGAAACTCTCTCGGCTTCCGGCTAAAACGTAACGGCATCCCGCGAGTAGAAACTACTATCGTAAGATAGGAAAGCCGAGTCGTTCCGGGACTACCTACTACGACTAAGGAGTTCGTACCGAGTTCGTTCTAAGCTAAAACTAAAGCTCTCCGAAGATTACTACTAGGATACCGTATACGATACCCTACCGGCGAAGGAACGCGCTAGGATACGCTACTTCTAAGAAAGAGGAAGCCTTACGAAAGGAAAGGACCCCGAAGCTTTCTTCTAGCAACTTAAGGACGTCTTCGCGGATAGTAACGAAGCTATAAAGGCGCTAGAGCAACTCTAAGCCCTAAGGCACTCCTAGGGACAACCTTAGTACGACTACTAGCTAGAATTCGATAGCCTTCTACTAAGCGTAGGCGGAGACTATTAGACAGACGATACGAAAATCGGTTATTTAAAGAATACCTTCTCGAACGCGGCTAAGACCTATACTACCGCCGTACTAAAGATTAAGAGTTACTACCTCTATACGGAGGAGGTCGAGCGGATTATAACGAACCTCGAGTCGATAGATTAGTTTAAACAAGCTGCGAAACGCTAGTAAGAAAGGAAGAAAGAAGTAGCGAGTCTTACGGTCGTTATTCCCCCCTATATAGCCCCCGCGGCGAACCCGAAGGTCGACTCTAATAGAGACGTAGTTATAAATCCCGCTTAAACTAACGCTTCCCGTAGAAAGAACCGCGGAGCTTAATAATCGACGGCGGGGAAATCTAGGGCTAAATAGGTCGACTCTATAGAAAGAGAGAAGCGTAAGGAGAAAAGACTCTACTTCCGCTATAGAGCGAGCGGACACCGCATTCGAGATTGCCCGTACGCCCTGCCGGCTTAGCCTACTAAGATTAGTATCGCCTCCGTATAATCTATTCTAAAGGATACGAAAGAATAGTCGGACTTAAGTAGTTCCGACTCGGGAAAAGAGTAACTCCTACTCGTAGTTAGGAGTCGGGAGTAGATAGAGTACGGGCAAAGAAATAGGAAGAAGTTAAAAAGGATATAAACGGGAATCTTATATATACCGATATAGTCCTCGAAAATAACGTCGGAACTTCTACTCTTATCGACGAAGGATACTAGTATTACGCTATAATTAATGCGGGCCTAGCTAAAGGCCTCGGACTTAGCTATATTAGCCGTAAGTCCCGAGAAGTAAAAGGAGCGTCTACGGTAATACAAGACGCGAAAATTATAGAAGTCGTCGCCTTCTAGATAGAAATTAACGGATTCCGACAAACGGTATATACTTACGTCGTACCGGGATTAGCTTTTCCCCTTATCCTAGGGAACCTATAGAAGGTATATAATAAGGTCCGGACTGCGCCTAAAAAACGACGGTACTACTACGGGAGGGCTCGGTATTAGATTAAAGAAGGGCGCTATTACCGCGAGGTCGATACGAATAGGAATATCGCTACGATTAACGCCGTAAGAAGCCTACTTACCGCGACAATTGCCGAGGACATTAAAAAGGCCCTAAAGACGAAGGAATACCCGACGATCGAGGAGCTAAAGAAGAAGCTACCCCTAGAGGTTCGCGATATAGCTGCGCTATTTTATTAAAAGGAAGCCGATAAGTTAGCGCCCTATCGCCCTAGTATCGACTATACGATAGAACTCTAAGAGAAACTAGACGGATCCTAGCCTTAACTCCCTTAGGGTCCGCTTTATAGTATATCGAAACAAGAACTCTTAGTCTTACGGAAGTCGCTAGACGAGCTCCTAAAGAAGAGGTTTATAAGACCGGCGAACTCCGAAGCGGCGGCGCCCGTACTATTCGTTAAGAAGCCCGGGGGAGGACTACGGTTCTACTACGACTATAGGGCGCTTAACGCTCTAACGAAGCAAGATAGATACCCCCTCCTACTAATCCCGGATACTATAAGGAACCTAATAGAGGCCCGGTAGTTAACTAAGGTTAACGTAGTCTCGGCCTTTTATAAGATTAGAATAGCAAAAGGATACGAGTATAAGACGGCCTTCCGGACGAGGCTAGGCTCGTTCGAATAGCTAGTATGCCTGTTTAGTTTGTCCGGAGCCCCGGCTACATTTTAACGGTATATTAACACTCTCCTATGGGAGTATCTAGACGACTTCGTATCGGTATATATAGACGACGTAGTTATTTACTCGAGCGGGTCGAGGGAAGACTATTTCCGTAAGGTAAGAGCGGTACTTAAGAAGCTTTAGGACGGAGGCCTTTACCTCGATATTAAAAAGAGCGAATTCGCCTAGAAAAAGATTAAGTACCTAGGGTTTATCGTCTACGCCGACGGAGGAGGAGTATTAGCCGACCCCGAAAAGATAGAAGCCGTACGAAAATAGGTAGCACCTAAGACCTAAAAGGAAGTTCGTCGTTTCTTAGGATTTACGAACTACTACCGTATATTCGTACCGAACTATTCTAAGATCTCCGCGCTATTAACTACGCTTACTAGTAAAGGAACCCCGTTCGCCTAAGGAGAAGAATAGGATAAAGCGTTCGAGACGCTAAAGGACAAATTCTACCGCGCCCTAGTACTTGCCTAGTAGAACCCGTCCCTCCCTACCTTCCTTAAGACGGATTATAGCGGGTTCGCGATTAGGGGCGCCCTTATCTAAGAAAAGGCGGGAGTCCGCCGACCGGTAGGCTTCTTTTCGAAGAAACTAAATAAGGCGGAGATTAATTACGATATCTACGATAAGGAAATGCTCGCAGTCGTATCTAGTATTAAGTTTTAGGACTCCGAGCTAAAATTATATAGCCCCTTTACGATTTAGACGGACTATAAGAACCTAGAATACTTTATAGTAAAGCGCTAGCTATCCGAAAGACAGATCCGATAGTAAGAAGAACTAGCGAAGTACTAGTTTACCCTAGTCTACCGGCCGGGAATCGAAGCTATCCTACCGGATATATTATCGAGGAGAGAACAAGATATATTAGGCTAAGACGACAAGCTTTTAAGGTTCCGGAGATTCTTAGAACCGGACC